ACAGCATGGTATGCTGCTGATCTGCATCAAGTTTTGACTTGATGCAGCCAGGTCCGTAGCCTACGGCCGTAGGCTACGGAAATGGCACCAAGACTTGATGCAGACACCACGGTATGCTGCTGATCTGCATCAAGTTTTGACTTGATGCAGCCGGGTCCGTAGGCTACGGGCCGTAGGCTACGGAAATGGCACCAAAACTTGATGACAGGCTCGCACAGTTCTTTTCCGCTTCCATACGGCCTGGCAGCGACCTGGAGGAGGAGGAAAAAAATCGGACCAAGGCCGCAAAGGACTACCTGAGCCAGCAGAAGGAGGATCCCGCAAGCCCTATCATGTACATAAATTTGTATTTGCTATTCTTGGTAGCTGCCTGATTCTGTTCCTGTTTTATTCCGTTGTCACACGCGCTTGTCCAGTTGCGCTGACACTTCTTTACTCACTTCCGCCAGGAGCATTCGCTTTCTGCATCAGACCGGCAAAGTGGATATGAATAATCACTCAACAAGACAAAGTCTCGTCTGCTTGAATCAATAATACAGCCCGAAGTCTTTGATTCCCGACCCGGTGATCCAAACCACCGCGCACGCGGACGTCAACATCCAGGATCTCACCCAGCCCAAACCGAAAGCCGAGAAGGACAAGATCCGCAAGGAGCGGAAGGACCGACAGGAGCGGAACAAGCGGAAGTTGCTATGAGAGTGCACAACTCCGTCTCCGCCTCATTTGTCATGCAAATTTATTATACCAAATCCAAGTGCTGCTGCGTGGTACTGTTTGCATAAGAGATTCTCCTGACGCGGACGCCCAAACAGAAGCAGTACTACACTAGGCGCATGAAGAACTTGTCATGCACAGGCTCCACACGTCGTGGGAGTGTCTGTATTGCTGTACATGCAATACAAATGAGGGGCAGGGGGAGTTCTCCACTGTCATAGTTCCAGTTCGTGATCGACAACCAGGCCATTCACGAGGAGGAGAGGAGAAAAATGATGCTGGACTTCGTGGAAAAGAACTCCCTGAAACTGCAGCGTGAGCAGTCCGGCGAGGCCGCGTCGGGTAGTTCGGTCAGTTTGAAGACCGAAAATGCACAAAAGTGGGTGGATAACTGGCGGTATCAAATGTAAAAATGTCTGGGTCTGGAAAATTTTGAGACTTGTCATGCACGTTTTGCATGAGCCATGACGTCTGTTATGCGTGCCCTAGCATCACAGATTTTTTGCGGGCTTCATGCCTATTCCGCATCTCCGCGTAGCAAAAATTACATTCCCTTTGCTGAAGAGGCTGCCAAAGAAAATGATGAGAAGAGAAATACTGCGCGAGAAGGAGCTAAATCCGTTCTAACGCCCAGGTATTGGCAGAGGCTAAATCTGTTCTAACGCCAACCCGCCAGGAGTTAAATGGTTACTACTACTACTTGCTGCTCACGCAATACAGATTTTTTTGGAATCGAATGGCAGCATCACAAGTTGCATTCTTCCAGACCCAGACATTTTTACAGTTGATAGGCGCGAGAAGGAGCAGGAGCGGCTCATGATCGAGAAGGAGAAGCTATTCTATGTAAAAACGTCCCCACTCCATAGTTGTCATGCAGATTTGCGATAACAGGAACACTTGTAATGCGCATCTCCATGAGAGGCATTTCCAATCGTGTTTTGGAATCTGTAATGCTGTAAACAGGATGAAAAAGTGGATTTCTCACGCGGCTTCCCTTGCTAACCAGCACTACGCTGCAGATAGAAACTTGTCATGCACAACTCCCAAACCTTGGAGATTTGTGTTGCAGATTTAGAAACTTGACTATGGGATGGGGACGTTTTTACTTAGGATAGAAGCTCTACGCACTGGAACGCCAGATCGCGAGCGAGACGGCGGTGAAGAGCCCAAGTCTGTCGCAACGGGTTTTGGAGGAGAGCGGAATCGGGTCGCCCACGAGTCGGGGGAATTTGAATGCGGAACAGCATGAGGACGGGACCATAGAGAGAGCGTCGAAGACGACCGAGTTAAACTCGGAGTCGACGGTGGGGGGCGGGAATGGGACCATGCTGGGGAGTATCAAATGTAAAAATGTCTGGGTCTGGAAACTTGTGATGCTGGGTCGCGTCTCATGATGAGGCTACAAATGCTGGCTCAGCATGGCAAGTTTCTGAGCTCCTAGGTGTTGCCTATTCTGCATGACAAAGTGCGCTTCTGCATCACAGAAAAACGGAGCTCTTGGGTAACGTGCATGACAGATTTAAGAGTCATACCAGACAAGCATGACAAACATGAATTCTTCCAGACCCAGACACTTTTACAGTTCATAGGGAGCAGTGGGACGGCGTGATGGGAGCGGGAGTATGCATTTTTACAACAGATTCGTTTTACTAAAACACAACACATCAGAACTACAAAGAAGATTCAGATTGACTAGATAATTCCAAAACTACTTAACTTTCAGTTTTCAGATCACAATAGCAGAGGGAGAGAATAAACTCGAGAAAGTGCGACGTTTTGTCTTGCACAGAAGCAGAAGTTTTATCACAACTAAAGCCTATTTCATCAGATGTGAACAATTTTCGTCTAAATCACAGCAAACTTCTTTTGAAGACTTCAATATTTGTCAGAGAAGATGATCGATCTTTAGCATCTTCAAAAACGCAGAATTGGTGATTTTGTTATCGTGAACTTTTTAGAAAACTACTTCTTTAAAAGGAGACTTTACTCGAGTGGAGTAACTGTCCAGATTTGCCGGCGCGCAAAGGGTCCAGGAATACAGCACGCGCACCAGGAGCGCTGCGATAAATAGCTCTCTTTTTCTTTAGATAGCAGCTCTAGTCGTGTGCTGCTGCGCATTTTTACGGATTGAAAGGACCTAGAACTCACTTTATCAGATTTGTTTCAAGTGTAGGTGGCTGGACCTCCACCTGTCATCTTCTGTGAGACCGAGATTTATTGATTTTCCATTCTAATGTCGACTTGTGATATACAATACGCGTGCACAGCAGGACAATCACGCATCCTCGCGCAACAACTATACCTAACGAGAACTTTTATCTTTTACTTTTCAACTTTCGAAGAATACTGAACAGTAAGGCGGTTTCGTTTTTGTCATGCGATAAAAGCGAGTCTTCCAACACAGAGCGAGGCGGGTGATGTTGTCGTTTGATAAAGATTCAGAATAAAAAGCCGACTGCCTGCGAGTCTGTGGGTAGAAGGAGCCACCTACTGCAAAAATGCTTTTGCACAGATAGTGAACTAGTCCAATATACGAAAACTTTTTACAAATTTCCTGCAGGAACACAGAATTCAAAGAGAATTTGAATTTTTCGCAAATCCTATTACACTAGGTGAATTTGATCGAATACAAAAACTTCACTGGGACTGAAGTAAGTATGAAGCATATCGGGAAAGACTCGTTACTGGACAGTATGTGATTTTGAAAATGAACTTATGATATTAGCAATGTGGAATGCTGAGGTCGTTTACTTTCGCGAAATAAGACAGAAGCCGCGGGCCGTTTTCGGTCGTTGTGGCTTTGTCGCCCTGTCTGTTTGCCTTGAAGCCATGTGGATGGGAATGTCCATATTGCAGTTCCTGGATCACCATGATCAAGGTCCACGGAAGAAAGATCTCTGCGTTGCCTTCAGGGAGCAGAACTTTTTTGGCTCTCTGGAAGACGGATCAACCTTCGACGCTACAAGGATCATCCTGCTAAGTTCTGGACAGCCGCGTGCGCGTTTTGCAGACACAACAGCGATCATGTTGATTATACTTCTTGGATGAAACAGCGACCTCCAACATCCAACGCAATGTTTGCACGACCCGGCGGAGCCATGCTGTTGTAATTCCGAAAAAAGTAGGTGTTTTCTTTCCTTTTCTCCGAACATGAAGTAGTAAAAACCTCTCTACTAGCAACTAGGAATTTCTTCACGTCGATATAGTAACCCAAAGTCGCGGTTCGCCACGACCAAAATCATGGCTCGTCTCGACCGAAACTTTATTCCCCCCGAGGGAGAAACAACTACATATCACAACCCTTCGACCTCCTCGTCCTCCTACCCAACAAAACCGACCCCCACGACCCTCGAGCAGGAAGAGACCGAGGAGAAAGTTTTGAATTGCTTTAAGCAGTTTCTTCTGAACCAGCTCGGGAATAAACCAAACGCGGAATTTAACACCGAGACTGACGAAACGGCAATCAAAATCCACAAGGAAAAGCACTTGAATTACCTCCAAAAGGCGATTTTCAGTATACCACAGCAGTTCTCCGGGCTGGACGCGAGCCGACCATGGTTTGTGTACTGGATATTACACGCGCTGGAATTACTCCGGGAAGAAGAGTTTATTGAGAGAAATGTCACGAAGGAACGGGTGAGGACTTTTCTAATGCAGTGCTTCCATGATAGTAAAACAAAAACTGGTTGTTCCTCTGCATCAATAGAAGCAGATGGGACAACTACAACTACGACTACTGCCTACCGACCAGGCATTTCCGGCGGCTTTGGCGGCGGCCCGAGGCAGTTGACGCACCTGGCCACGACCTACGCAAGCGTGGCGGCGATGTGCATTTCCGGGGCGTACCGCAGTGGGGGCGAAAGAGAAGAAGCAATCACGTCGAATCCGATATTGGACAGGAGTTTGATTTACCGGTTTTTGCTCAGCAGGAAAGACCCCGTAACCGGCGGGTTTAGCATGCACGACGAGGGGGAATTGGACATCAGGGGAACGTATTGATAAAATTGATTCTTTTTTTTTGTGTTGCTGGTTCATGTATCACAGCGTGTTCCTGTCATGCAGAATGGATGCTATGTATTGTGTATCTATCGAAAAGATGAATTCCATGCATCATCTCAGGTACTGTGCCATCGCGGTTGCTTCGATGCTACACATCCTGACCCCAGAGCTCGCGAAAGACGTCGACAAGTACGTGCTTTCCCACCAATCCTGGGACGGCGGCCTTTCGGGCGAGCCCGGACTTGAGGCCCACGGTGGCTACAGCTACTGCGGCTTTGCCTCGCTCTGCATCCTCGGTGTGGACTATCTGCCGAGGTCATTCGGCGGGAAGAGCGACAACTCGTTAGACCTCGAGCGGTTGTTGCACTGGCTTTCCCACCGCCAGATGCAAGCGGAGGGGGGGTACCAGGGCCGGACAAACAAGCTGGTGGACTCCTGCTACTCCTTTTGGCAGGGGACCACTTTTGTCATCATGCGACACTGCTGGGAAATGCTGCACGCGGAACAAAGAAATAGGAACAAAAATAGCGCGGACGGTAAAAATAACTTGCTTCTTCCCGACCTACCGAAGGCAACGAACTGGTCGATGCCCGAGCCGCTGCAGATGTACGTCTTCCTCGCGTGCCAGGAGGAGGAAAAGGGTGGTTTAAGGGATAAGCCGGGAAAACGACCGGATTACTACCACACGTGCTACAGCCTGTCCGGAGTCTCCGCGGCGCAAAACATTTTCGAGACCACGGGGGAAATCGGGTTTAAGGAGAATTTGTTGGAACACACAGCGCACGTCTCGGGGGACAAACAGCGGAACAAGGTCAAGCCGATAGACCCCTTTTACAACGTGGGGATTGATAAGTCCTTCAAAATGGAAAGTTACTGGGCGGAGGTGAATAAGCGGGAACCCTTCAAATCGCCGACTTTGGGAGAACTAGGGTCAGAGGGGGCGGGGGTGAAGTTTTGGAGGAAAAGGTTTCGGGAATTTACGGAGAAAGACTTCGAAAAGCTGTGACATTATTACTTGACCTGCTCTTGGTTGTAGTTGTACACATTGAACAGTAGAGTCTTTTCACACGACGACTGTCATAATATTCATCTTCGAAACATCAAATAACGCGACAACATATTGATTGCTATTTTTTCCTCTGAGTGGTTAAAGAAAACGACGTATAAGCTCGAAGAACCTGATGTCGAAACAGGCAGCTTGCATGCAATCTCGCTAGCTGCGAACACGAATTAAGATCTATCACCGGATGGAACCAAGAACATGCCACCATCCATGTTCAGGAGCTCGTGGTTTCTTTCGCACCGGGAGGGGCGATCTGAATCGTTTTTCGTGAGAAAGAGTGAAAGCGACACTTGAGAATGGAGCGGAATATAGTCGTGAAGAGTGTCAGCGGTTATTTCGTGCTTTCTTCAGGGTCGCTTGATGGTTCTAAACAAGAATCATGAAAAATATTTCTTGTCTAGTGGTAGCGTATTCTGATTCTCCTCGTGTTAATTGGTATTGATTCCGCTTGCGGGCTGCACACCACGAAAACAAGAACATTATGGCCGAACTTAACAACAAGATCGAGGAGGGCGACGACCTCCCTTCACCGTCGAAGACAAAATTGGTTCAGGATGCGGACTATGCATTGCAAATATGTCTGGGTCTGGAAGCATGTAACTTCTGATGCGCATTTGAGACCAGAGAGAAATCTGTCATGCATGGATCGCAAAAGTTGCTCATTTCTTGTCACCAAAAGAGGGAACTTGTCATGCGGATTAGGCATCCCGTAACCTTCTCGAAACCCGTGATGCTAGGGCTTCCTTGCCAGACCTTCTGCGTCATGCAAAAACAGCATGACATTTTCCAGACCCAGACATATTTGCATTTGATACGGACAATGTGCAGCCGATGGAGCTCGAAGGCCACAAGGAGGACGACGACAACAGTAACGAGGATGAAGATTCTATCCTGAGTAAAAACGTACTCACACCAGAGTTGTCATGCAGATTTGCAATGACAGAAACATTTGTAATGCGCATCGCCAGGAGAGGCTTTTTTAGTCGTGTTTTGAAATTTGTAATGCTGTAAACAGGATGAGCAGATGGATTTCTGATGCAGCTGGCCTTGCGAACCTGCACTACACTACGGACTGCAACTTGTGATGTGTGACCCCCAAAAGTTCTAGGTTTGTGTTGCAAAGTCCCCATCTTGACTCTGGTGTGGGGATGTTTTTCCTCAGGATAGATTCCGGAAACCACCCAAAGCAGTGGACGGGCGACATCAACTCAGAAGAGTACAAGGAGCGGCAGCGGCTCATCGCGCAGGAAAGGATGAACCATTTCGAGCGGGTCTCAGAGAAATGGAAGGGAAAAGGCCCCAAGGCGAAGAACCCGAAAGCACCCAAGCCAAAGGTAAGTCGGTTGCTGATAAAGCTTTTTGAGATAGGTTTATTTTCATCGATGAGGAAAAGAATGGTCATTTGTGATGCAAGACATGCATTTTACAGAATTTTGTTGTGCAAACACACTTCACAATCAATACAGATGCAAGAAGTGGAAATCTTGCCATTGCCACGCGACGGCGGGGATACGTTGCTACCAATTCACTTGAAAAAAGTAAAGGTGAAGTGCTGAAACGTGATGTTTCATCTCGCAGCATGGCAAAAAGTTCTGCCAATATTTTTCTGCATGGCAGAGTTGTTTTTTGAAATGAATTTGAGCTTTGTTTCTCCAGGACGACGCATTTGTTACGAGGAAGATGTTTGTAGTTGTACAGTGAACTGGTCAATATTACTGATTTCTTTCCTCCCCACCAGAGCTTTTCCGATCTGCACGATCACGATGGATTGAAAAACACTTTAAAGATACCATGAACGATGGAGGAACAAACCGAAAAACACTCGGCTTTTTGATGTCTCTGTCTCCGCTAGTGCTGGAAGGCGATGTAACAAGTCGGTCAAATGTAACAAGCTCCTCCATGAAGATGGTCTTTGTTTGGCTGTGATTCTCGGTTTTAAGATGTGATGAGGAAATATTCAAGCCACTTCACTGCTGTCCTGTCTTTGAACAAAGCTACTAGTTGTCGTGGTGATCAGGACTCTCGGTTGACAATGACGTGCAGTAGGCCGTTTTTTCGGTTTTGGACAATGGGTTGGAGCGGAGCTGTCAGTAGTAATTCTGTTACTGTCGAGGATCTCAATATGGAGAAACCCGACGCTATTTGTCGATCTCACAGAAGAGGCGATCACCAGGTAACATTTTTCTCGAAGAAGAAAACCTCTGCAATTTCTAAGTTAACTTTTACCACGCTTGTTTTTATCGGGAGTTTGGATTTGTGATATGAAATCAAACCGGCGAATGATCTACGAATTAGGTGGAATTAAGTAAAACTGTAAAACTCATCTGCATAATTCTTGGTCATTTTACTGCACAACACTTCGAATTATGTCGCAAACACCACGGCTCGAAATCGGAAACAGGAAGTTTATGAAGATGCTGCGGCACTATCTTTACGCAGCTAGCATTACAGACTCCGGTCACGCAGCGTTTTTACAGATTCTTCGAACGTCGCCGGAAACAGACGACGAGTGGGATTCACCGTTTCCAGTTTTCAACCAGCGACCATCATCGGCGCGAACAGCAGTCGCGGATGACGGTGGTCCTGATGGTATCCGAAGAATAAATCTACTAAAAGAGTTTGACGAAGTTGCGGACTCTCCGGCCAGCACAAATCAAAAGCAAAAGAATGGAGCTGGCGCGGGGCCCGTCGTGTCCCCAGGTAATGATGACAACAAAGGCAGCCCGCAGCCAGGTGCGCAGAGCACGGGTGCAGCTGCGTCCAGCTCTACTGTAGGTGATCATGGTTGGCGCGACCAGACCCCCAGCCCCAGGAACAAGCGGCGGCCCGACAGCCCGCCCCCGCCCCCGGGGCGCCGGGACCGATCTGATATTGGGACCACGACCAGCAACCGCTTCGCCCTAAGTCCTCCGAGTCCGGAGCACGGAGGTGCTGATGCAGCGGAAGGTGTTGCTACGAGTCCCGGCGACGATAAAACGGACGTGACTACGGCCCGACAGATACCCAGGCCGAAGCAACTTTTTGGCGACGACAACGTGGAAGAACCTGATGTCGGCGTCGAGACGAAAACTACAGAAGCAAAATTATTTCCGGATGAAATCAACACTGCACCAGCCACAGCTTCCGCCACCACCGTGAGCGGAGGGTCGAAAGGAAAGGGCAAACGTGTTCAATTGATGCGGAGCCTGTCCCCCGAAGACCGAAAAAAAACTGACAGGAAGAGCTACCGCAAGACGCCTGGGGAGAGAAAAGAAAAACGGAAGCAGGGTCGTAAGGGGAGGTCACCGGGCAAAGGAAACAAAACCACCAGCCCGGGTAGTTCTGGTTCTCGTGGCGCACCATCTTCGGACGATTCGCTAGCTTCTCCTTCCGTTGGCCCGAAGAGGTCACCAGAGGTTCAGAAGGCCAGCGAAGACGAAGCCAATGTCGTGGACGTTTCTCGACGTCCGATCTTTCCAGCAGAGATTGAAGGAGACAAGACCGCGGGCAGCCAAGATGCTGAAAATACTGTTGAAGCTAGTCCTTCTAATGAAGATGTTATCGCTGTGCCCTTTTGCGTCGGTAGTGTCGGCGGGCAAACAGGCACCGGAGCGGCGGCTGAGCGGTTTTTCTCTTTCACACTGCCCTTGACTCGGGCCCTATGGAGCGAAAAAGGTCTGTCACAGTCTCTAACTTGCAGGTTTTGCATCACAAATTTTTTCAGCATCGCAACTTTTCCTTATATTGCGGAAATAGTAGGGAAATATGGTATGAAGTTTGACTGTGATGCATTCATTTTTTTACGCATGACAGACATTGCAAAAATGCCCATGAATGATCGTGACGAGCTTTTCTTCTTTTGATACGCGCAGATTGAAGCGCAGCTGGCGATGCACGGCATCAGATACATTGAGACGGTGCGTGACCTATCAATTGCAAATATGTCTGGGTCTCAAAGAATGCAACTTGTGATGCTAACGCGGGACAACTTCTCGAAAAAAAATTGTATTGCAAGAGCAGCAAGTAGAGGAGTGCGGTCTCTGCTCGCTGGACAGAGCATTTACCATGCGAGATAGGAGGCTGCATCAAAACGCTTTCAAAAAATCTGTCATGCTTTCGCATACAGCACAGACACCATCGGCCATGCAAAATGTGCATGATCGCATTCAGGGGAAGTTCGGTGGTTTATTATCTGCTCCTCGGAGCGGGTAAAATAAATGTGGCGTAACTTGCTATTTCCTGCGGAGAACAGCAAGGTGAAAAATGTAAATGTGCATGACAAATAAGAACTTGGAAATCTTCCAGACCCGGATCGATATTTGCATTTTATACCGCCAAGAACACCCGGACTATTTTCACAAGTGTAAGTGGACAAACAGAATCCGGGTGTTGCTGAACACCTACAAGTATGCTCTGCAAAAGTATCGTACTCGTATAAATGCATGACAAATTCCCTCAGCATGAGAAATAAAATTTGTAATGCGGATCACCTTGAGAAAAAAATCTGTAATGCATGACTGCAATTACTACGAGTGCGATACTTTTGCACAGGATAACAAGCCGGTCCCGGGCGGAGATAGTGGTGAAGAATACTTGGTTCCTATCACAAGGAAAAATCCCCCCTCCCCATATCAAAAGGAAGTTTCTGATGCTGGATCTGCGTATACAAATCAGGTTTGTCTTGCAGTGGAGGAAAGCAGGCTCCTGCCAAGCCTGAGTAGAGAGCTATTGGCCTAGGCGCTCAGCATGAGAAACGTCTATGCTGTAGGCCCAAGAGCATCACAAGCCACCTGCATAATGCGGCAGAGCCTGTGGAGTTGTCTTCTTGCAAGACAGACGTGATTTGTGGCCTCAAATCAGCAAGACAAATTTTCGGAAGCATACCTTTTCGATATGGGGAGGGGGGATTTTTCCTCTCAATAGTTCCGAAAGACCTGCTGGATATGACCGACGAAGCTTTGGAAAAAGAAATCACGGTGGAAACGCTGGCAAAACTCCGCGCGATATTCTGTGTAAAAACATCCCCACCCCAGAGTTGTCATGCAGATCTGCAAGCACAAGAGCATTTGTAATGCGCATCCCCATGATAGGCATTTCCGATCGTGTTTTGGAACTTGTAATGCTCTAAACAGGATAGGCACATGGATTTGTCATGCGACTTCCCTGGCTAAACTGCACTACACTACAGCCTGCAGTTTGTCATGTGGGGCTTCCAAAACTTCAAGGTTTGTGTTGCAAAATCCCAATCTTGACTCTGGGTTGGGGACGTTTTTCCTTAGGATACGCGAAACACGAGAATATCACGGTGTTTAAAGTAGTAGAATCTGACGAAAATCCTATCCCGGAACTCTCGGACTTCGGCGGCAAAATCGACATGGGAGTTAAAAATGTTGCGCACCGCCGCCGAGAGTGGCCGTACCCGATTCCGAAAAAGGCTGGCAAAGCGATTGCAGACATCGGGAACGAGTTTGTTACACGTCTGTTTCCTCACGAAGAGGGGGGTGCTCCGTGGCGTTGGATGAACGTTTTCGATTTGACGCTCGGTGATGCAGAAACAGGTTTCCGTTTGACTGAAAAGGCACGAGCTAAACTACAACAAGACGTGGCCACGGTTGTTCACGAATTTTGGGACTCGGGGGTACTCACCTTGCACCCAAGCGTCCGGGCGCAGTACCATTCGGCGCCGATGGTCGACGCCGACCTATATTGTAAGGAAAAATCCCACCTCCCCATATCGAAAAGGTATGTTTCCGAAAATTTCTGTTGCTGATTTGAGACCACAAATCACGTCTGTCTTGCAAGAAGGCAAGTGTAGAGGCTTCCGCGCCATTATGGAAGCGCTTTGGCATGCTGTTGCGCCTAGGGGGCAGCCGTTTGCAATGCTAAGCAACTAGACCCAAACGCCCCTACCTAGGCCGAAGATCTGGCTGCGCTGCCTTACTACAAGACAAATCGGATTTGTGTACGCAAATCCAGCATCATAAATTTCGTTTTGATATGGGGAGGGGGGATTTTTCACTGCAATAACCTAGTAGAGAAGATCTACCGAGTCACCCCGGAGTTCGGAAAGGACGCTGGTGCGGCTTTTTCTGAAAAGCACAAAGTTGAGTTGCGCGTGCTTCGGGGTGGCACGGGATATCAAAATTCTCGTTACTTCGAAATTCGGATTCAGTCGAAGGCGAATTGGGTCGTTCTTTCCGATAAAGATGGTGCCGGCGGTACTGGCAGCAGCAGCAGCAGCGCCCCTGCTGAGAAGTCGAAAGCGATTCCTAAGTACGCACTGGCTTTCCGGTTCCGCACCGGGTTTGACTCCGAGGGGCCGTTCATTTACATGGAGGACGTGTATTTTGCGGCCAATCACGTCGTCAAGAAGGACGCTGCGCAGGCCTACCTGTTTCCCTACCATTACGCACTGGTGGAAGAAGATTTCCGTCCTCTGCGTCACAGAAAAGGCGTGTCGCTGGTGGAGAGCGATGGAACGGTGTTTACTGCCGGATCTTTCTTTGGGAAGCCGGGGTATCAAATGCAAAAATGTCTGGGTCTGGAAGATTGCGAGACTTGGTGTCATGCTAGTCTAGCATGACTCTGCACTCTGTATTGCGTGGCCACCAACAGGTCGTCTTGCCTGTCATGCAAAAGCGCAGTCTCTCATGCGAAATACGCATCACAGAATTACGAAAAAACTTGTCATGCTTGGCGGCGCTGTTCTGGTCTTGCGGCCCTGTTCTGGATCGGGTTGGGACCCCGTGCGGCTGAAGGCTATCCAGAACCTTCTGCCTCTGCGCCTTTGTGTTTATTTTCTAGCTACTAATATTCGTATGACTTTTCGTTCGTGCAACTTCATGAGTAATTACGTCACATGATGATACGTTCGTAACCTTCTGCATTGCTCCTCCCTCGAGGTGCATAGCAAGGTAAATCCTTCTTCAACTCATAACTCTGACAAACATGTTTTTTCTCGTTTTCTATATTTTTCTACATGTTTATGCTAACGGAAATAAGATACTACTAGTACTATCGGCTTTCGTGCCACCGGGACGTCCTGCCCGTAGACCACCAATGTCATGCTTGGCGGCGCATTACAGAGCACTTTATTGTCCACGGACTTGCGTCACAAGTTTCCAGACCCAGACATTTTTGCAGTTGATACGGGGACAAACTTATTTGTGGGGTCGTTCAGTATGATATCGATTGGAAATCAAAGAACATGATGTTGTACTTCATCGATGTGTACTAGCTCACGGTAACTTCCTTTTGTTCTCGACGGAGGGCAAAAAGCTGTATCTGCATCCATATGAAAAATTCTAGCTGATCTGTTCAAATCAGCTGAAAAGCGCGAGGTGCTCACGCTCCTATCAGTTTTTTTGCATAAGCAGAGGAGACGGAACTCAGCCTGTACATAGGCCAAGTCTATCAGCAGGGCAAAACGATATTTTTTCACATCGTGAGTTGCAAAGTACTTAAAAAGAAAAACAGACGAGACTAGGATCAATATTACCAGATTTTTCATCGCACTTGGATGAAGGTTCTTTGCAATGTGGATAGGCGGAGCAATTGCAGACTCTGCAAGACAAGCAGCACGCGGGTTGGAAAATTCAGGACGTTATCAAGCTGGGAGATGATATTCATCCATTTCGAACCAAATCGGAGAAACCCCTGATGGACTATCCGCCGGGGTTTGTGCAGGTCGATGTGACAACACTGGGTCATTCTCTTAAGCTATCCTGAGTAAAAACGTACCCACACCAGAGTTGTCATGCAGATTTGCAATGACAGGAACATTTGTAATGCGCATCGCCAGGAGAGGCATTTCCAATCGTGTTTTGGAATTTGTGTTGCTGTGAACAGGATGAGCCGATGAATCTGTGATGCGGCTGCACTTGCTAACCTGCACTACACTGCAGAGTGCAACTTGTCATGCGTGACTCACAAAGCTCCTAGGTTTGTGTTGCAAAATCCCCATCCTGACTCTGGTGTGGGTACGTTTTTACTCAGGATATAAGCACGTCTATTTCAAAACCGGATCACCGGCGGATGAGAGCTATTCTGTATGAATCAGTTGAAGAGAACGAATAGACTCAACATTCTCTTTGGCACAAGTTTTGAAAGGGAATTTATTTACACATTCAATGAGTTGCTCATTGATCAGGCGCAGTCTGTGACAGAGAGAGCTGCGCACCCCCCGAACTACTACGCTGATATATTTTATCTACAGTCTTGAGCTTGACCCCGCAGTTGGGTACATCATCATCGTCATCAATTTATTCAACTTTTTTGGTTTTCCGTTTCCTTGTTAGGCTTCAGTATGCAAGACCGGGATTTATGCATCATAGTAAAGACTCAACTTTTTTTGGTTTCCGTTTCCTTGTTAGGTTTTCAGTATGCACGACAGGGATTTTTTGTATCGGTTCCACTGTCAACATCTATCGTGTAGGCGTTGATGAACAATTATACGGGCGGCAGTAGTCGTCCGTGAAACGAAAGAACTTCCAGAAAATAAGCGTGAAATAAAATCCACATATAAAAAGTACAACATTTCGCACTCTTACACTTCCTGATCAAGCACCCGAAGATGAACATGGCACTTGCAGGAGTTCGTTGTACCGCTGGTCGATATAATTCCAGAACAATTTTGTAACTGCTAACACGGGGTAAAATATCGCAAGACGAGCAGCACCTGTAGATCTGGGGTCGGATCGAGAGAACGAGCAAGGACGCATCAGATAAAGCGTTGAAAATAAATCTTGAGCGGCCACTACTTGTACTAGAGGGCCTCAAGAACAACTGCACCGAAGGAGCTGGTGCGCCAGCACCACTTCTGTGGTCATTCCTGTTCTACTTGTCCTTTTCGTACGTCGTGTTTTGGAACAAGATGATTAAGTTCCGTATTGTTCCATCATGCGAGGACCTTCTTGTCAATAAAGATCCTGTGCGGGGGCATAATGGAGATGATCTTGTGCTGCCCGCAGTAGAACTCCTGCTGTTGTTGTCCCGAAGACGACACAGAAGTTCGCTTTCCTCTGTGCGAGATCCTGCAAAAATCTTGTCTCGTTTGTTTCATAACTAGTACAACGTCGTCCCGCGAAGAGCAGCTCTCTTTTGATACACGACGCTTTTTATTTCGCGCGGTAGAAACAAATAGTAGTAGTACCGATTTTTAGCGTTTACTTCTGTAGAGTGTCAAGATAAATGATTTTCAAATCTTTCAAACAGGCGCACCTTTCTGTTCAGTCAAAAATGCTACGTGGCCGCCCACTTGTTCGGATACTTACGTGACCAGCAAGGTGACACCACGGTCCTTCTTGTCTGCGTGTGTGAAGCGAGTTGTTTTCTTCTCCACCGATGCGGAGCGAGTAACATTACCATAACAACCAGAAATTAGTAAAAATGCTCGGCATTGTCTGTGTGACGGAATCTGCGTCGCACCCCGCCCGGGTGCTCTGCCGGTACCCACTGGACACGAACGTGGCGTATCAAATGCAAATATGACTGAGCCTGGAAGATTTCGAGATTTGTCATGCATCCCACAGACTACGCACACAGTCTGGAATGCACACAAAAGCATCACAGATTTTGCGAGACCTTCCTCATGACTGTTCCGCATGAGAAATTCCCCTTTTGCCTAGCAAGAATTGGGCAACTTTTGGCTTTCATGCAATACAGATTTTGTTGTGCTCGAGACTTAGCATGACAAGTTGCGATCTTCCAGACCCAGACATATTTGCAATGCATATGGCGCCTAATGCTGCCATTCCGATCGCGAAGAATGAGCAAACGGTTTTTGGTGTGCCGGAAAAGGAGTTCGCCAGGATGATGCTGCCCAGGGACATGAAGTTGCTCGATCGGCGTTTGGAGTTTGTCATGGATTACGCGCATCACCGAAAGTGCGCGAAAATCCGGGTGAGTAGCTACCCCAGGAACTGCCTGAATAATCCCGTGTTAACTACAAGCGGGTGTACAACTTCTAACGCGATGAATACTGGTCGTTCAGCTGATAATTCATCTGGTTCCGCTTCGAGCAGTTCCAGTGAGGTGGTTCTCGCAGCGGTGGGAGGTGCTGGTGTTGCTGCAGGGTCTTCAAAAATCTTCGGAGATCATGATGTACATGTAGCGGTCGGGACTGCTGCGCCATCGTCAACATCGTCGACGCAACATCAACTATCGCAGGAGCCGAAAGGTGTCATCGGCGCTAGTACAACAGGTGGAAAGGCAAGCCAATCGATTGTACAAGCCACCGGGACCAGTAGTAGTACCTCAACCGCACCGCAACCACACGAGGGTCTACTTTTAGAAGCTGCTGCACCGGGCAGTATTTTTGTTCAAGCTGCCATGGAAAAAACCCGCACGGTGGAGATTGAGGAGTTGAAAGTGAAAATTGACAAGAAGCAAGTGAAGGAACTGCAAGAAACCGAATTCCCGCTGCACCATATCCATGGCAAATATGTCTGGGTCTGGAAGAATGCAAGCTTTGTCATGCTTGTCTGGCATGACTGCAGAGTTTGTCATGCGTGTCCGAGAAGAGACTCTTTTACTTGTCATGCAGAACGCAGTTTGTTATGTGGAAAGCGCAACAATAAGCCGCGCAAATATAATTTCTCATGCTTGGCTGTGCATTACAGAGAAATCACTATCCACATCTCAGCATTACAAGTTTCCAGACCCAGACATATTTGCATTTGATACGCCACGAGTTTCAGCGGTTTGCGGAGAACGTTTTGGAGGACATTGACGGATCTATTTCTGGTGCGCTTGGAGCATCAAACAAGAGCAAGAACGTTTCATCTACTTCCCAAAGTGGTCTAATATCACGTGAAGAAAATAAACGGAAAAAAGAGGAGGAGTTAGCGCAGATAATAGATCCGAAGAACAAGGATAGCTTTTTCAGTGAAAACAGCCGGGGGAAGCTTTTCGAGAATTTGAAGGAGATGAACTCGGGCTTCGTGCCGGCGTCCGCTGAGAGATCAGCATCAGCATCGTCAGCTTCTAGCGGCGGACCAGTACTGGCTCGAAGCAAAACAGTGATGAGCAGACCTGCGGTGGGTGGTGCTGCTATCCCCTCCACGGCAAGAATTTCTTCGGTCATTGAAGAGCCCGGGGGCGCGCCGGATGAAGAGCTCGCTGAGACGGTGAATCACATCAAAGAGAACGTTGATTCAGATGGGGATGAAGACGACGCTGCTGGTTTCTCGTCTTCACTCAGGCGCACGAAAACGGTGTTCAGCAGGCAGCCCGCGGCGATTGGCACGGTAGTAGAGAACGTGAACATCGTATGCAATACAAATTTCCCGTACATGTACAAAGTGCATCACAAATTTTACCAATTTGGGGCGTGGCACTTGTCATGCTAAACTAGGATCGAAGCCCAGTTTTGTCATGCAGAGACCGCATTTGTACGTCTACTTTAACGGGAAAGTTACGGTGGATACATCGCTGCAACTACTTCAAATGCTGCTACATCATCATCTTCCACGACCAAGCCCGACGTATCTACTACTTCCAATCACCCTGCTTTCCAAGGCCAGCACACGTCGGAAGTAGTAGAGACTGGCGGTGGTCTTTGGCCTCATCCGAAAACGGATGACGTCGAGTCGGTTAAAATCAAGACTGGTGAGCATCAAACCGAAGAAGGCCCAACTGCAACTTTCTCCGCCGCGGTGTCTGTTTTGGATCAGACCTTTAACTTTACCGCGGAGCAGCTGAGTAGTGCGCCACCAACTACTACGCTAAGTAATCTGAAGGGAGGTCGTGGAACAACAACAGCCGAGCAGAAGTTTTCGCAGAATCATACTGGAATCACGGCGAGCAACCAAAATGTCGAAATATCGACCGGCCTTGTTTTGCCCAAGTCCGGCGAGGAATTGCTCTGTTTCAACGTGATTCTGGTCTCCAACAGTATCTACGCTGGGGTGTTGAACACCGAGTCTTTGTGGAAGATCAGCAGGAAAGTGTCGGAATTATTTCAGCGGTTCCCGATCTTGTTCCACACGGACATATTTCTGGAAAAGTTGTATCACTGCCTCGCGTATCAACTGTAAAAATGTCTGGGTCTGGAAACTTGTGATGCTGGGTGGCATATCATGAGGAGGCCACAATTGCTGGCTCAGCATGACAAGTTTTTGAGCTTCTAGGTGTTGCCTATTCTGCATGACAAACTGCGTTTCTGCATGACAGCAAAGTGGGGCTCTTTGGTAATGTGCATGACAGATTTAAGAGTCATGCCAGACAAGCATGACAAACTTGCACTCTTCCAGACCCAGACATTTTTACATTTGATATCGCGTATTTCCCCGGCCGCGGGACGTCAGTCCCGATTTCTCCCTACATTGTGGACTCCTTGCTCATCGCGAATCCGCAGTATGGGTTGAAAATGAACGCAATAGTGGGGGCGGTGAACAGTAGCCGAGAAATCGACTATTGTGTTTTCGAGGACAATTATGTGGGAGGAAGTTCTTCAAGTTTGGTGAACCGAGAGGACCGACAGAGCAAAGAGGATATTAAGTTGGGGACCGAGCGACCAAGTGACAACATCACGTCGACCACGGGGGAAGAGAGAACAAGTTCTCCACAAAGAACTACGGGATCGGCAAAACTGGGTACGAATTTGGACAAAACTGTGACGTTCCAAAAGACGAGCTCAACACTCTCTAACCCCGCTGGAGGGGGTGCCACCGGTGGAGTAGAGGACAAGCTGCAGCACGCCGCGCGAACGGTTTCGGAGGACACATCGATACCGCATTCGTTGAACCTGATCCCCTTCCTCGGCCAGGAATTCCACAGCAACGTGTTGCTGAATCGCAAAACGTATGTCGATTTATTCAAAAAAGCGCAAGAGAAGTTGAAGCGAAAACTGAAGCGGGAAAAGTTGCGAAAAATCGAGAAGGAGGAGAGGCAAAAAGCGTTGCTGGAGGAGAAATTGAAGCTGTCGCAAATCATCGAGAAGGAAACAGAGAAAATAAAACGAATTTCCTCCCAGGATGCGCTCGACAAATTGGAAGACAAGTGGCCGAAGACGCTGACAGAGGTCAAATTAGAGGCGGAGGAGCTGGAGCGAAGTAATAAGACCGTGGCGGAAGCGTTGAGCTTGCTAGCCGCGCAGGGGGTGGAGGAGAAGAGAAGTAGGATAGATTCGGATAGATTTTCTACTTCTCGTTCCTCGTCCGACGTCGATAGTGATTTCTCCTCGACGTTTTCTTCTGTTCCCTCGGATTTCTCATCCGGGTCTTCTCCGTTTGGAGAAGAGGACTCCTCCTCTTCGTCTTCCGACGAAGACAAGGACGGCGAAAGCGCTCCTGCGAGGAAAATGACCCCTCTAGCAGCTGCCACCCATCGCCATCGGCCGAAGATGTTGAGGGGGGAAAAAAAGAAAAGCACCCAAGACCTCCGCCACGACCAACTTCGGGACCCCACGCCACCGAAGTACCGTGTGTCGCTGCAGCACGGAGTGGTGGTGAAGGCGAATAATAAGACGAACGAGATTTATATCTAACGAAAAAACGTTGTTAGTGTAAATGTGTGATGCGCAGCATTCAAAGTGATTGCGTCTGTCATGCTTGGCATGCATCGTAGGGCGCATTCAGCGGCGTTTTCCCGTACTATCTGCGCATGACAGGTTTTTGCTTTCATGCGAGAGATATTTGTCATGCTAATCCTCCAAGAAAGTTACACCTACAATGTTTTTTTCTTGGATAATCTACGAGGCGAAGTATTTGATGTCATCTGAGCAGAAAAAAGACATCGACGACGTTTTGGTGCGGGCGCATAGGATGAAGAGGAAAGACATGATAACATACGTCGAAGAAAGCGAGAAACTGCTGCCAGAGAGCGTGCGTTTGGTTTCCGAGGATGCCGAGGATTTACCTGCTTACGAGCAGGAGGAGGACTACACCGTCGGACGAGAAGGCTACGCAGGCTGTTCTTCTACACAGCAGCCAGGAGCAGCATACCGATATAACACTTTTCCTCCTGGTTATCGGAGCGTCGCTCATTACAAGAAGCAAATTGAGCTGCGATATGAACAGTTAGCAGCACAACAAGCAGCGGTCGCGGAGCACGAGTACCTTGGTGATGAGTTTCATCCGCGTCCGTTGACACCTTTAGGACCATCTTCTTCCACGGCACTTCTGCATAAACCAGCAGGAGACGAAGGCATTGCGACCCTCGACTTTGACACGCAAATAAAAGCAGGAAATGTGAGTACAAGCAGCACCGTCGATCGGCCCACTTCAAAGTCGCGGCATGTTGCAGCTGCTAGTAGTACAATCATAGATGACAACTACACGGGTCATGTAAATCGCCAATTTAATATTCGCGAACAACAACATTTTACAGCGAGCAGCTCGTCCACCTCGCCCCACCAGCAGATGGGCTACACGGAACCACCCATGACCCTCCCAATCCAACCGGCGGCTTTGGACGCGATCGTTTCCCCCGGCGGCAGCAGCCACTTCGATAAGACGCAGTTTTTTGAAGATAACCAGGTTCCACTCAACGACGGAGAGACGCCCGCTTTTGATCATTTTCAAGGAGCGATTGGTGCTCCTGGGGAGAAATCTACTTCGCAAGAAAATTCCAAGTCGGACACGATTCAGAGTAACAGCAAGTCGGACGCCAGTTCTACTTCGAAGTCCGTTTCTGGAGGAGTATCCACGGCAAATATGTCTGGGTACTTATCCTGGAAATTTCTGATGCAGGTCGGTGAGTAATCAGCTCACTGCAATAGATTTTTGGTCCCCTGCGTGTTGCGTATTTCGCATGGCAGGCTCGGTTTTTGCAGGACAGATAAGAGGATCTTTATCTCGCGCCTCAGCATCACAGAGTTAGTAGTCATGCCCGACAAGCATGACAAATCTTGCAATCGTCCAGACCCAGACCTATTGGCAAGGCATAAGGAGACACCGTGCTCAAATCGCCAAACCTGGTTTTGACCCCGATGGAAACTACTATCAACTGCAAATATGTCTTGGTCTGGAAGAGTGCGCGTTTGTCATGCTTGTCTGGCATGACTCTTAAATCTGTCATGCGCGTTTTTACTCAAGAGCCCCATTTTTGTGGCATGCAGAAACGCAGTCTGTCATGCAGAATAGGCAACACCTACAAGCTCAGAAACTTGTCATGCTGAGCCAGCACTTGCGGTCTCCTCATGATACGCCCCCCCAGCATCACAAGTTTCCTGACCCAGACATATTTGCATTTGATAACTACAACGAGGAACCCATTTGGGGAAATTGGGGTCGCGGCGGCTGGAGCGTCGTCGTCGTCGTCGATTAATATAATTCCTCAGGATCAAGAAGAACAAGAGGAGAATTGTACCTCTACCGGTCCATTGCGAGAAGAACAGCAGGAAGTAGAACTTCTCTACCAAGAAAACGTCGAAATGAGCGACGAGAATGTGTATGACCTCGTTTATCAGGATGAATACGGAGATGAGTACATTTACCAAGAACTACAAGAGGACGGCGAAGTGCTAGATCACACGGGCAGCTACATGAATTTCGACTCCGGTGAAACAGACACGACGATCTTCCCTGAAGGCCTAGAGGTTGCGGGAGCTGCCACGACCTATGGCAATGCCGTTTCATCTGAAGACTATCATCACCATGATGATCATTTTCTTGACCACGATGAAGCAGACAACGGATTCTATGACAAAGTAGATGACCAAGAACAGCTTATTTCTCCAAGAGCGAAGACGCTGGATTACTGGGCCACGGTAAATCCGATGAAGATCAACACGAACAAAACCTCCATCCCCCTCGCCGATTTCTACGTGAACAACGAAACGTTTGGCGTGATTTGCACGGAAGAGACAGAAAGGGCGTTTGCGGAGGAATTTGGGGGCAAGACATTGTCGTTGTTGGAGATGCTGGCGGCCTTGTCTTGTGCGGACGAGGAAAGGTGGGCGGAATTGATTGATGAGGAGTTGTATGAGGAGCATTTGCTGGACAGAAACAAGAAATTATTCGGTATCGGGAGCGACGTGGTTGGTGGAATAAGTCAAGCAGAGAACAAGGAACACCGGCACCTCGTACTTGGCACCGGCGCTGAAGACGAGTTCCTCACGACTACGCGAGGAGAAAAAAGACAGAACACGAACCAGGCTGCTCGTGGTGAAGAAGAAAGTGACCATTCTAGCACCTCGAGTGACACTAGTTCCGACGCGACGACGAGCGAAGTTGAGAACAACGGTGAAGATGGTGCCAGCCCGGATAGAAGAAGTGGACAAAAAATGTCAGTGGAGGACGGGGGAAAGAGTGGACAACAAGAAGCAGATAGGAGCGTTTATTCTTCTAGCGGGATGATGAAAACGAAAACCACAACCAGTAGCACAAAACAAGGAAGCAAGAAATTACAATCAAGTCCGACGCACCACAACACGGAGGAAAGGACTTTGTTAGAGCGGCGCATCGTTCGGTGGCTGTACCAGCGGAAGATCATAAAGTGCTACAGAAACGCGCGGCTGGACCTGTCGCAGTACGGGGTATCCAGTGCAAATATGCCTGGGTCTGGACGAATGCAAGTTTGTCATGCTTGTCTCACATGCCCCTCAAATCTGTAATGCAGGAGCAGGGAAATAAAAGTCTAGTAAGCAGTGCCTGTCATGGAAAAATGCAGTTTGCCATGCGCAAAGCGAAACACATAAAATCTCAGAAACTTGTCATGCGTAGCTGCGTATTGCAATGTGTCCACCATTCACAAACTCGCATCACAAGTTTCCAGACCCAGTCATGCTTGCATTTGATACGGGGGCATGTTTGACTATTTCGACGAGGAGAAGCACATCTGGGAAAATTTGATCCCGTTCACCTGCGAAGGCTTTTTCGAGGAAACCAGGGGCGGGTGAGGGGAGGTGGTGTGGTGGTGTGAGGAGTTGGGTGAGGTCGTTGGGTGAGGAGTTTAGTTAGTAGTTTTAACTCTTTATTGGAAATTGTAAGAGTGAACCAATTGCTATTGCTGTTGAATTGAACCCGTCAGCAAAGTTTGTCGGATTTGTGAACAACAGCACAGGATGCCGTGACAGCCACTGTGTCGCCGACTGGGAACGTCGTTAGTGACGTTGTGAACTGCAAGGATAGTCCTGCTTTTAAGAGATGAAATAATAGGGCGAAAGCTGGAACAGAAACAACAAGGCCAGCCACCCTGCTACTTAGGCCGTGAAGAAAGACAAATGCCAGAGTGTTCCCTCGGTCTATGCGGACATAAGTATGTGCTGCTGGCGCTCGACGAAGCTGGCTGTGCGCGTCCTCAAGTCGTAACTTCTTTGCGATGTTGGATGGCGATTCGTATCGTATCAACAGAAGGCAAGACGCTGCAGCCCCCAGCGGCGCCAGCGTTCGGGCTGGCGCTCCATGCCGCGCAGGGGGCTACTTGGACGGGCCTCATTTGTCTTGGATTCGGGAGCCGCCGCCGCGTCCGGGGCCGCGGGTAGCTCCGCACCGCGATGGCCCGGGCAAATGGGCGCAGGGCTAGAGGCTCAGCGCGTGAGTTCGGCAGATTGCGCGAACCCGGGGGCCTGCGATTCTTGGCGCGGTTTTCTGGCCTACCTCGCGGCCCTGCCTTCTGCCGCGGCCTGCCGCACTAGATAGTAGACCCGTGCGGGCGGTTCGATAGGGTGGGGGGGGCCCGGTCTGTACCCGCGGCGTGCGGGTGTGGAAGGGCGGCAAGCAACCGGAGATCGGGGCGGGGGGGTATTGCGTCACCCACTTCGGTGATTTGGCCGGGTGGGCTGGTTCGTTGGAGGCGGTCCGCGTACTCTCTGGCCCCCCGAGATTCGTATGGAAGGGATTTGTCCCAGGAGGGGCGCCCAAGCTAAGTCGTGCATCTTTGGGCCATTGCGAATATAAACAGAAGGGGGCGCGCGATGGAGAGATCAAGCAGGTGGGGCTGCGCACTGGTTTCGGGACCGCTTTCGGAGGAGCCTGGGCGCAGGAGTTTGGCGCCGTGTGCAAGAGCGCCAGCGCGGGGCACTCGCGGGGTGTGGTGCTGGTGACGAGGTAGCGGGGCCTTGCGCGCAGTGGTGCGCGGGCGCCCGGCCCGCGGGCCCGCCTGGAGCGCTGTCGGCGACGCACGAAAGTCCTCCGAACTGCAAGCGCCCCGCTCTCAGCTCCTTCCGCCATTCGGGCGGCAGGGCGCGCGCGCTTGGGAAAAAGCAGAAGCGCCTGCCGCTCGGGAAAAAGCGGAAGCGCCTATCTGCCGGCCCGCGGCCGGGCAGGCTGCGCGCGAGAGCCCCCTGATGTTGTACAGCCCGGCCGGGGTGCTGGCGCCGCGCTTGCCAATGTTCGGGCCGGCGCCGGCGGGCCGCCCGGGCCCCTCATAGGGTCCAACTGGATCGGGGCCCTGTTGGGTTGCAAAATCCCTTCGGAGCGCCGCGTCAGACCCCTGCCGCTATGGGCAAATGGCGATCCGGCCGTCCCGCAACTCAAAAACGCCTATGGAGTTGGCTACTACGAGCCTCGCGGCGGGCGGCAATCGCAGGCCGCCGAAGTCGTCGACCCTATGTCGCGTCTCCTCTCGCGCAAAACACCGGACACGTTTGCACTAGGGCCGAAAGCGACTGACGAGGGGCCAGAGGCATACATGCATGGAGCGCCAAATCGCAACAACGTCAGCCATTTCGTTTTTGGCCAGAAAGGACGCTCATCGATCGACCCGCACAGAAGCGCTCTGCTCACGAGCGGAGATGCCCGGAAGCCGGTTCGCACGCGACAAGGAGTCGAATTGCAAAGCTACCCGCTGACTCAGTCGCAAGTCGCTCAGCTCGTGCTGAGGATGGAACCGTGACGGAAGGAGGGACAGCGAGCAGGGTTCAGCCAGCCTGGTCACGTTGAGGAGGAGAGCTCGAAAGCGAACGGCGAGCGAACGGCGAAGGCGCCACACCTTCAGCGGCGGCGCGGCGGCGCGCCGCGCCGATAGGAAGCGGCCGCCCGCCGGCCGCGGCCCGGAAATTGCCGCGCGGGCTTTGCGGCCGGCGCGCCTATTTCGATCGCCCGGGGCCCGGGCCTGCCGTCTCGGGGCGGCGGGCCTACACGAATCCGGGCCGGCCACGCGCCACTAGCGAGTCGCGCGCCACTAGTCGCGCGCCCCGCGCGGCCCGCCTTGTGCTGGCCGGGGGGGCCCGCGCCGCCTGTGGCTTTGGCCTTTCGCAGGCCCTTGCGGGCGAATTCCGAGAACGCATAGGGCCCCCGGGGGCCATGCTTTCGGGGGCCGGTGCGCGCCCCGCCCCTGCGGCGCGTGCGCGCAGCACCTACGCAGCGCTGCCGGGAGTGTCGCAGGCACGCACCGACCCAGGTTTGCTCGCGGGCCGAGGGGCGCGTGCCTGGTGTTTGTTTTTTTCCGTATCGCCATCGTGTCCGTCTTGATTAATGCGAGGCCTATTTGTTGCTTCTTGCTTGGCGGGCCGCTGTCTTGATGCGTGACTGAAAAGGGCACCGCCCTGTGTGTTCGGGCTGTGGGTTGTCTCTGTGTTGTCTCCGTCTGCTGCCCAGTGCAGCTTTTATTTTCATTCTGTGCGGTTTCTCGATGTCGGTGCCGAGCAAGGTTGATGTAGTGAGCTCTTGTGAACATACCGCAAATCAGTTGATCTACCGCAGCTTCTGAGCAGCCTTGCGATTGCAAACACAATGACAACCAACGCTCCCCAAACTCTCCCTGCTTCCGGCGATCCAGATAGCCCGATCGAAATCATCCTACCTGGAGCTGGCAATAGGAACTCCGCAGGTGGATCTGGATCATCCTCTTCGTCCCCCGACGCCTCTTCCACCAGCACGGACGCCGTAACAGACAACCTTAGCTTCCTCCTTATGCTCGTCCTAGTGGGCTGCCTGAGTTACTGCGTCGCCCACGCCGTGGTGAAGGGCGCAAGGGTGACAACTTGTTTGGAAGAGGAGAACAGTCTTCGTTGCAGTCTCGCCGACTTGGACGGGCGAGCTCTTTCAGGTTCGGAGAACTACAACAGGAGTAAGATGAACAAAAACAAGTCCTCGTGACACATTGCACTTGAATTGGGGCGTCTTCTCTCTCGACAAGCTACTGACTTGTCCGAGGTGCTGATTGATGTTCTTCACGAGCCATTTTTTTTGCTTTCCGCGCGGCCGCGGCTTTGGGCAATGACTTGGGCTTCGCTTATTTCTCAAGCAGAGGCTTGAAGACAATCTGCGCGTGCTGCTCTACTCCGTCTTTAAAAAGAGACGGCAAACAAGATGGAGCAGAAATGCGGTAAACGTAGTCGAGCGACGAGGAGCGAGACACGACATCCACTCCATCCTTCAAGGAGCGACTCCGTCTCGTGCGATGTTGAAATAACGGTCGAGAGTTTTAAAGACAGTTTCCAGGAGCGAAAAATCTTCATCCTACCGAGCTTCCCGCTCATTTAGTTGTTTTCCACCGCCACCTGTTTCCATTTGCTATAACAAAAACTCGCAAGCATGTTCCTCCGGGCAAAGGCCCGCTCTGCCGCGGCGGCTGCCGCTAAGGAGGCCGCCGCTATCAAATGCAAAAGTGTCTGGGTCTGGAGAAGTGGAACTTGTCATGCTAAATCTGAATGATGCAAAAATCTGTGTTGCGTGAGTGCCAAAAGCTGTCCGCTTTTGAACAAGTTGAGAGGGAGTCTCTCATGCAGGAAAGGCATGATAGAGACCTCAAAGAATCTGCAATGCTGGGTCTCGCATTCCAGACCTCATGGGTCATGGAAAACCTGCATCACAAATCTTGCATTCTTCCAGACCCAGACATTTTTACAATCCATAGCCGCGCCGGTGAAGCAAGTGCCCATGTCGCTCTGTTGCCACGGAAACACGTACGCGTTTCACTATTTGAACCACCCCGGCTATGGATGTGTTAGGTTTGAAATCGTGAAAGTTGAAATAGTTTGTCATGCATAAAACGGAAACCAGTTAGACCTACAGTTTGTAGTCGGCGCGTCACAAATTTTCCCGGTTGTGGAAGCGAGTCTCTCATGCGGTTTAGGGCAAAAGAGTTGCCTTCTGTCATGCTAGTTAGCAGCCCAACTTTTGACCCTTACCAGGACTATAATCTGCCTCCCGTGGGTCCTCTGCAATAGAGTCGCTTTTTGTATCGCATTTTGTGCATGAGCATGGCAAATTATTTCAACTTTGACGATTTCAAGCCTGGCGCTTCCATACCGGCGTGATGGCAATAAGCACGCTGTTGGAAATGAAGGGGATAGTGGATATGCGAGCAAATTTCACGCAGGAAAACATCGAGGCACTGAAGGTGAGGGATGATTTTCTGGGGTTTACAGATCATATTGTACACTAGTTGAGGTAGAAATGGAATTCGAATTCGTTTCAATCTTGTATTGCAGAAGCTCGCATCAGGAGCGGGACTTGTCATGCAAAAAAGTACTTTATAAAGTGTAATTAAAAATCAAAGTACAGGAATTCGACGCCGAGCTGGCACGAAAAGGGCAGATAGCACTGGATCACGATTTGGCGGTGAACTTTTTGGATCTGGAATACATTGACGAGACCCTCCCTAGGCTCTTGATCGAAAAGGAGCTGTGTCAACAGGTACTACAGCGTTCCAGTGGATGAAAATTTCTCATACATGATGACACACTACTAGAGTTCGTGTTTGTCATGCACTCCAACACTAAGGGTAATAAAGTATGACTTTCAAATTCTATCAGGCCCAACTCGACGTGCTGCAAAGGAAGGATGGGGATTTTTCGCCCGTGAAGTCTCTCGAAGGAAAAAAGAAAGACGCGGTAAACGCTGCCATGCTGAAGATGCCCGCCGCGTACAAGAAAAAGATGTTGGAAGACTCACTGCACGTCATCGAGAGCTTTGTGGACACAGGGTACAAAAACTTGAAGTCTTTTGTTAAAATGACTTTTTGATGTTGTAAGATCACCTTTTTTGTTGTTTCACCCTGCATGACAAATTGAAACTCTGGTGTTGACGCGCATGGCAAACACAAAAATGACCTTACAAGGTACCGCAACGAATCGGACGCTATGCAGGCCTTGCTGTACTACTGCACTCTATCGCAAGAAAAGACTGTTTCACTGTAAACTTGTGATGCATGATAGAATGCATCGCAGACGCATTTGTCTTGCTACACATGCTGCGAGGCATTATCTTTTTCAATGTGTTTTTTCTCAGGAAGTACGCATGGCAGGTTTTCCTTGTCGTGTGTAACGAACTTGTGATGCAAAACTTGTAAAATCCTTACAGTGAAGCACTTTTTTCGTACGATGCACTCTGATGGAATCTCCAGACCTCGAACTGGACGCAAAACAGACGAAAAAAATTTCGGCGAAAGCAACCGAGGTGCGACAGTGGGCGGAGAAGTTGTATACGTCGGGGGACAAATCCGCGATCAAGCAGGCGGACGTTGAGGGCAAGTTGAAGGAGATGAAGACCACTTGCAATCCGGTGGTGGTGGACAAGTTGAAGGCTCTCATCAAGGAGCAGCAGTGAAGATGAAAAAGCGATAGGGAAGATGAAAGGCATCAGTTCGTGAACAGCCGCTTACCTGTTCCTTGCACTTTGCACCGACGCGAGTGTGCCTTGTCATCCTTCTCGATACGTAGAAACATCAAAACCTTCCGAGCGGGCATTGAAAAAGAGCCACGCACGACGAACCTTTGCGTAGACAGAAGGTGTCGTGGGCCTCGCATGGGGACGGGCGCGGTTTTGCTTCTTCTAGAGAGCAACCGGGAAAGTAGATTCGAGTGAACAGCAAATGCGTCCTTTCGTGTGTTCATTCGCCAGCTCGCACACAGCGAAGTGGTTTTTTTTTGGAGCACAGCAACAAGATTATAGCACTTCCTTATGTCGAAGCAAGTTGAGCTTTTGGTTTTGTGCATACTGTTTGTGCATAATCAGACTTTTCCCGCCTTTTGGCACGTACTCCGTTTGTCCTGACTCAACTCTATTTTTTTTCCCGCCCTACTTTGGCGATGTTAATACTTGAGAGATGGAGTTTGTATGGAAGCAAAGCTGACACTAAGTCTCTTTTTTCTTGGAAGATTTTATCACTTGGAATTAGCTAGAAGAAATACCACGGACTATTCTGTTCGTGTTCTTCTGTTTGAGTTTCGTCTTCATCACAATTAGTCTCTGTTTTGCTTTTCAGGACAAATTGTAGAGCAAGAGATTGCTCAAAATCTTGCTTTTGCTTAGTCGCTTAAGTGCTAGACCACTTGCATGCACATAATTTGTCTAGTTGTAAAATCTAAATCCTTCGATGAACTGACTACAGCCACGTCGTTGTAGCCTGTTTGCCCAGGAGTTTTTTTTAGCGCTAACAACTATATCCAACCGATCTCCGTTGATCTCTCCGCGCCTCTTGGGCTGATAAATTAGTCTAGCACGACTTCTACTAGTGCCAGGTTTTGTTTAAATAAGTGCTTTCTTCATTATCATTTCGGTTTGTAAACACGGCAGGTTTGACCTAGAAAAATAGGTCAGCCGGAAAACTCGCAGCTGCACCTGTTTTCCACGATTTTTCCAAAATTGAATATACTTTCCTCCTTCAGTTTATATCGTGTGTGCAACTTTTTGGTTCGTTTTTGTTTCATTTTCGTTTCGCTGCTGAAGAATTTTGAATTTCTCGAGTGGATAAGAATTCTAAACTTCTGCAGAAAGAATCCTTTTTGCTGTTTCTCTACTTCGAAAAAGGCTTACTGGTCTTTTCAAACCGAAGCAGTTGTTTTTTTTTGGTCAACATCATTGCACGACCTTCACAAGATTTCATCTTCGAACCCCTCGTCTCTGTGCGTTCGATTCGTCTACTCCTACCTTTCACAGGCCCATTGGACACGGTTTTACTAGGACGATAACATCACCGCGCCGAAGCTGATACCAAGTTCCTTGGAAAGTACCTAACTGTTGGACCACGAAGACCATTGCCACCATGTCTGGTTCTGCCCGCTGTGCTGAGGAGAGCATCAACAGTGTGGAGGCACATCTGGAACAAACGGGTTGCATCACTGCGAAAAACGCAGAACTACATGCCGCAGTGCTTGTGGAGCCGACACCGGGCAGCGGGCTGAATGCAGACCCACACGTAGATCCTGATCCGGGGAGCTGCTGCCACGCGCAACCCGGAATGTTGGGGCTAAATGCGGATGATGAAGAACAGAGTATCACAAAAATTCCGAATTATGACGAGAATTGTACTACAAGTTCTGAACAACATCCAGCAGCTCCGGACCTTGCTACAGCGCACGGTGCCAACAAGACCCCCACCAGCGCCGCCATTATCTCTGGTGTTCCCGCCGCGGCGGCCCAATCCGCAAAGGAACGCACCAAGACCCCCGAGGAAGGAGCTGAAGACGCAGGCCAAGAAGTTAAAACAAATGACTCTACTGCGACCACAGAAGTATCAGCAACGATGTTTCATTCGTCTACAGAGCCTGTGAACAAGCCAACTTCCGTATCCCGAGAAAAAAGTGCTACAGTTACACACTTGTTGGAGCTTCTGCATCACAAATTTTCTCTGTGTGGTAGAGAAAATTTGTAATGCGACGATCACAAGGGAAAACAGGAAGGAAACGAAGCACCGAAGCATTTCCTGCATGAGAAAGGTTGTCTCTGTTGCCAGTCTTGCATGACAATGTGTAACTGTAACACTTTTTTCTTGCGATATTCCTACGCCCTCCAGCACAAAACTTCTTCCGCAGCTGACCTCCTGAACATGCTCACAACGGCAGCGAACAAAGACAATAAAGTCTTCGACTCACCCGGAAATGTTGATCCCATCGCTTCTTCGTTACTCACGCCTACCACAGCGAATAACCATTACACCTTCAGTGGGATTGATGGTTCCTCGAACAAGGACCAGCTGGATTTTAACACGTACATCACGTCCAAAGTGGGCAATCTTTCCGGCGGCTCTGCGGGCAGCACAACCTGCTCGAGTTTTGTCAGCCGGAGCAGTTCGCGGACGGGCAATGGCGCTACGTACACGACCGGGTTTCATCTCCCCCCAAATGGCCTGTCAGCTGGTGACCACAGGGGCACAACAACTCCTGGGATCATGATGAACAACAACGGGGGGACCACAACTGCTTACCAAGATCACCACGTTAATGCCGACAGTTACTGCTCAAGCGCCGCCAAGGCAAACATGCTGTCTGATTTGAAACTCTCCAACAGCTCGCTTCTGTTCCCAGAAGACGGCTTCGAATCCTCCCCCGACGTCTCCGAAAACGGCTCGTCTCGCCCGCAATCCGCCGGTAAGGAGCCGATCTGCAACTCAAAGTCGAATTTGCCAACTGTGATTGACGAAGAGGACGACGAGCATTTGGAAAATTTATCCAGTCCGGTGGCTTGCGACCACGAAACCAGCGGGTCGAGTGAGAACGGGATGATGTTGTGCGGCTCTGAAGATGTTCTTTTCGGAGATGGTGAAAAGAAACATGGTTCTTGCAACGAAGAACAATTCAAAACAGTAGAAAATCATCGCGGTGAAGGTCATGATGAGCACCTGCATGAAGATGACCACAACTGTAACGACAGCTGCAATGACTCGTTGGAAGTTGGGGAAGAGGCGGTGAAACCGGAAATCATGCAGGAGGTGATGCGCCGGACGACCAGTGTCCGGTCCACGAAAAGTGCTGTTGGGCCCACTCAGTTGAATATGCAACAGCAGCATCTTCTTCATCAATTTCCAGGTTGTAGTCATCTCGTCGGGAATGAGATGGAGGACGATAGCGTCAAGATCATGGAATCGATTGACGGGCCTATAACTACGGAGGCTCGACCGCACGTGCAGTCTCTGCACGAAGAGCAAACACCAGTAGACCACGATGCGAACAGTTGTACCCACGCGCATTTTATGCACTGCAAAAGTATCGTACTCGTATGAATTGCAGGTATGCATGACAAATCTGGTTTCCTACCCAAATCTGCATTACAAATTCCAATTTTCTTCCTGATAAAATTTGTCATGCGATTTATACCAGTGCGATACTTTAACTTTTGCAATGCATACACTTTCTCGCACAGCAATTCAGCCGCACCTACCAGCAGAAAGCGGAAGACGCCATGCAGGATATGATGACCAAGAGTATCCAGGTGGTCACGAAAACTGCAGCGTCAGCAGGGGCTACAATGGCAGCCGCCACGACGGGTGGCGGAACGACCTGTAGTTCTACCATGAACTACCACCAGCAACAAATCTTGGAAGCCAATTTGTTGCAGCAAGGAGATCCCAATCGTTCATCCATATCACAGAATTTATCTTCCCCAACCCGGACGACGAAAATGATGATGAACAAATACGGAGAATCTTACTTTAACAACGCTCTGCTCCGTCGGGTCGACACTTCCTCTCCGGGTTCACCGATTTTGGTTCATCCGAAGGCGTCACCGGACTATTCAGTGCAAAAGCATCGTACTCGTAGTAATTGCAACTATGCATGACAAATCTGGATTCTTAGCTAAATTAGCATTACAAATTGAATTTTTTTTTTTCCTTTTGATAAAATTTGTGTTGCAATTATTGCTCCTACTGCGATACTTTTGCAATCCATACGGACGGCGCTCCTGCGACAATTACTATCGGGGAGGAGTTTTCGATTTTGGGAGCAGACGATGATGAAGATGAAAACAACACGGTTATCCTGAGTAAAAACGTCCCCACACCAGAGTTGTCATGCAGATTTGCAATGACAGGAACATTTGTAATGCGCATCACCAGGAGAGGCATTTTTAGTGGTGTTTTGGAATTTGTAATGCTGTAAACAGGATGAGCAGATGGATTTCTGATGCAGCTGGCCTTGCGAACCTGCACTACACTACGGACTGCAACTTGTGATGCGTGACCCCCAAAAGTTCTAGGTTTGTGTTGCAAANACAACTGGCAAAGCAGTTATCAAATGCAAAAATGTCTGGGTCTGGAAGATTAGAACTTGTCATGCTAAATCTGAATGATGCAAAAATCTGTGTTGCGTGAGTGCCAAAAGCTGTCCGCTTTTGAACAAGTTGAGAGGGAGTCTCTCATGCAGGAAAGGCATGATAGAGACCTCAAAGAATCTGCAATGCTGGGTCTCGCATTCCAGACCTCATGGGTCATGGAAAACCTGCATCACAAATCTTGCATTCTTCCAGACCCAGACATTTTTACAATCCATAGCCGCGCCGGTGAAGCAAGTGCCCATGTCGCTCTGTTGCCACGGAAACACGTACGCGTTTCACTATTTGAACCACCCCGGCTATGGATGTGTTAGGTTTGAAATCGTGAAAGTTGAAATAGTTTGTCATGCATAAAACGGAAACCAGTTAGACCTACAGTTTGTAGTCGGCGCGTCACAAATTTTCCCGGTTGTGGAAGCGAGTCTCTCATGCGGTTTAGGGCAAAAGAGTTGCCTTCTGTCATGCTAGTTAGCAGCCCAACTTTTGACCCTTACCAGGACTATAATCTGCCTCCCGTGGGTCCTCTGCAATAGAGTCGCTTTTTGTATCGCATTTTGTGCATGAGCATGGCAAATTATTTCAACTTTGACGATTTCAAGCCTGGCGCTTCCATACCGGCGTGATGGCAATAAGCACGCTGTTGGAAATGAAGGGGATAGTGGATATGCGAGCAAATTTCACGCAGGAAAACATCGAGGCACTGAAGGTGAGGGATGATTTTCTGGGGTTTACAGATCATATTGTACACTAGTTGAGGTAGAAATGGAATTCGAATTCGTTTCAATCTTGTATTGCAGAAGCTCGCATCAGGAGCGGGACTTGTCATGCAAAAAAGTACTTTATAAAGTGTAATTAAAAATCAAAGTACAGGAATTCGACGCCGAGCTGGCACGAAAAGGGCAGATAGCACTGGATCACGATTTGGCGGTGAACTTTTTGGATCTGGAATACATTGACGAGACCCTCCCTAGGCTCTTGATCGAAAAGGAGCTGTGTCAACAGGTACTACAGCGTTCCAGTGGATGAAAATTTCTCATACATGATGACACACTACTAGAGTTCGTGTTTGTCATGCACTCCAACACTAAGGGTAATAAAGTATGACTTTCAAATTCTATCAGGCCCAACTCGACGTGCTGCAAAGGAAGGATGGGGATTTTTCGCCCGTGAAGTCTCTCGAAGGAAAAAAGAAAGACGCGGTAAACGCTGCCATGCTGAAGATGCCCGCCGCGTACAAGAAAAAGATGTTGGAAGACTCACTGCACGTCATCGAGAGCTTTGTGGACACAGGGTACAAAAACTTGAAGTCTTTTGTTAAAATGACTTTTTGATGTTGTAAGATCACCTTTTTTGTTGTTTCACCCTGCATGACAAATTGAAACTCTGGTGTTGACGCGCATGGCAAACACAAAAATGACCTTACAAGGTACCGCAACGAATCGGACGCTATGCAGGCCTTGCTGTACTACTGCACTCTATCGCAAGAAAAGACTGTTTCACTGTAAACTTGTGATGCATGATAGAATGCATCGCAGACGCATTTGTCTTGCTACACATGCTGCGAGGCATTATCTTTTTCAATGTGTTTTTTCTCAGGAAGTACGCATGGCAGGTTTTCCTTGTCGTGTGTAACGAACTTGTGATGCAAAACTTGTAAAATCCTTACAGTGAAGCACTTTTTTCGTACGATGCACTCTGATGGAATCTCCAGACCTCGAACTGGACGCAAAACAGACGAAAAAAATTTCGGCGAAAGCAACCGAGGTGCGACAGTGGGCGGAGAAGTTGTATACGTCGGGGGACAAATCCGCGATCAAGCAGGCGGACGTTGAGGGCAAGTTGAAGGAGATGAAGACCACTTGCAATCCGGTGGTGGTGGACAAGTTGAAGGCTCTCATCAAGGAGCAGCAGTGAAGATGAAAAAGCGATAGGGAAGATGAAAGGCATCAGTTCGTGAACAGCCGCTTACCTGTTCCTTGCACTTTGCACCGACGCGAGTGTGCCTTGTCATCCTTCTCGATACGTAGAAACATCAAAACCTTCCGAGCGGGCATTGAAAAAGAGCCACGCACGACGAACCTTTGCGTAGACAGAAGGTGTCGTGGGCCTCGCATGGGGACGGGCGCGGTTTTGCTTCTTCTAGAGAGCAACCGGGAAAGTAGATTCGAGTGAACAGCAAATGCGTCCTTTCGTGTGTTCATTCGCCAGCTCGCACACAGCGAAGTGGTTTTTTTTTGGAGCACAGCAACAAGATTATAGCACTTCCTTATGTCGAAGCAAGTTGAGCTTTTGGTTTTGTGCATACTGTTTGTGCATAATCAGACTTTTCCCGCCTTTTGGCACGTACTCCGTTTGTCCTGACTCAACTCTATTTTTTTTCCCGCCCTACTTTGGCGATGTTAATACTTGAGAGATGGAGTTTGTATGGAAGCAAAGCTGACACTAAGTCTCTTTTTTCTTGGAAGATTTTATCACTTGGAATTAGCTAGAAGAAATACCACGGACTATTCTGTTCGTGTTCTTCTGTTTGAGTTTCGTCTTCATCACAATTAGTCTCTGTTTTGCTTTTCAGGACAAATTGTAGAGCAAGAGATTGCTCAAAATCTTGCTTTTGCTTAGTCGCTTAAGTGCTAGACCACTTGCATGCACATAATTTGTCTAGTTGTAAAATCTAAATCCTTCGATGAACTGACTACAGCCACGTCGTTGTAGCCTGTTTGCCCAGGAGTTTTTTTTAGCGCTAACAACTATATCCAACCGATCTCCGTTGATCTCTCCGCGCCTCTTGGGCTGATAAATTAGTCTAGCACGACTTCTACTAGTGCCAGGTTTTGTTTAAATAAGTGCTTTCTTCATTATCATTTCGGTTTGTAAACACGGCAGGTTTGACCTAGAAAAATAGGTCAGCCGGAAAACTCGCAGCTGCACCTGTTTTCCACGATTTTTCCAAAATTGAATATACTTTCCTCCTTCAGTTTATATCGTGTGTGCAACTTTTTGGTTCGTTTTTGTTTCATTTTCGTTTCGCTGCTGAAGAATTTTGAATTTCTCGAGTGGATAAGAATTCTAAACTTCTGCAGAAAGAATCCTTTTTGCTGTTTCTCTACTTCGAAAAAGGCTTACTGGTCTTTTCAAACCGAAGCAGTTGTTTTTTTTTGGTCAACATCATTGCACGACCTTCACAAGATTTCATCTTCGAACCCCTCGTCTCTGTGCGTTCGATTCGTCTACTCCTACCTTTCACAGGCCCATTGGACACGGTTTTACTAGGACGATAACATCACCGCGCCGAAGCTGATACCAAGTTCCTTGGAAAGTACCTAACTGTTGGACCACGAAGACCATTGCCACCATGTCTGGTTCTGCCCGCTGTGCTGAGGAGAGCATCAACAGTGTGGAGGCACATCTGGAACAAACGGGTTGCATCACTGCGAAAAACGCAGAACTACATGCCGCAGTGCTTGTGGAGCCGACACCGGGCAGCGGGCTGAATGCAGACCCACACGTAGATCCTGATCCGGGGAGCTGCTGCCACGCGCAACCCGGAATGTTGGGGCTAAATGCGGATGATGAAGAACAGAGTATCACAAAAATTCCGAATTATGACGAGAATTGTACTACAAGTTCTGAACAACATCCAGCAGCTCCGGACCTTGCTACAGCGCACGGTGCCAACAAGACCCCCACCAGCGCCGCCATTATCTCTGGTGTTCCCGCCGCGGCGGCCCAATCCGCAAAGGAACGCACCAAGACCCCCGAGGAAGGAGCTGAAGACGCAGGCCAAGAAGTTAAAACAAATGACTCTACTGCGACCACAGAAGTATCAGCAACGATGTTTCATTCGTCTACAGAGCCTGTGAACAAGCCAACTTCCGTATCCCGAGAAAAAAGTGCTACAGTTACACACTTGTTGGAGCTTCTGCATCACAAATTTTCTCTGTGTGGTAGAGAAAATTTGTAATGCGACGATCACAAGGGAAAACAGGAAGGAAACGAAGCACCGAAGCATTTCCTGCATGAGAAAGGTTGTCTCTGTTGCCAGTCTTGCATGACAATGTGTAACTGTAACACTTTTTTCTTGCGATATTCCTACGCCCTCCAGCACAAAACTTCTTCCGCAGCTGACCTCCTGAACATGCTCACAACGGCAGCGAACAAAGACAATAAAGTCTTCGACTCACCCGGAAATGTTGATCCCATCGCTTCTTCGTTACTCACGCCTACCACAGCGAATAACCATTACACCTTCAGTGGGATTGATGGTTCCTCGAACAAGGACCAGCTGGATTTTAACACGTACATCACGTCCAAAGTGGGCAATCTTTCCGGCGGCTCTGCGGGCAGCACAACCTGCTCGAGTTTTGTCAGCCGGAGCAGTTCGCGGACGGGCAATGGCGCTACGTACACGACCGGGTTTCATCTCCCCCCAAATGGCCTGTCAGCTGGTGACCACAGGGGCACAACAACTCCTGGGATCATGATGAACAACAACGGGGGGACCACAACTGCTTACCAAGATCACCACGTTAATGCCGACAGTTACTGCTCAAGCGCCGCCAAGGCAAACATGCTGTCTGATTTGAAACTCTCCAACAGCTCGCTTCTGTTCCCAGAAGACGGCTTCGAATCCTCCCCCGACGTCTCCGAAAACGGCTCGTCTCGCCCGCAATCCGCCGGTAAGGAGCCGATCTGCAACTCAAAGTCGAATTTGCCAACTGTGATTGACGAAGAGGACGACGAGCATTTGGAAAATTTATCCAGTCCGGTGGCTTGCGACCACGAAACCAGCGGGTCGAGTGAGAACGGGATGATGTTGTGCGGCTCTGAAGATGTTCTTTTCGGAGATGGTGAAAAGAAACATGGTTCTTGCAACGAAGAACAATTCAAAACAGTAGAAAATCATCGCGGTGAAGGTCATGATGAGCACCTGCATGAAGATGACCACAACTGTAACGACAGCTGCAATGACTCGTTGGAAGTTGGGGAAGAGGCGGTGAAACCGGAAATCATGCAGGAGGTGATGCGCCGGACGACCAGTGTCCGGTCCACGAAAAGTGCTGTTGGGCCCACTCAGTTGAATATGCAACAGCAGCATCTTCTTCATCAATTTCCAGGTTGTAGTCATCTCGTCGGGAATGAGATGGAGGACGATAGCGTCAAGATCATGGAATCGATTGACGGGCCTATAACTACGGAGGCTCGACCGCACGTGCAGTCTCTGCACGAAGAGCAAACACCAGTAGACCACGATGCGAACAGTTGTACCCACGCGCATTTTATGCACTGCAAAAGTATCGTACTCGTATGAATTGCAGGTATGCATGACAAATCTGGTTTCCTACCCAAATCTGCATTACAAATTCCAATTTTCTTCCTGATAAAATTTGTCATGCGATTTATACCAGTGCGATACTTTAACTTTTGCAATGCATACACTTTCTCGCACAGCAATTCAGCCGCACCTACCAGCAGAAAGCGGAAGACGCCATGCAGGATATGATGACCAAGAGTATCCAGGTGGTCACGAAAACTGCAGCGTCAGCAGGGGCTACAATGGCAGCCGCCACGACGGGTGGCGGAACGACCTGTAGTTCTACCATGAACTACCACCAGCAACAAATCTTGGAAGCCAATTTGTTGCAGCAAGGAGATCCCAATCGTTCATCCATATCACAGAATTTATCTTCCCCAACCCGGACGACGAAAATGATGATGAACAAATACGGAGAATCTTACTTTAACAACGCTCTGCTCCGTCGGGTCGACACTTCCTCTCCGGGTTCACCGATTTTGGTTCATCCGAAGGCGTCACCGGACTATTCAGTGCAAAAGCATCGTACTCGTAGTAATTGCAACTATGCATGACAAATCTGGATTCTTAGCTAAATTAGCATTACAAATTGAATTTTTTTTTTTCCTTTTGATAAAATTTGTGTTGCAATTATTGCTCCTACTGCGATACTTTTGCAATCCATACGGACGGCGCTCCTGCGACAATTACTATCGGGGAGGAGTTTTCGATTTTGGGAGCAGACGATGATGAAGATGAAAACAACACGGTTATCCTGAGTAAAAACGTCCCCACACCAGAGTTGTCATGCAGATTTGCAATGACAGGAACATTTGTAATGCGCATCACCAGGAGAGGCATTTTTAGTGGTGTTTTGGAATTTGTAATGCTGTAAACAGGATGAGCAGATGGATTTCTGATGCAGCTGGCCTTGCGAACCTGCACTACACTACGGACTGCAACTTGTGATGCGTGACCCCCAAAAGTTCTAGGTTTGTGTTGCAAAATCCCCATCTTGACTCTGGTGTGGGGATGTTTTTACTCAGGATAACGGTCAATATCCTATCCCCAGCGGAGCACACGGATGTCGATGTGCAGCCGGAAAATCAAGCAGAACTAGAGCAAAATGTTGACAGCAACATTTTGAAGATTCACCGCCCGAAACCCAGTTTAGCGAAGACCCTGATTAACTACAATCCCGCACCGAATATTTCGGTGACTGGTGCAGACAGTTTGAGGGCGAGCAATTCTTCCATTCTCTCCACCGGTCGAAACATCAGCCAAGCTAAAGATAACGAGAACCACCACGGAAAGAGCAACGATAAGTGTGGTCATGATCTCCCGACTTCTACCTCCCTGACCGATAGCACGAACTTTCTGGAGCAATCGCCTCCCTACCTGGCTTCTCCGATCTTCTCGCACAAGAACTCTGAGGACGGGGAAATTAACTACAGCGGGACGAAGAATTCTTCGCATGAAGACGACGCGGACGATATTTGCCGGTACAATGATTCGAACATGGAATTTGTGATGGACGGCGAGCACGACTGCTCCTCCGGATCGGAAAAATTTGAAAAGCAACTGATGGAATCCTCGCCACCAAAACCTCTGCCGGAAGATGAAAAGAATTCGATTTTCGGTCAAATTTGCGATTTCCCTGTAGGAGGAGGAGGTGGGGATCATGATGTTGCGCCGTCGGGCTGCAATAGTTCATCTGGCAATAGGTTGACAGTGTCAACGATCGGTGGCCCAACATCGTCCTCCTGCGGACAGTACAAGACCGCTGCTGGTGCTGCAGCTGCACATGGGGCGGGAAATACTACAGGTTGTACTATCAAAAACCCGTCCTGCAAGAACAACGTCAGCCTCCCCTTCACTCACTCCGCACCGCCGGAGAACCCACCGCCACCGCCGCCGTTGGAGTTGTTGCGAGACCGTATTAACCAAGAAGATGAGTACCCCCCGGTCGTCATTGGGGAATTTTACGACCATCGAGGAAGTAGTTGTGGGATTGAAGACTCTACTTATTCGGGATTCACTGGTGCGCTTTTCAACGAACTCTCCTACCGCACGCCGAAAAACAACAAAACAGTACGGAAGGTGTGCGACAAGCCACCGTCACCGCCCCAATCGCTGAAGATCATGTCGCAGCGAAAGGCGAAACAGACAGTATAGATAGATACTGAGTATGTTCTGATATCTCTGCCTTTTTCTCTCTGGTCCTAGTACAAGCGCATAGCAAGTAGGTTCAGAGTTGTCGCTTTCGCATGATAGTAGAGTACGCAATTCTAGTCCTTTGTTCCACAGGCCGCCCGCCTCGCTGCTGGGGCTACAGGGACGTCTTTGACCTCGGCGCTGAAGCAATCTGCAGAACAAAACGACGCGGACACGTCGGCCCTATACAACAGTTTCGATCCTCTCACCCAATTTTCTTCCACCAATGCGGCTTCGCAGGCCTACCACCAATTTATGGCGCAGCATTCCGCGTTTGGCGGCAATAAAGTTGTACTAGCCAGCACGTCGACCTCTACTGGTGCCACTGCGCAGGCAGGGCAGATGAATCAGGAGAACAATAATTCTGGTAGTGGCCGCTGCAACCGAGACGAGGGATCTGATTGTCAAGACGACTACAGCGCGGCGGCCTTGATCTCTCGAAGCTCTAGTGCCGTGCTAGACCAGCACCAGCCGGTGCAGGCAACATCTGTTGGTAACAATACGCAAAGTCCGCAGCTATTAAACAAGTCTGTCAGCCCACTGCAGGGCTGTCCCGACGGCGCAGCTACTAACTCTGGTGTGACCAGCAGTACCAATGCCATCGGGACTGGGCTGCTGATGCAGGGTGGAAATACTGATTCGGCCAATGCAACTACGAGTGCGGCTACTAGTGAAGGTACCAGCAACACCATGCCGGTTCATGGCGGAGCGCCGCAGCTGTTTTTCCCCCCTGCTACTACTACTTCTTCGGCGCAGCAAGGAAACAACCATTCGCACCATCAAATGCACGGTGCTGGGGGTAGTAGCGATCCGAACTTGTTGTACAACTGCAATAGCTATCAAATGTAAAAATGTCTGGGTCTGGAAGAATGCGCGATTTGTCATGCAGCTTTTCCATGACCCATGAAGCCTGGAATGCAGGACCTAGCATGACAGACTCTGTGCAATCTCTCTCATGCCTATCCTGCATGAGAAACTCCCTCCCGACTTGGTCAAAACTGGACGACTTTTGGTAATCATGCAACACAGATTTTTGCATGCTTCAGATTTAGCATGACAAGTTCCATTCTTCCAGACCCAGACATTTTTACATTTGATAATAGCTTCGAAGAGTTCTACGCGGCTTATTTCAACAACCAGCTAAACAATGTCGCTCCTGGTGCTAGCACTGCTGCTGGTCCAGCCGAGATGTCGTCTGCGTCAGGAGTTGTTGGCACTACACAAACACACCAAGCGGTCTTCGTCAATCCCACAAGCACTGGGCATCACCAAACAATGGCCCCTACATCGGCCGGGACAATGTATCATTCCGCGACCGGTCAGCAACTATTCGTTCCCGCGACTGCGACGCCGCAAAATGGAATGAACCAGATTGGTGTTGGTCTTGGTGGAGCGTCGTCCTGGACTGGGGCTTTGCCCCCGGGGTTTTTTCAGCAGATGCAAAACGTGCAGCAGCAAAGCGGTGCTGCAACTGGTGCGACTCCGCAGGCCTCTATGCAGGCCGCGCAGATGCAGCAGTACATGCTGCAAATGTACCTGATGCAGTATTTACAACAGGCGCAGGGTCTGCAGCAGGAGGCTACTTCTTCGCAGCACCACGGCACCACTATGGCCGCCGCCGCTGCCCACCAACAGCATAACCAAACTCATGCAGGAGTTGTTGGGGCTCCTGGTGCAGCAACCACCGGAGTGGCAGCGGTTGTGCACCAACATCCGGGAGCTGCACCAGCAGGATTTCAACAACATCATCCAGCTACTGCCGCAGCAGCTGCTACAACTACTCCCGGTATGATTTCTACCATGGTACAACAGCCGTCGACAATCGTCACCAACCCAGCCACCGGCCAGGCGGTGCCGGTAGACGCCAACGGGTTTTCTCCCACTGGCACCGGGAACACGGCGGCGCAGATGAGCGTGAGCATGTACAACCAAGCGATCGTATTGCAATGAAAAATGCCCCCCCCACCCCCGAACTTGGGAGCATTTGTATTGCACACCTTTCCAAATGAAACATTCGCCCTCTTGCATCTATCAGCATGACAGGTTTCCAATTGTGAATAGCAAAAATTTGTATTGCAAAAGACCCCAGCAAGAGCGGCGCTTGTCATGGAAGCGATGCGATACACGCCTAGACTCTGCATCAGAAAGATTCATACTCCTTTCATGCATGACAAAAAGTTTTCATTTGGAAACTTTGCATCGCAAATTTTTGCCATTTCAGGGGTGGGGGGCACTTTTCACTGTAATAGATCGCAGCCCAGATGAGCAGTCTCTACCAGCAGTTTTGCGCCGCCCAACAACAACAGCAACAGCAACAACAGCAGCAGTCGGCCGCGGGTGCCGCGGCGTCGACCGGAGTTGCTGGTACTTCTAACACCGCCTCGCTGGTGCCCGGATCTTCTTTGTCGGGTTCTTTCGTGAATCAGTTCAGTTTCGCAGGAGCACCACCGTGCGGTGGTGGAGGTACTGCGATAGCAGCCACTGGTGCCGCTCCTGCGGCTGCGACGAATGGTTCTGTTGGAGAGCTGCAGCAAAATACGGCAGGCAGGACTGAAGCGAAATCACATGCATGGAACCCAGCCGCAGCAGCGTTTGTTCAGTCGTCTATGAATACGGTTGCTTGTACGACGAGCCAAGAACAGCAGAACAACATCGCGGAGCATGGAGTTGTTGTGCAACAGGAGCAGCATCTTGGTCAGGGGATGAACTTGCAGCACGGGACGACGAGGGCCCAGCCGAATCAAACGTCTGCGCAACAGAACTATCAGGGCGGTAGTTGTGCTGACAGAACGAACTCGACCACTGGTGGGACAAAAGGCGCCCCCGGAAATAACCTGGCTTCATCTTCCGCGATGATGAATAAAGGGGGCAACAAGAAGTTCCCCCAAAACAACTCGGGAGTCAATTTTTCTGGGAGCGGTTCTTGTCACTCTCATCATGGCACCAGCGGGAACGCCGGGAACACGACCGCAGTCGAAAGTAAGAACCGCTACGGTCACTTGCCGCACAGCAAGTCCTATAATCACCGCTCGGCGAGCACTGCGACTCTTCACACGTCGAGTTTGGGAAAAGGAGGGGAAAGGACATCAAACACCAGTTATGGAGGGGGAAATAATGATGGCTGCTCTAGCTCTTACAACCACGGTTCATCCACCACGAAAATGAACAACGTGAGCTCAATATCCGGAAAAAATCTTGTGCACAATCGGAGTATCGCCACCACTATCAAGTGTAAAAATGTCTGGGTCTGGAACATTCTAAACTTGTGATACTGTCTCTGGATTCTGAAAAAATTCATATTGCATGACCAGCAAGAGGACTCCAGTTTGTGCTAGGCGGAGAGGTCATTTCTCATGCTGTAGAGGCATCAGGAAGCCCTCACAAAATCTGTGATGCTAGGGCATGCATCACAGACATCAGGAGTCATGCAAAATGTGCATGACAAACCTGGCAATCTTCCAGACCCAGACATTTTTACATTTGATAGCCACTCATGATCCCAGTGGTTCCACCTCTTGCAACACCAGTATCTGTATCAAATGCAAATGTGTCCGGGTCTGGAAATTTGTGATGCTAAAATGTGCATGATTAAAACTTCCTTATGCAGGAAAGCATGACAAGTTTGCAGAGCGCTTTCGCATAGGCACTCCGCATGAGAAGCGGCGTTTTTGTACGACAAGTGAGGCTACGCCTTTTGCTAGTCATGCAACACAGATTTCACAGGAATGTAAGACCAGCATTACAAGTTCCAACTTTTCAGACCCAGACATGTTTGCATTTGATAATCTGCCAAGCTAGTCCGGCCGCCTCACCGTCGCCATCGCCACTCTCCTCGCCGCCACTCCGGCCGGTCGACAGCAGTGCTGGTACGACGAGCGGTAATAATCTTCATGTGAGCACAACTCCAGGTGGTCAACATGTTACTGCAGAACAAAACAAGTGCAACAGCAAAGGGCCGCTACAAAATGTTGTAGAACCACCTGCTACTCCGATGGAGACCTCGAGCTGCAAAATAAATTCGAACACCGCAACCCCCACGCCGGGACAACAGCACTCCCGTATGCGGCTCTCACTCCAAAATAACAAGTACGTCGAGATTGACACTGGTATGCCGCGGACGATCAGCACGCAGCAGGCGGAGATCAGCATGAGTAAATCGATGGCCATCAGCAAAGGCAAGGTCGTTGCTGGTTCTACTTCCAGTAACGCTGGCTCCTGCGCAACAACTTCAGGAGCTGGCGCAAGTTGTACAACTACCAACGCGCGCGGGGCTGCCCGGAAGGGGGTTGTTTCGTCGACAACCGCAGGGCCTGCGGCTGCTGGTGCTGCTAAAAACGAGGGGAAAACGCCGGGGCAGAGTGCTATCGGAGGAAAGCAAACACCTGGCTCCTCTTGTGCGCAACATCTGCAAAGGTTTGCTGGGGACGATTTAAAAATCGCTGCTGGTGCAGCTCATCAAGCAGGTGCTGGTCAGGTTGGTATGGCGGATGCCGGGATCACGATGAACAACTACCAGAAACACCACGCGTCGAACACTCCTCCTGCCACGACCCACATTAAAGACGCCACCCCGACCGGAGGATCCTCGACCCAAAGTCTGAATGCAGTTGGAGGGAGTTCTTTGCCTGAGATCGTTGACATCACATCTAGTACAGCAACGCCGCACGATGCGGTAGGAGCAGGTGAAGGACAACAGATTGGTGTTCAGCCGGCGCATCAACAGCACCACCAGTATAATAATGGGAGAACTACAAAGGGCTACTCGGCGATCTACGGCACGATTCACAAGGGCCAGGGCAAGACGAATAATCACTACAGTGGCACGTCCTCGGGCACTAACAACAATATGATGAGTAATCATACCCGAAGATCTACATCGTTGTATAACACGACCAGCAGTGGTTCTTGTACCACTACCAGTACCAGCCAGCACCAGAACCTCCTCCAGAACAATTGCAACACCGAGCAAACAAGCCAACACATTCAACACACTCACTCGTGTACTACGGCGAGTACTAGTGCAACTAATATCAACACGACTTCTTCGGCAACAAACGCCAGTGGAGCTCCTGCCTCTACTCTGTCTTCGCCGCCAATATTAGATCGATCGTGGACCACTACCTCGTGGAACCAGCAGCACCAAATGTTCAACAATACCCAGCACCAGCGAAGCCAATACTACAAAAGCCAAAATCAGGTCGTCGCGCATCAGCAGGTGGGAAGTGCAGCAGGAGCTTCGGCGGTCTTCCCGCCGAACGGTTCAACTGTTGAAGGAGCTGCGACGCAGCAGCAGGACCAGCAAAGCGGGTCACATCAGCATCATATGCCGGAGGTGGAACAACAGCAAGGGAACAGCGCTGGAGGTGGTATTTACAATTGCAACTACAACTCCTTCAACACAGCTGGAACAAAGGGAAAGTCCCCGGATCATTATCAACAGAAGGGCGGCACGGATCAAGTTCAGAATACTGGGAAAGGCGCGGCTGCTGCTGGGTACAACCAAGTCAACCAATACAATAACAGTTATCACCAGTACAAAAATCACACGGCTGGTGCTCCTGCTGGTGCCCAGAATGTCTACCACGATGAAACCCGTGGGCCGCGGACGATGATGACGAAGGGAAATGCTGGTGGTGGTTCTCGTCAGCAGAATTACGGAGTGCAACATAACTACAGCCAAAACCACGCTGCTTGTTTGCCGGCGGGTGGAGCGTCTCACGCTGTGTCGCAATCGCAAGGGAACAGTAAGGGATACCAGTCGTCGCAGCATGGTCAGAGTGGCCAGCAATACAATAACACTGCTAGTAGTTCGTGCACGACTTCCAGCGACAGCATCAATTCGAGCGTTTCTGCTACTACTCGAGGACAACAGAAAAACCAATATTCGAGCAGTCAACATCAAAAGGGTTCTTCTGCTTCTTCACCCGAGTTGCATCAGCATCAAGGGTCTTCGTACCACCAGCATGGTAAAATGAATGCAGCGGGGTCCACGAACGCGTACAGCAGCAATGTGGCGGCCACCATGTCGCGGAATGGATCGATGAGCACGATTGGTGGCGGAAGCACCATTTCCGGGCGCCCGGATACGAGCGGGAAGTTTTTGTGCACGTACTTGCTGGGTCTGAAGCTATCCGATCCCTTCGACGTCGCGAAGCGAATTATTGGGCCCGATGGTACTATACTTGCGCTTGACTTCATCTCCTTTTGCTTTGTGAATAAAGATGGTGATCTGCTTTATGCAACAGGTTGATTTATCATGCTGTTCCTGTTTTATGCACAAAAATTTGTGTCATGCTCATGTTCTTGCGATGAACATAAAAAATCAGGTCACAACGTGAAGTATATCTCGCATGTGGTGCAAGGGTGCAAAGTCCGCCTGCGTGGCGAACGATTCCAAAATGAGCAGGACAACGCACCGTGTCAACTGAATGTCTCGGTTCCCACGAAGGAGGGCTATCTTATCGCGAAGCACTTGGTCTACATCCTTCTGGACAAGATTTTTAACGATTACTACATTTGGACCGGAGGTATGATCTTCATCTTCCATTGCTGTGTAGTAGGGCAGGATAATGAGTTATTTGTTTTGATGTCATCTCGTTTGTCATGCGAGGCCGCGCATAAGGAAAGTGCTTTGTCATGCGTGGTATCAATTTATCAAGTGAAAAATTGATATTGAAATTGTAATTGATCAATCAGGTCGCCACCGCCCCCGTGTGAATTGCCAGGAACACCCGCTAAACGACCACATCGATCCGACTTGGGAGAAGGAGTTTTATCCCAGAGAAAAACGTGTTACAATTACACACTCCGATGCAAGACAAGCAAGACAGACAACCTCTGTCATGCAGGAAATGCTTGCCAGCGTCATTTCATTCGTGTTTTCCCTTAGAGTCTGCGCATTACAAGTTTTCTTTGCCATGCAGAGTAAATTTGTGATGCTGAAATTCCAACAGATGTGTAACTGTAACACTTTTTTCATGTGATAAGTTTCGGCGTTTATCCAGTGAATGATTTTGGTCAGATTTTTTTACTGCGAGCTTGTGAGAAGTGTATGAAGATCTCTGTCATGGTGCATCATTTTTTTCAGCAGCAGTTTGTAGTTGCCACTCGTAGCGCATGCCGCGCAATACAAGCTCTGATGTTATCATTTGTGACTGAAAATCATTTGTCTCGCATCTCGAACCAGTCCCTGGTTTTCCGTCGAGGTTCCGAAATTTTACGCCGGAAATTTTCCGAGTTCGTTGCCTGCTTTGTCATCATCATGCAGAACGAAGGTTGGCCTTGGCGGGCAGTAAGCTGCAACGAGTACTAGCTCTGTGGTCATTCCCAGACCTCCGCACGTGAGAGTTTTTTTCTGCAAGTGCTTCATGTAGCATGAGCATGACAAAGACAAGCGTAAAAACTCGTGCTTTCCCTTCTATACCGATGTCACGGACATGAAACACGCAAAAGAGGTTCTGGCCAACATCCGGTTTGCGGGTATAGTTGAAAAATTTCTTGTTGTGGTCATGCATTGATCATCATTTACATTTACTCTCATTCCAAATTACCAAGAAAACTTCGTGAAAGGTAAAAGCCGCGCGGCGGCGCACATCCAGCACACTCCGGATCACTACCAGCAAGCGGTTAATGCGACATCTTCTGAACAATTGGTGGGTGAACAAGTAGAACCTGTTCCGGCTGGGGTTGCGGTTTCAACATCTCCGCAGGACATGATCAGCGGTGGTTCCTCTGGTACTTCCACCATACAGGAACAATTTGTGGCACCAGCGGTAGGTTCTTCATCTTCGCAGGTAATTGATATCGGTGGTCAGGGGCAGCAGCAGAATCAGTATGGATTGCAAAAATGTGTGGGTCTGGAAACTTGTGATGCTGGGTGGCGTATCATGAGGAGGCAACAAGTGCTGGCTCAGCATGACAAGTTTCTGAACTTCAAGGTGTTGCCTATTCTGCATGACAAACTGCGTTGTTGCATGACAGAAAAGTGGGGCGCTTGGGTAACGCGCATGACAGATTTAAGAGTCATGCCAGACAAGCATGACAAACATGCATGCCTCCAGACCCAGCCACTTTTGCAGTTGATAATCAGAATGTGAGTCCGGGCGGGACGTCCGCGTCGTGTCAACAGCAAGAGGTGGTTCTTGGTGCGCCGTCGTCGCACCAGGTTCTTGCGCAGCAGCAGCAGTTTTCGGGCTCGGCGAACGTGGGACGACCCGCTGCGGGTGGGTGCTGAGTAGAACGCGCAAAGCGGAAGAATGGAGAAATCAAACGAAAATAGACAGTGAAAAACGAAGATTGAAAGGAACGATGTTTGTCTGGGTGAGTCGGACCATGGAAAATTTAAATTTTGAAAAAGAACGGGCCGCAGCAGGAGTAGAGAACAGGAAAGAAATTCCTTTCCCGCAAGATGAACATCACCACGCGCTTCGCTTCGACCCTCTTCATCCAGCAACAAAATGCAACTGCAACGGAGTTTTTGGAGGTGCGTACAACTATCTGGTGTCGACGGCATTTTTAGTACCGGCATGTTGGAATAAGTCGGTTTCTAGTTTCAAGTTTCTCAGACGGGTTTCGGACCACTTTCCGCCTTCACATCACTTAGGTTACGAACTGCCAGAAATGGTAAAGAAGACGTCATCGAACTAGCAGGAGCGGGGTTCCCGGCCACTATTCCAATTGCCAACGCTGAAGAAAGTGCAGAATGAAGGAGGTTGTGACGTCGGTTCATTTAATGTTACACAACTGCGGAAGATGTTACAAGTTCAACGATGAAGGCGTGCAAAAATTTTTCCAGAAAATACAGAACAACCACGTCATCTTTTGGAAACGAAATCTGAAGACCACGCCACGAACAGCACAAACGATGAGTAGAACGAGTTGAAGTCACGAGTAAAAAGTAAAAAAACCAAATCTAACGGACGATTGATCATCTTCACACGACGAAATAACAACAGTACATAATCCATTGGACAAGAAGGAGGCTTGGGACGAGGGAAACAACTGCTAGGTGTATCGAGCCGAAGCGTCGTAGTGTCTCACATCACAAGTTCCTTTTACAAGTCTTTCAGTAGTATAGACACATGGCGATGTAGTTGTTAGCAGAAGGAAGTAGTGCAACGAACTATCCAACACCACCTTTTCGACTTGTTTTACAGCTTGGCACTGCTGCTCGCAAGCGGCACATTCTTGCTTGGAAGCTAAAGTCTGGTATTAACCCAAGAACACACGGCTCGGAGGATGAATTAGCACAGGCTACAACGAACAATGAAAAATTGACGAAGGGGAAGATTATATCAAAAAGACTTCGCTATCGCTGTCTTCTATGTCTACCAAGGGAAAGTTGTTTTGGGTCTAGTCTTTTGCCTGGGCGGCGGTAGTACTACAGAACTATATGTTTTTTTTTGGTTTTTTTTGCCTAAGCCTATACTGTAGCTGTACTTATGGATGAAGATTCCGATGAAGTTTTGGAATAATTCGCCTTTGTTTGTTTGTGTAGCATTATCATCTGCGAGGATGAAAGGTACATGTCGGAATAGCCACGACATCACATCTTCAAATTCTTTAGTCTTACGAGAAGCTAAGGAAAAGATCGGGAATAAACCTCCAAAGTCATCGGCTCTAGGTCTTTTTCCAGATTTTTTTGAAGTCAAATCGAAGGGTAAGAACGATCCACAGACCGGCACTTTATCTGTAGTTTTATGTTTCTTTGGTAGTCTTGTTTCGCTCTTCCGTTTGAGTTTTTCACAAAAGAGCTTATCCAGCTTGCGATGTCATAATTGCATCGCAGTGGCGGATAGCTCTGTTTTCTGATCAGATAACTAGTACTACTAAATTGGGAATAAAAAACTATCCTTTTCCACTTCAGTTCTCGTTGTACCTTTTCTTCTGCTAAACAATTTTTTTCGAGTTATAATTTTTTCAAGACAAAATCGATGACGAAGTACTTCTAATCACACCTAGTAGTACATATGACTATGGCTTCATCTTAAATTCTATGTTCATCGTTGCCTCAATTTTTCTCTCTTGGCAACTCGTGCACGCATTGATTTTTACCACCTATCAGACAAAAAGAACTCTAAAAATGTATACAGCACATCAACTTCAGCAAGAAGTCCTATTTTTTTCTTCGGTACTTCTTTTATCATTTTTTTCTTATTCTTTCACAGCAGCAGACCAGGATCGCGATTCCGATCTAGGTCTATGCTGTCTCTCGTCTGCCAAAATGACAAACAGTTTGATCGCTACAGCTATGAAAAATATACAACTTGTTTTGGGATTACTTTGCCTCGGAAATTTGATGTCTTGTTGCCGAGAACAAATCTATTGAAATTCAGCAGTTTAGTACTAGTACAACTTCTCAAAAATTTATCAAGTTTCGAAAATTATTTCTACACTTTATGAATACTTCGATACCGTACAGGAAGCAACACAAAGACTCGGTGCTGCGATTCAATCATCCCAGAATTGCGGACGGAGGAAAATAGAAACGATCTTCTACTAGTACTGATTTCATCTCTACTCGAGTTTTATTTCGTGTCGAGTTGTTTCCAGATGATAATGATTGAAGGCTCTGTTGTAGCTAGTACCCTTTTTCCACCTATGGCGTTTAGTGCCGTCACTTTGAAGACGTTTGACCCCCAAATTTGATCTTTTCTGTTGAAACTGTAGTTTACGATGTAGTTCTACGACGGAAAGAATAAATTGATTGCTACATCAACACCCAGCAAAGGTCGAGTTCTTTGCCTTCGATTGCCTTTGATGCCACTCTAGTCGTGTATTTTCATGTATTAATTGCGGGAGTCGCAGAAAAATGGAAAGACGTACTGACACATCAGCACACAGTGATTGATTCTGATGTTGCCTGGCTTCTTTGAGAGTTGCAGCGCGTTCGAAATAATTCCGCGACCAGTTTCTGTTTTATATATCAATCTTCCTTTTCTATTTCTTCTGGTTCTGTCAGAGATCACGATAACACCTTGGATCATCTCCACCTCGAGGGCGTCTTCGCTGCGGATAAGTTTCTGCTTCAAACACCTGCAGTCGTTTTTCCCAATGGGTTATTTTTTGCTGACCGGTGCTACTGCCAGACCCTGACCTCTGTTTTTCGCGCCGTGAAGCTGCAAGACCGCATCCGGAATCCGTTTTCTTAATCAGTTTATTTATTATGTTCGTCGTTCATATTTGGTACTCGTACTAATACCATACTTTAGACAAGTAAAAACACAACTGGATCTGGAGATCATCTCGATCTATTACTATAGACTCACTCGAACACAAGCATCAAGATGGCCTCTTCCTCCTCCTCCTCCCCCGCCTCAAGTCAGAAGAAGATCGCACTGGGCATCGTCTCCGGCGGTTCAGGATGTGCTTGCGCAGGCTTCGTCACTAACCCGTGCGACGTGGTGAAGATACGGAACCAGCAGTACTCCCAACTCGCAAAATACAAAACCTTTTCCCAAACATTCAAAAGCATTTTCGCTGAAGAAGGAATGCGCGGGTTTCTGAAGGGGGTGAAGCCCACGGTCCTGCGAGAAGCGACGTATTCTGGTGTCCGCATGGGGATCTACGAGCCGATAAAAAAGGTCATGGACACGATTTTTCTCGGCAGCGGGGGTGCTGGTGGAACAGCAGCAGCAGGACCAGGAGGCCGATCACCTCCCCCCTCCTCCTCAGTCCTGACAAAATGGTCGTCCGCCTTCCTCGCAGGCGCAATTGGGTCCGCGATGTTTACTCCGCTGGATCTGGTGAAGGTGCGGTTTCAGTCGCAACTCCCCTCCGAACCGGTCCCGTATAACAACAGCGTTCTGACCGCTTTCCGGACCATAGTCGCCGAGAGGAATAACTCCATTTTGGGTTTGTACCAGGGCGTCGTCCCCACGGTAATAAGAGCGGCGTTCTTGACCTCGGCACAGCTCGGGACGTATGACGTGGTGAAAAACGATCTGCTGTTGAAATACTACTTCGAACCCAAGGACAAAGACAGCAAAACGGTCCACTTTGCGGCGTCTTTGATCACCTCCGTCGTCGCCTGCACCGCGAGCAATCCCGCAGACGTGATCAAAACCAGAGTGATGAACGCGAAAAAGGGCGGTATGAGCAAGGTGGCCACGGGAGTGGTTATCAAATGTAAAAATGTCTGGGTCTGGATGATTGCAACTTGTCATGCTAAATCTGAATCATGTAAAAATCTGTGTTGCATGATTACCAAAAGTTGTCCACTTTTGACCTAATCGAGAGGCAGTTTCTCATGCAGAATAGGCATGATGGAACTCTCACAGAATCTGTCATGCTATGTCCTACATACCAAACCTCATGGGTCATGGAAAATATGCATGACAAACTTGGCACTTTTCCAGACCCAGACATTTTTGCATTTGATAGTGGTTGCTGGTGGACTACACTCTACTTCACAGTCTTCATCTACTGTATCGTCCGGAGCAGCGGGAGCGTCGGTAGCGTCGAACACTTCGACACTGCACCATGTCATATGCATTGCAAAAGTGATGTCTGGGTCTGGAAGAATGCAGGAGTTTGTCATGCAGATTTTGCATGACCCATGAGGTCTGTGATGCATGCCCTAGCATCAGAGATTTTGCGAGTGCTATCTGATGTTCATACCGCATGAGAAATGCCCTCTCCGCGTAGCACAAAATACACCTCTTTTGCTGTTCATGCAATACAGATTTTATGTAGAGTCCAGAGGTAGCATCACAAGTTCCAGTCTTCCAGACCCAGACATATTTGCAATCCATATGTCGTGCAGTTGTACAAATCCGAGGGGTTGCTCGGCTTTCTCAATGGGTGGAAGGCGAGTTACTGCAGACTGGGACCACACACGATCATTTCCTTCGTGCTCATTGAGAAAATTAGGTTGGCGATGGGGCTGAATACCGTGTGATGGTGTTGGTTTTGGGATGGTGGCGGTGCGTTTGGTGTGGAAGGAGTGGCGCTTTTGTTGATCCAGTGTCATGATCTCGCCAGATTGAGATCCAACAGCAGAGCTTCAATGTGACAAACTTGTACACTCCACCCAACAGCGACAGCATCTTTTGACAGGAGGAACTATGGCTACAACTTTCTTACACTCGAAGCAATGCAAGTACAAAGACATCAAACTATACAACTGTTAGACAGTAGTTTTTACACGTTCGACGTCACGCACCAAGCCCGTGCGCAGTTGTATTTTATCCCGGGGAGAAGTGTTCGGCTTGGGAAAGTAGTGGGGCACTTTTATCACATCCGCTGACGGTCGTTGCGGTCTTGGATTTTTTTACGTCCAGCACTACTTCGTTTCCAGCTGCGCGGCGCGTGTTTACTTTGCGAGAGCATAAATCTACGGGCGCGCCTGGCTGTGCTTTCTCGTGTCGCAAGGGAAAAAGGCCGCGCCGGGTGTGCTCTCTCGCGCCAAACTTGTAGAGCGTGCCGCGCGACCTCTTTAACCCCGCGCCATGGCCCGCCATTGGCAAGCCGTCCCGCGACAACGCCGGGGGCATTGCGGGGGTTTTCTTCGGCGAGGCGGCAAATACCGGACCGAGCAGCTGAAGACACTCGATCTGGGGCGACCGCTTGGCGCGTCTGGCCGCCGCCGGCGCGGAATGGATCTACCGGACACTCCAGGGGGCGCAGGCTGATGAGGAGGAAACAGCGCGGGCACACAGGGCCCCGCTACCTGAACTGGATGCGCCTCCGAGGGGGGAGCGCTGCCACCCGGGCCTTTTGCGATGCGAAGCGGCCCGGGAAGTAGCCCGGCGCCGGGACAGAAGCGCCCGGGGCCTTTGTTTGGGCCCCTGAACTGATTGGTGTGCTCGTGCTGCTTCAGAGTCGGAGAGCCCAACCAGGATCACATAAAGAAAGAGCGCAGCCGTGAAGCTTTGCCGCCGTGCGCTTCGGGCCTGGCCTGCGTGCGCCCGGACGGCAACGCGCGCGCGCAGCGCTGCGAATGGTGGCCGATGGCCTTCGGCGGCTGGCGGGCGGGGGGGCGGGCCGGCGCTTCGGTTGGGCGCCCCGGGCGCCGGCGTTCCTATTGTTATGGCGGAGGTGCCCTGTGGAATGCCCTGCCGGGTGCCGGGCTTGCGGCGCTTTTTTCGCCAGCAAGGGGGCTGCGCCCTGGCAAAGGCCAGAAGGCGCGCCCGCGACACTGCGCGGCCAGGGGGCTAAGTCGTGCGCGCCAATGAAGAGGACGGCCCGCCTGGGGCCTTCCTAGATCATTCCGCGACGCTTGGCAACGAAAGAGAACTGCCGGGCGCCTGCCAGTGTCGGTTGTGCTCCAGCAGAAAGAAAGTCGAGCAAAGTGGGAAAGCCACGGAACGCAAGACAAAGCCGAGAAGGTAGCGCAGGCAGTTCCGCGCTGCGCTTTCGTACACGCGGGGAGATGCCTGCCGCGATGTCGCAAGTGGCTTGGCCCTGGCTGCCTGCGAAGCTGCGCACTCACTCGCCGGGCCCCCCGCCGGGGGGGGGGGGCAGCGAGCTACTCGGGGGGGCAGCCCGCCGGTCGTAAGACTTCGCCGCGTTGCGCGCAGAAACTATTGGCGGCGAGACTGTGGCGCTGCTTCGGCGGGGGGCTCTTATGCAGCAGAAAGGGAGCGCCTCTGGCGGGATGCTGACAGCGGAGGAGATGCGATCGCGCGGAAAACCCCCCCCCGCCACGGCAGGCGTGGAAACGTGTAGCATTGGCGGCGGCAGCCCAGCCCTGTCGCCGGGGCGTTGCGCCTCGCCCGCGCGCTAGCGCTTCCTTGCCTTCGGCCGGGGCGCCCTGAATAAATTCGCGCGGCGGCGCCGCCTGATTTTCCCGAGCGACCAGGGCCGCGCCGTGCGGCGTGGGCTACCTGATTCGAATGATCGGCCGGCCCCCTCGTGGGTCGATCCATCGTGCCGCGCCTTCGGGGCGGCTCGTCGCCGCTTGGCGCGTGTGCCTGTCGCCCCAGGCTGCGGAAGCGAGATGGCAACGGCTGGGAGGTCGTCTGCAACTTCGTAAAGGATGTATTGGGATTCGAGCGCTTGCTTTCTTTGGAGCATAGATACTTCTGGTTTTTCAGCGCGTGCTGCGCTGAAGGAACTGAGTTGATGTGTGTTCCCAGCATTGATTCCAGCGCTTTCTTTTCCTCGTCACAGGCTACCTGCGCCGCGATTTGTAGTAGTTTCCAGGAGCACGAGCGCCATGCACTGTTTTCCATGTTTCGTCGTTTTAAATTTAAATTTCGCATCGTATTGCTACTTCTTGCTCGAATGGGGTTGTCGCAGTTCAGGGATCGTTGTCTGCGAAAAAGGTCCCGTCGCTGTGATTACCGCCTAAGAACAGAGTTTCCATTTCTATGTTCTCAATCGTGTCGGAAGAACCAATTGAGTCGTTGACGGAGTTATATTACGTATTGGCGCGCTCCTTCGTCTTAGGACAAAGTCCAACTCTGCTGCCGTCGTGATCGTTAGACTTCAGTACTTTCTCGTATGAACAATTGTGGCGCATTTCGTACCTTCGTCGGGGTCGGTAAGATATTGATATTACTCTGCCGTGGTCTCGCTGCAAGAAAATCCATCGTTTCAAGAACATACATTGCAGGCGTTTTTTTTTTTGAATGCACTAAATTGCATCGAGTCGGCTATCTGATAACCAAGTCCCCTTAGTAAATCTTTGCATTTTACAGGAAAGAAGGATATTGCCGGCTCTATTTGCAGCACAAGTGGAATCTGCGGCGGGGATTTTTATCACATCCCTCGACGGTCGTTCAAGTCATCTTGCTCGTGTCGTAAGACTAAGAACTAGTACACTCGCTGCTCAGTAAAAACTATCAAAACGCAGTATACAAGAAATTACAACCTCCAGTCGAATTATTTTACCAAAATCACAAAATGTCGGCCGCTGCTCCTCTTTACAAAAGAAGACTTCCCTTCCTGCTCCTCGCAGCGAGCAGTACGACAAAAACTCGCTTTGCCTCCGCCTACGAGAAGTTTCGGTATACGGAGTCGGAATCAACCTCCACCAAGGAAGGCAAGGAAAATCTGGACTCGATAAAGATCATTTCCGGACCGGTGTCAGGCGGTCCGGACGGCCTCGGGCTGCCGAAGGAGATTCAGGATCTGCTGGCCTCCGGCGCCCACCCGGGGCACCTGACCATCCGCATGACGCCCATAAACAGTCCGGACGGCGGGGGCCAGAAAGACATCGGCACGGTCGAGGAGATGCAGAAACTGTTGCCGAAAGTCGGGTCCGGCAACGGTCCGTCCGGGCTGCCCAGGGACCTGGAGGAGCTGCTCAGCGGGCCGCCATATGCATTGCAAATATGTCTGGGTCTGGAAGAGTGCAGGTTTGTCATGCTTGTCTGGCATGTGTGAAGAGAAGAGTCTGTGACGCGTATCCAAGAAGAGACCCTCTTGCTTGTCATGCAAAAGCGCAGTTTTTCATGCGGAAAGCGCAACACTAAGCAGCGCAGATATTAATTTCTCATGCTTGGCTGTGCAATACAGAGCATTCACTATTCCTAACCCAGCATTACAAGTTTCCAGACCCAGACATATTTGCATTGCATACGCCAACGGTGCGCCTCGTGCCGCTAGGGAGTGGCCCACCGGGAGGGGACATGATCGACGAAATTTTGAAGGAATTGGACAGCAACATCGCCGGGACAATGGTATATTACTACAAACATGGCTTTTTCACTTTCCAATGAACTACTCTCGTACTTGTGAAAGTAGTCTGGATGACACCACAGACGTCGTGTAGAACGGCACCGTGATCTGCTCTGCTGCATGACGAACTCCAATATTAATTCTCTTCCTCGCAAAAAGTACACGTTTTTTTATCAGAACAACATGCTGGGCCTTGGGCATCCGAAGAAGCACCCGTGCGACGCGATTTTGGAAAAGGTCTGCCCCGATGTGCAGCGTTCGGAAACGCAAAAGTCCATCCACTGCCTGGCCGAGCACCGAGAGAGCAATTCCCCCGAGTGCGAAAACACGATCAAGAATTCCCTGCCGTACCTATCATATGTAAAAACGTCCCCACCCCATAGTCAAGTTGGGAACTTAGCAACACAAATCCAGAAGTTTTGGGAGCCACGCATGACAAGTTGCAATCTGTTGTGGTGTAGTGCATGTGTATCAGTTCAACTGGTCCCGCGGTTCAACAATGTACCTACCAGTTCAATAGCGCCCCGGGGCCTAAATATTCTAGAACAAACAGGGCATTTGATATGCTCAGCGCCAAAAAAATATGCGGGTGGGGGAAGAAGTAGGGGGGGCGTTCCTGACCCAAAGGTACGCTCCTGATCTCTCTGGTACTTACTCGACCCGGGGGGTCAGGTATTACCTGACCCCCGGTTCGGGTCTGTACCTGCAATGCCGCAGCGCCGTCGTTTTAGATGGTGCTGCGGCACAGCATCGCGCACCGTGATGGGAACCACAGGCCTCAAGTCTGTCACTACAGAAAAAAGCAGCCACGACTGCGATCGGTCCTAGCGTTCGCCCGTTTTCTGTTTGAAACCAGTGCCACGCGCACAGCTTCAGTCTTCGCGTGCCCATTCATCGGAAGCACCGTTCCGAAATCGTGTGGCCGCCAGCCGTCCCACCGTAACCCCACAAACCAAAATCGCGCGCGCGCGCGCCAAAAGAGTCGCTTGCGCCTGTCGTGGGCCTTCGTGCCTCACAAACCAAAATCGCGCGCGCGCGCGCCAAAAGAGTCGCTTGCGCCTGCCGTGTGGCCCTTCTGCTTCTTTGATCGCGCGCCGCGTCCCGGTGTGGGCTCCGCCGTTCCTTGGTGCTCGCCTCCTTTGTTGCGCCTCCTCGCGGGCCGCTTTTTCTGTCAGTCTTTTTCTTTTTTTTTTGCTCTTTTGCAGCTTTCTTACTACTTTTTTTGGCCCACCTCAGGCATTTCGTTTTTTTTCAATTCGGCGCTCCACCTGTACACGTCGGCGCAGCACTGTTTCTGCGCACTTAGTGTTGCTCCAACCTTCTCCCGTGCGCATACTTTTTGCGCCATATGGTTCCCGCAAGATATGCTCTGCCGCTCATCGAGATTGCTTTCAACCTTTTCCCGCTCTTTTTTTTTGGGATTTGCTACGAGAACTAGTACTATGTATGGTTCTGCTCTTTTTCGTATGCCCGGAACCTTCGCGAACTAGTTCGCGAACTGGGGTACACTCTCGAACCGATTCACATGGCAAATTTTCTCAGCATGAGAAAGAAAATTTGTAATGGGGATTTAAGCTGAGAAAGAAATTTGTAATGCATGTGTATCAGTTCAACAGGGCCCGCGGTTCAACAATGTACCTACCAGCTCAATACCGCCCCGGGGCCTAAATATCCTAGAACAAACAGGCCATTTGATATGCTCGGCGCCAAAAAAATATGCAGGTGGAGGAAGGAGTAGGGGGGGCGTTCCTGACCCAAAGGCACGCTCCTGATCTCAGTGGTACTTAGTCGACCCGGGGGGGCAGGTATTACCTGGCCCCCGGTTCGGGTCTGTGCCTGCAATGCCGCAGCGAAGTCGTTTTAGATGGTGCTGCAGCACAGCTGCGCGCACCGTGATGGGCGCCAAAGGCCCCAAGTCTGTCACTACAGAAAACAGTAGCCATGACTGCGATCGGCCCTAGTGTTCGACCGCTTTCTGTTTGAAACCAGCGCCGCGCGCACAGCTTCGGTCTTCGTGCGCCCATTGATCGGAAGCAGCGTCCCTAAATCCTACGGCCGGCAGCCGTGCCACCGTAAACAATAGTCGCGCAGCGCTTCGCGCCTCACAAACCAAAATCGCGCGCGCGCGCGCCAAAATACAGGACCTTTTGGGGCTTGTTGCGTGCACATACTTTTTGCGACATATGGTGCCCGCAAGATATGCTCTGTAGCTCATCGGGATTGTTTTCTCCCGTTGCCCGCTCTTTTTTTCGGGGTTTGGCACGTGCACTACGTATGGTTCTCTTCTTTTTCGTATGCCCGGAACCTTTACGAACTAGTTCGTGAACTGGGGTACACTCTCGAACCGATTCACATGTTAGCAAGGACAATCGCATCACTAATTCGTCTGCTTATCCTGTTGACAGCATTACAAATTCCAAAACGCGTGGAGATGCCTCTCATGGAGATGCGCATCGCAAATCTTCCTGTAATCGCAAATCTGCATGACAACCATGGGGTGGGGACGTTTTCACATAGGATAGTACCTGTGCCACCGCGAGATGCAGGACCTGTGCAACGAAAATCGCGCGGACCCGTTTGACGTGAGTCCTTTGACGTGCCTGCGGAACGTATGGATGTGTCAGGTTTGAAATCATCAAAGTTGAACTAGTTTGTGATGCATAAAATGCAACCCACAAAATGCCTGTCTTGCAGAGTAGGCAAGGGAGGCCGATTGTAAGCCTGTTCGGGGGTAGACATAGAGCTGCTAAAGCAGCATGACAAAAGGCGTCTTTCTTACCCAAACAGCATTACAAACTGGATTTCGGCCCTACCCAAATTTGTCATGCGCCAGTAGCACAGTCTGTTTATGTCATGTGTATCAGTTCAACTGGTCCCGCGGTTCAACAATGTACCTACCAGTTCAATAGCGCCCCGGGGCCTAAATATTCTAGAACAAACAGGGCATTTGATATGCTCAGCGCCAAAAAAATATGCGGGTGGGGGAAGAAGTAGGGGGGGCGTTCCTGACCCAAAGGTACGCTCCTGATCTCTCTGGTACTTACTCGACCCGGGGGGTCAGGTATTACCTGACCCCCGGTTCGGGTCTGTACCTGCAATGCCGCAGCGCCGTCGTTTTAGATGGTGCTGCGGCACAGCATCGCGCACCGTGATGGGAACCACAGGCCTCAAGTCTGTCACTACAGAAAAAAGCAGCCACGACTGCGATCGGTCCTAGCGTTCGCCCGTTTTCTGTTTGAAACCAGTGCCACGCGCACAGCTTCAGTCTTCGCGTGCCCATTCATCGGAAGCACCGTTCCGAAATCGTGTGGCCGCCAGCCGTCCCACCGTAACCCCACAAACCAAAATCGCGCGCGCGCGCGCCAAAAGAGTCGCTTGCGCCTGTCGTGGGCCTTCGTGCCTCACAAACCAAAATCGCGCGCGCGCGCGCCAAAAGAGTCGCTTGCGCCTGCCGTGTGGCCCTTCTGCTTCTTTGATCGCGCGCCGCGTCCCGGTGTGGGCTCCGCCGTTCCTTGGTGCTCGCCTCCTTTGTTGCGCCTCCTCGCGGGCCGCTTTTTCTGTCAGTCTTTTTCTTTTTTTTTTGCTCTTTTGCAGCTTTCTTACTACTTTTTTTGGCCCACCTCAGGCATTTCGTTTTTTTTCAATTCGGCGCTCCACCTGTACACGTCGGCGCAGCACTGTTTCTGCGCACTTAGTGTTGCTCCAACCTTCTCCCGTGCGCATACTTTTTGCGCCATATGGTTCCCGCAAGATATGCTCTGCCGCTCATCGAGATTGCTTTCAACCTTTTCCCGCTCTTTTTTTTTGGGATTTGCTACGAGAACTAGTACTATGTATGGTTCTGCTCTTTTTCGTATGCCCGGAACCTTCGCGAACTAGTTCGCGAACTGGGGTACACTCTCGAACCGATTCACATGCGCCACTTGGAAACTGGGCTCCAACTGGCATCCGTTTTGTGCATCACAAATTATTTCAACTTTGTCAATTTCGATCCTAACACATCCATACAACGCGCTGGAGAAGGACGTGGCGTCGGGCACCGCCGGCGGTCCCAGTGCGCTGGTTTCGGGGCAGTGCAAGGAGGCCATGGACCTGACGCACAAGTTTGTGAACGGGCTCAACGCCGTATGAGAATGCACAACCCCCCCTCCCCCTCATTCGTATTGCATGAACAGCGATACAAACTCCAGCACACGTGGAGCCTGTGCATGACAAATTCATGCGCCTAGTGTAGTAGTACTGTTTGGGCTTCCCGAATCTGTCATGCAAACAGTGCCACAGGGAAGCACTTGGGTTTGGTGGTTTGCATGACAAATGAGGGGGAGGGGGAGTTGTGCACTTTTATACTCCGCGGACCACAAGATTTCCATCGTCGACAAAAACACGAACCAGGAGGTCATGCTATTACAGTGAAAAATGCGTCCACACCGGATTTTGCACAAGTTTCTGATGCCAAGTTTCCACATGAAAACTTTTTGTCTTGCATGAAAGGAGTACGAGTCTTTTTGATGCAGAATCTAGACACGCAGGGTATCTTTTGCATAACAGACCCGGCTGGTTCTGGGCTCTTTGCAATACAAATTTGGGCTGTTTAGCATGGAAAATTTGTGATGCTGATCTGGTAACCAAAGCGTGCGCAAGCGCTCGCAAGAGCGCTTTGCGCGCGGGCTTGCCCGCGCGCAAAGCGCTCTTTGCGAGATGCTCATCCATCGCAAACGCAGCGCGAAGGCTTTGCCGTTGCCATATGGGAGGGACTCGGGAGTATGCAATCACTCGCAAAATCGGGCATTTCCAAGCGTGTTTTGCCGCCAGAAAGGGGATCTGAGAAAATTTGCGTAAGTTTTGCCGAAAGCAGCCAAAACAGTAATTATCAAGCGGGGAGAGGGTAAAAAAGAGAAGTTTTATTGCTCCGCCCGGTCTGAATCTGAAAAAAGATATTGGCGTTTTCGGCTAGGGCCGACGGTGTGATGCGTTTTATAGCGGAAAATGCGTCACGTGCAGGCAGCTCCGGCCGCTTAGAAATTGAAAAAAATTGCGAAAAAAACGCTATTTTTCGCAGCATGCAAGCGGCCGACTAAATTTACCGATTTTCTCCAGTTCCCGGAAACCGCTTGAAAATTGAAAATGACAATTTTTGCTGAAAAAGCAAAAGCCGCTTGAAAATTGCCGCTCAAAAGTGGTTTTCAAATTTGTCCGGAGGCCCGTGGCACCGGTTTTGGACGACAAAAAAACAACTATCAAGCCTGTGGAGGTGTGTCCACCCCCCACGGTTTTCGACGTGTATGAAGGCCAGAATTGCGATCCTCCTCCCGCTTGGAAATGCCCGATCTGGGTGGCCCAAAAGGGCTGCCAGAAATGGCGAGAGTTGTTTAATTTTTTGAAGTTTGCGCATTTTCCCGGGCCAGCGTGCCGCCGTGCATAACGTTATGCGCGATGGAGTGCTGCTCGCCAAAAAACGCAGTCTTTTGCGCGCCCTTGCTTCCTGGTTAGAGGATGAGAGCGCGGCCCGAAGCGGGCTGCAGTGTTGGACCGCGGCCCTTGGGCCGCGGTCCAAGAGTGGTGCCCGCGAGGGCCGCGCTCTCATCCTCTAACCAGGAAGTCAAGGGATGCGCGGTAGCCTTCGCGCTGATTGGGGCGCTTCGCACGCTTTTGGTTACCAATATCGCCCTCCGGGCGCGACCTTAATATATGCAAGACGGGGAATGTTTCTACTGGAAAGGTTTGCAATGCAAATGCAGCCAAATGCTGGGGTGGGGGAATTTTTCATTTCAATACATGCAGCTGGATCCGCACGCCGGGCACTCCATCGCGAGTCTGGACGCCGCGGCGCGGTCGCAACAGAGCTGTCTGCTTCCGCTCGGCTGCCTGCTGATTTTCGTGCTTTTGGTCTCCGTCGTGATGAACAAATCGCCGGTTTTATCCTGGGTAAAAACGTCCACACCCCAAAGTTGTCATGCAAATCTGCAAGCCTAGAAGATTTCTCATGCGCAGCCCCATGAGGACCAACTTGTGTTGCTACCTGGGTGGAGTTTGTCATGCTGACATCAGGATAAGGCAGTCGATTTGTGATGCGTTTTCAATAGCTCAGAACCGCACCACACCACGAGTCCAAGCTTGCCATGCGCAACAGCCAAAACTTGTTGATTTGTGTAGCAAAATCGCACACTTGACACTCTTGGGGACGTTTTTACACATGATACGTGTTCCGCACGCGCGTCGAAGCTGCGGTGCAGAACGTGCTGCACAGTATGGTGATATGCATTGCAAAAGCATCCTACTAGTAGTAATCGCAGTCATGCATTACAAATTGTTTTCTTTGGGTAAACCCGCATTACATTCTCATGCTGAGGAAATTTGTCATGCGGTTTATACTAGTACGATGGTTTTTCACAGGATAGGTGAACTCCGGCAACAACAGTCCCCACAACAATTACCGCAACCAGAACGTCAACAACGCCTTTTTCACTGATGTGATGGTGTCGCCCAAAGGCGCCAGCGGGTCGTCCAGCCGAAGCAGCTTCCCGCACAATCCCGCACTGAGCATGGCCAAAACTACGACGAGGAGCGACAGGGGAGAACCGGCAGGGGAAGCGAAGCCGCTTACCTCGGCGGTTTCCCCGAACTCCTTGCGGAAGAAGGATGATGACCTGGATGTGGTGTTGTGAGTAGGAGCTAAAAATAGTGTCCTTGATCATGAAAACGCGTCGGCTTCCTTGTTGTATATCTACCGACGACGAGTTTTCTGTTACCACATCAAACGATTTTTGTTCAAAGAAAAGCGATTTGTCTTCAACAAGTTTATCAACTCCAAGTTTATTGATCAACTTTAACTTTAACATTGGATTTCAAGAGTTGCATTTTAACGCTACTTCGCAGTACAGAGTTGTTCGGATTATATGCTATGCAGGAGAGCAGGAAGTACTCCGCTTTATTTCAACTTTGTATCTTCAACCACTTTATTATTAATATTATTACATGATGGATTGCACACTGACACTGTACAAATTTTTATGCTTATTTCACAGTTCGACTTCGATCGTTCCTCTTTCTTTTCACTCGTGTTGTACGTCTTTACAACCGGCCCGTTTGAGAATCAAAATGTACATAAATTTTCACCTTGAAAAACAGCCCGTTTGGAAAACAGCCAAAGAGTGGATACCTTCGAAATGAAATGGACCTGTATACAACCACATGGAGAGCGCGAGATATCGATTGAAAGCTGTACTAGAGGAATCAAGGTAAAGGTACAACAAGACCGCGAAGCACGCGACGATTGTTTGTTTGTTCGGGCGCGCGCGCGACGTGATCTTCCCGTTGGTGTGTTTCGATGCAGAATCAGGATCGGGTCTGGCACTGAAGATTGGAATTCCACGAGGAATAAAGTGGCTAGTAGTGGTCTGGACTCCGGTGTTGAACTATAAGGTTGACTATACATCACGTTCACGAACAACTATTCCAATGCTGGTGTCACAACTCTTCTTAGCCAGCAGGAGATCTAGTTCCAGATCCAGGATCCTAGCAGCGTGCCTCCAGGAAACTGATCTAATGTTGGTTTTGAGATCGTAGGCATTTCTAGAAACCACCACGTGAGGGCGTACCCACAGACGGTGGAACGGGTTCAGCGGGAAGTACATAAAACTAGGTGGAAGTTGTAGACGAGAGCTCCTTTGCGGACCATGTAGTTGTTCCATGCCTGTGCATCATTTCTCCCCAACAGTACTATGGAAGGAGATTGATCCTCGCTACAACTTAGTGTGGCTTCATGTGAAGATCCTGGACGAGAAGTTTTCCCGAGGAGGAGGCACTTGCTGCACAAGGAAGTTGTGTCAGTGCAAGCACTGCTACTCAGTATCGGCCAAGTAGTCCGAGTCTATGTAGCTCCGTATGCTTTCTGCTTTACAGTCTTTCTTAAAATACACGTTCGATTGGTTTGCTCTAGGGCAGCACCGTGCTTTCAGCCGTTCCACCATGCTGCTGCATTTGGCAAGTCAATATAAAAAATTCAAATTTTTTTCATGAAAAAAAAATATCAGCGCACTGAAGGTAGCACTTGAGTCAAAATAACTACAACAGTGACTGAAATTGTATACCCATCATCGACGTGCGACATTGTTTATTCTTTCTCACGTTTTGTAACAGCACTGGCACATGTTTGTTGAGTTGTAAAAATTGTTTGATACAGTTATAATCTTGTTGGTTTCTCGTCCGGCGGCAAAGCTCTTCGGCGACGAAAACTTACTTCCTACCGCAACATCAGTACAAGGCTACGGAGGACCACGTGGCGCAGACAAAAATTTTTTCTACACGGGATTTTATTTGCGGAAGAAGGGCGACGTCACCTCTTAACATCACACGACACCTACACAACTACACTGTAACAAGCGACACAGCGGCACAACGACGACTGAGCCAGGATGTAAACCAGCGACAAAATTCTAAAGATGCGTATGGTAGCTTGAAATCAGTTTTCCTCAACCCTAGCCTACATGTTGTACTGAAATATAAAAGTTTCTCATGCAATTGCAAGCAGTGTGCGTCATTGCATTATTCGTTAAGATGAATACAGCGCGGATGAGCAGGAACTGCTCATGCAAAGGAACTTCTGAGTTTTATTGGAAAGCGTGAAGGACTATCTAGAGAGAGGAATTTTGAGGAATTTTTGCAACAGGACACTTACAGGCGGAGCGTCAAGTAGTAGCTCTTCTTGGCAACAAGCCGGCCCTGGTGGTGCGGCTTCAAGTGCTTCGGGTACGCGACAGCGGCGACAGGAGGAACAGCCTGTTCTCAACTACAAAGTATCCATCTGTGCAAAACGTTATTTGTTTTGTTCGCAAAATCTTTTAGACTTTTTTGTATATGATCCATTTTGTCGCGGTCTTTCTCCGTGTAGTACGTGTTGCATGAATTATCTCCAATTTGCACAATTGTAGACATTCGACATCTCGTTTTGCACTGCATATCTGGGGCATGCGAGGGAGTCTTCTCGCGTTTGGGGCCCTGCCCACGCCAACGGGACGTCTCCGCTGAGCTGGAGTCAAGTCGGTTATCAATGTGAAAATAAGTCCTCTGGCCCCGGATGAAGTAGTTCTGATTCTTTCGTTCTCATCAAAAAATGCGAAACCTTTCATCTATGCATGAAAGCACTACGTGTTTACTTTCCGAGACAGACGAGTCGCTGCGTGCACGACTTTTGTTCTCACAGCAAGCCCTTCTGTTGCTGGGCCTCTTCGCAACACAATGGTGCGCTTTAGTTCATCTGCATTGGAAATGCTAACTTGTGCAGCTGCAGTATGCAAGATGTGGAACAATGTATCTGATCATGGCCGCAAGATTTGCGAAAATGGAAATGCAAAAACTCTTCCGATCATTAGTTCTGGTCGTGTAGGGGCAGTTTTTTTCACGGTGATATTGGGAACGAGTTTAACTCTTTGCTGAAGGAGCATGAACAGAAGCACAAGTGGCCTTCTTCTGCTGGCAGAGAGGACGCCGACAAGAGAAATCAGGAGGAAGCTGCACCGTGGGCCGACGAATTCTACAATAACGACCCGCAAAATCTTCAATACAACCAGATGAACGACGAGGGGCCCAACAACAGTCTCTTTCTTCAACAACCCGAGGGGAGCTGCTCGTCGTCGTCCTGGCAACAGTACCGCGATCGCACCGGGATAGTGCCCGAGTTGTCTATTGCGCACGGTAGTTCGACATCGCAGCGGGGGTTGCGGAGATCGTACAAGGAAGACCGTAAGAACTACTATCGTGGACGAGGTGATCGACATCTACTTCCGCAGCACCAGCAGACAAACCGGAGCCAACATGGTCAACACCACCAGCACCAGCAGCAGCACCGTAGCAGCAGCAGCAGCAGTGCAATGCGTCAGCAGAAGATGAACGCTAATGCTGAAGACCATCGTAGTACAAAAGAGGTTTACAACTCCCGTAGCGCCTCGTCGCCGTCCGCGCGAAACATAAGCGCAGTAGAGAATCGACAGCAGTCCGCGCAAGAACAGCAGGCGGGGCAAGTAGATGTAGTTAACGATCTCTGGGAGCGTTTCATGCGGAGGCACCACGAAGAGTTTCTGAAAAATCAACCTCCTCCTCAACAAGGGACCCCGAAGCAGGGGCTGCTGCTGCCCAGCGAAGGGGGTCTTGCAACTATCCCGTGCAAAAGATTGACGTAGCATCATGATCGCGCTCCCTCGTCATCTGATAGGCAGTAGATATTACACCATATTAATCTAGTTAATCCACTTCCATCCTGACCTTTGTTTTAAGTCACCTGTTCAAAAGATTGTCTTCTTCGAACCAGTAGGCCATGAGGATTTTTTCATAAGTTTCTTCATGCTTCTTGTTGTCGCGCTGCGTCGAAGTAGAGCAGGACGAGTTTAGCTACTTACCTTTGTTGCACTGCATACAGGAACGGCCGATTTCCGATGGAGAGACGCAGATACTCGACGTGCAGAAGCAGTTCCCTGTTTGCCCAGAGTTTTTTACGCAGTGGGAAAAGGATAGACAGGGTATCCATCGCAAAAAATTCTGTCTAGGCCACGCCCGGGAAGTAGATTCAAAGACTTGATGTCGTGCTGGATTGTTTTCAGGGTATAAGTACTTCTGAATATAGTATTCAGGATGTGAATGCTCTTAAGAAGTACATCGCAGTACAGATGTTCTAGCATGACAACTTTCCGATTCCGCAGGATCTAGGCATTATATTTGCGTTCCATAACCGGAGAGGCTTTTTTCTCCGATGAGGTGTGCCAGAGGGAGTGGCGGACTTACTACCTCTATTGAAAGGAAAATTCCCCCCTCCCCATATCGAAAGCGAAATTTGTGTTGCTGTATTTGAGTACACAAATCGCATTTGTCTTGCTGGAGAGGACTGCAGATCCATATCAAGCCTGAGTAGAGAGGCTTTGACTTAGGCGCTTAGCATGAAAAGCCTCCGTGATGTTGGCTCAACAGCATGACAAACCGCCTCCATAATGGGACGGAAGCTGCTGCCCTTGTCTTCTTGCAACACAAACGTGATTTGTGACCTCAAATCAGCAACACAAATTTTCGAAAACCTACCGCTTCAATATGGGGAGGGGGGATTTTTCCTTGCGATAACCTCGACTGGTTGGTGAAACACAACCAGACAACAAGCGGAATAAAGGAAAGTGAGGAACTGCAGCGCCGCCTTCTAGAAGCAGTGAACAGGCACAACAGAGAGGTGCGGAATAATCACGAAGCCATGGCAGCTCCACCGTCTCGTGTACCAGAACCGCTGCGAACTACAGCGCGTTCCCGTCACGCGGCTTCCTCACGTGAGAGAGGACGAAGGCGGCGAAGATCTAATTCGAGAAACAAGGATCACCAGCGTCGTCAAGGTCAACAGCAGCAACTCCCAGTGGAACACCGTGCGGCGACTCGGGAGGAGCTTTTTTCGGGTCGGCATGTCAAGAGAAATAATAGAAATCGTCGCTCTAGGTCGTTCTCGAGGAGCAGGAGGAAATCGGTTTCGCCCAAAAATCCACTTGTTCCAGTACTAGAACAGCAACGACAGGAGCACCGCAACCGCCGAAGGGAGCACGAGCGTGTTACTACAACTTCCAGAAATCTCCTTTCATCAACAACTTCTGATGTCCGGTCCTCTGCACCGAATCGCGGCCCGCTTCGTCGTCAAGACAGCCACAACACGACTGCACAGCCTGGAGCTAGACACGACAACCAACAGCCATTACAACTACCCTTGAATGGAGGACCAGGCGAAGGCCAAAATGGAGGTGGTGGGAGAATGGTGCGGACCCGCAGGACCATTGTCCGAGTAGTACCTCCGAGGACAAGTATATGGAAGGTATGCATTGCAAATAGGTCTGGGTCTGGAAGGGTGCAGCTGCGTCTTTGTGATGGTGCGCGTTTTAGATAAGACAGAACCTGCCAAGCGTGGACAGCTTGAGTAGATGAGGTGTTGTTATGTATTAGAATCAGGGAAGATTTCTCGTGTGGAATATGCATCGAGAGACGGCATCGAGGATGCCGGTGGTGCTAGTGCTTGCATGCCACAGCTTCACCAGGGTCATGCAAAAACCGCATGGCAAACATGCGCACTCATTCAGACCCAGAAATATTTGCAATTTATAAGGGCAGCCGTTGCCCGACTCGTTCACCTTCACCCGGAGCCTGTATTTGCGAATATCCCACAGAAAAGCAGAAGTACACATACTAGAGAAGAATGAAAGGAGTTTGCGCTTCTAAATTGGTCCGATTGAAAAGAAGTCTTTAACGGTGCGGAGACCACAAACGACGCGAAGAAATTTTTCTTCTGTCATGCAGAACGCAGCTTTAGATTCAGGTTGCAATGCATTGTGACAATCAATAGAGAGAGAGACACAGTACCCAAAATAATTGTCGTGCTCATGCTAAGCAGCAAAAAAGAAAATGAAAAACAAAGCACCTCTCTGACGCTAAGACGCGCCACACACGTGCATTTCTTTTGTGGTATTAGCCCACTTTCTCTTTTCTGTAGGATAAAGGATTGACCGCACATATGGGGCATTTCTTGAAGGGCCGCGCGGATCGGGTGCAGCGAAGTCGATCTGGCTATCCAAGGAAAAGGCGCGCTGGTTTAAGAACTCTCTTGAAGAAGCAGGGCGACAGGCCCGTCCTTTTTTTTTTTGTATGTTGGCCACAATTGGGAACAAGGCTGGCTTAAGTATGCAAAAAGGCCGTTTTTGAAGTTGAAAACTACGCGCTGAGCAGCTTGAGTTTGAAGCCAGGCAGGAAGCTGCTTCCCTAGTATTCGTGTTCGAAGTACTATTGATGCGTGCTGCCTGTCGTGTGACAAAAGTGAGCTCGGTCGTAGCTTGTGCAGATTTAGCATGACCCTAGCGCGGTTCTTTTTCATCGTGATAGCTGAAGAGTAGCGATGACGCAGAGGATCAGGAATTTGCCGACGCGCTGCGGTATTGGGCACACCAGCGCGCTGCCGCCGGCGAGGGAGCTCCTGGATTCGACCCCCGGGCGGCCTTTTTCGGCTTTCTCGACTTCGTCCGCCAGCAGGTTGGTGGGGCGTCTTCTGCGCCATCCGAGTCCGCCGGGTCTGCCGCCCCGCCCAGGAACGAGAGCCGCGGGAGCCAACAGAAGCCGGCACAGCCGCGACCCCGCGCTGAGGCGCCACATGAAATAAACAGCCACAGAGGGGAGCAGGGACCGGCTCCCCGAAGTCCTCCCGGCACTGGGGCAGTTCCAGGAAGCCTCCAAGTTCTTGTTCAGGACCAGGAGACGCCATCTACGAGTGCAACACCAGCGGGAAACTGTAGCAAAGTGCTTTACTCGGGCTCGCAGGTCGCAGTGTTCGAAGTGGATCACGACGTTGGAGGACACGCGGAGCAATCGGAAAAGCAAGTTCTTGCAGAAGATGACAAGGGACAGCAGCAAGACCTCCCTGATCTTGCTGCGCCAGAAGTTCTTGTCCAAAAAGCGGATGCAAACAAGGAACATGTGGCAGACGAACCAGTAGCACGACATGCGGCGTCGAGGCCGCAAGGCGACAGTGTTTCCATCGGGGGAGAAGAAAATCGCAGTGGAGAAGACGAGCTGCAGAAGTCCTCTCAGGAAAACATCATAAGTGCGTCGACACTACCCACCATGCACGCGGGTCGTGAGGTGGACGATGAAAACGTCTTGCTCGTCGCACCGGGCACACAACTACAGGAGGTTGACGCGAGAGACGACCACGTCGCGCCACCCGCTGAGGAAGCGGCGCACTTGACGGCTGCTAAGAATCGCGCAGAAGTTGATGTTCCGGACAAGACCACCCTGCTGAACACCGTGGACAGAACTCTCGCGGGGGCGGAAGGTGAAGAGGAGCAAAACGACAAGCCTTGTTCCGTTGCAGCACGTGCGGCAGATAGTAGCCGCGTCACCCCTGCGATGATCCAAGATTACGAGGACAATTTGCCGGACGATCCCGTACCGGCTGCGACCCTGGACGCTCTCAAGAGGAAGTACGCGGGTAAGGCCTTAGGAAGAAATTTGCTGTCCCTTTATCTCCCTCAGTTGGTGTTTGATGGTGAAGAAGAAGACTGGGACTATAGTTAGTCAGGATTAATAAAAAGCGCGCCTTGTTGTTGTTGTTTTCTTCGTCGTCTGTGACAATATGCGAAAAACAAGAGATCGTATATAGGGAAGTAGTGCGCCAGCATATTACAGAAGACTTAAACCAAAAAGAAAAACCTTTCACAGACTTGGGGGCAGGAAGTGCGTGCCTGACGGAGTCGCCCGACGACTTTGACCTGAGCAGCTTTCTGTCCTCTCCAGCGGAGCTCCCCCTGCGCAACCAGGAACCAGAAATAAATCAGACCAACACGACGAACGAGCTTGCGGCGGCAGATGGTGTTCAATTTGACGGCCATTCCCAACGCGCGTCGGAAGGGGCCCAGGAGGAGCTGCTCGCTTCCCCCTCTGTTCATCAGCGCGAAGCCACGACCCCCGGAGATGTTGATGCCACCAGTGGTGCGGCGCGACAACAGCGGGCGGGCGAAAGTGCAGACCAGCAGAGCATCCTCGTGTATCCTATGTAAAAACACCCCCACCAGCTACAGGAAAATTTGTAATGTGCATCCCCATGAGAGGCATTTCCAGTCGCGTTTTGCACTTTCTAATGCTGTCGACAGGATGAGTAGATGGATTTGTGTTGCGGCTGTGCTTGCTAAACTGCACAACAATACAGAGCCGAACTTGTCCCGCTGGACCCCCAAAACTTCTCGATTTGTGTTGCGAGATCCACATCCTGACTCCGGTGTGGGGACGTTTTTACATAGGATATCATGGATGAAGTTGATGTTCCGGCGGAGACCACCCTCCTGAACACCGTAGACAGCAGCGTCGCCCGCTCACCGCAGATTCTTAGCCCTGCCGAAGCTGCCGAAGATGATGAAAATCGGGCGGCTACCGCTACTTGCTTCCACATTAGCCCATCGGAAGATGTGGAGATGGAGGACAAAAAATCTTTGAAAGAAGATGTCCCTGCAGAAGTCGGTCAACAACAACAGCAGCAGGTCCCAGATCAGGAGCAAGCACTGAGTGCTGGTCCTTCGGAGGAAGCTGAGGTAAGAAAATTGCTCTTTGCTCCTTTTCTCGAATTTCCCCTTTTCATCTTTGTTTCCCGGAGCGGAATGAAATTTGGACACGAAGGAATTGTCATGATCATTGCAGCGAGATCAAATTCAACAACACCCAATCAAAAAATGTTAACTACAGGTGGAAAATCAAAATTGTGCGGAAGAAATCGATATCGGCACTGAAAAGGAGCAGGAAGAGGTGCACCAAGAAGCGCTACACCAAGTAGAAGACCAAAGACCTACTACGTCGCAGCAGCACGACCACGCACCTGACGCGGGTGCAGAAGCCGAGCCAGGTGATGATCTCCCGCAGGAGCGGACGGGGCACATGACACCGGCAGCGGTAGTGGTGACTGATGCAGCAGAAATAAATGAAGGAGCCTTAGCCTTTACTACGGTGGTGGAAAGCGAAAAGGCGTCTTTTTCTCCGGAACTGGTGCCCGTGCCCGAAGCTGAAAAACAGCCCGTGCAGGAAGTTATGGAACCCCAGGAGAATTATCGAGCGGTGAACGAGGTCCGTGTGTTGTAGAACTTTTTTTTTTCAGGCCTAGCACTCGTACTCGTGTCTCATAGAACACTAAACAGCATGTGGTTTCTGTATACAAGATCGTGATCGAGGTCATCAAGCATGCTACTATGACCATGCACTTCCAGAACAAATCACTCCCACAGGTCTGTACAGCTAAACCGCTGGTGGCGCAAGACGAGCAGACCGGAATACCGTCTTCACCATCCGCGCCAGAGCTGCAAAATGCAGAAGACGTGAAGCTGCGCGCTTTATCGGAAATAAAGCACGAAGATGAAGAACAGGCACGGGAGGCATCCGAGGAACAGTTAGCGCAGGGGATGTTGCCGGGAGCGCACTTAGAGGCGGCGCAATTAGAGGCGGCACGAGGAAGCACATTCGTGCAGGAGGGGGGCCTGAAAAAAGAAGCAGTGTTGACAGAGGTATAAAAGAAGGCGTTGTTTGTAGTGTGGTATGCAGAAATCTTTGTACTTAGTCAACAAATTCAACACATCCAAAAGAACAAACTCAAATGGTACAAACTGCAGGTACAGGAGATCTGTGCAATTGAAATTGATGCTCCGAAGAAGCAACACGAGCACCACGCAAGGGATGAAGAGATGTTCTTGGCTACAGAAAGCGAGCATCTGAAACGTAGCGAAGCGACCGCACAGGCTAAAGCGGGGGTTGCAGTAGAACAGCAGGACGACAACGTGAATAAAAACGTCCCATTACACCAGCAGACAGAAAACAAGCCAGGAATACCTACCACCGCGCCGGCTGATGAAAATAGTGAACCTCGCGCCGAGCAGAAGATGAAGAATCCGGAAACTTCCACTTTTACGCAAGAAGAACTTCTACGACCACGGGAAGGCTGTCAGGTTGTTGCAGTTGAGCAGGCGAAGGAGTTGAAGCTGCTGCAAATAAAGGAGAACGAAGCCAAAGAGGAAAAGCAACAAAGCATCGTCGAACCAGAACGGGACGAGGTGAAGCAATTTGTACCACAGGAGAAATTACAACAACCGGAAGGAAAATTAGTCCAGTTAGAAAGTGGAAAAGTAACTGCAACAGAGGAAATAGAATCCGCCAGGATGCTGAATACTACAGAAGAAGTTGTTGTAAATCAACACGCAGCTACCGGCACAACTTCCACGCAACAAGTGGACAATAGTCATAATGTACAAGGATCACCCGCCAGATCATCGTCTGCTCTCTGTCCGCGACCTGCGGATCTTCAGGCGGAGGTGAAAAAAGATAAGGATGCGCCGGTGTTGCAGATGCACATGCGGAGTGGTGCTGGGAATTTGTTCGAACAAGGAGTAGAACGAGTACCAGCAACAAGCAGCTCTGCGTCGTCTACAGGATGGGCTAGTTGTAGCAATCAAAATGCGCCGCAGACTTTCGCTCCCGTCCCCGTGCAGTCGCTTTGGTGGCTCACATGGGTCCACGAGGAAAGGAACAGACGTGAACGGGAAAGAAATGCGTGGGAATGGGTAGCACGTTACATCGCGTTCCGAGGATGGAAGGTAAGTGCAACAACCACCGGCAACGAAAACGTCGAACAAGTAGTCGCTGCGGCAAATAATACTGCGGTAGTGGAAAACGAAAACAAGAGAACCGACGAAGTTGTAGAGGTTGAAGCTTCTGCTCGCCTAGATCCGAGCTCCGCAAAAATCGCAGAGAACAAACCACAGCAGGTCGAACAAGAACGAAGAGCGCTGCGTGAAGAGGTTCTTGCCCAGAACAAGCAGGAAAACAACGGTCCTGCGGAACAAGTTGACTCGGCAGCATCTGCGAACAAAAAACACGCGGCCGCGCAGTTCCAACAGAGCAGTCCTGTAACGGTATTAACTCCTCCGCATTTGTCCGTGGCAGAAGTAGGAGTCGCGAAGGCTACAACACAACAGACCAACGTTGAGGAAAGCGGCGGCCCATCCGACGTCGAGGATGATGATGCAGCGCAGAAGAAAAAGGCAGCTGCTCAGGAGGCCGCTCACGAGAATTCCCAACAGATCGTTGGCTCAGCAAAAAAAGCGACCGAGCAATCTTCAGCACCGGTCGAACAGCCTTCGCTGGCAAACGCGACGGATGTTGAGGATGACCACGTAGACGAGGAACAGAACACGAGGGAGGCACCAGAACATGATGACGCGAGCCGTCCTTTTGCTTCCGAGGATAATTCAAGCGAGAATCAGAGTCTCACCTCTTCCGAGCGAAGTGAGCACGACGAGGACAAGAAAGATGATGATGAAGAAGTAGATAATGATAATCTGGACCGCGGCGCATATAAGGATAAGACCAGCATTCTGAAGAAACCGGAAAATGATCAGCGTGCTGCAGAGGGGCATGATCAAGGTGAACAGCAGAACGATCGGAGAAGCGGGTCGCCTTTCCCAAGGAGGGACAGGGCCAACAACGACGACGCCGAGTCCGCTTCCGATGTTGAGGCTCCTCCGAAAAATCGGGGCGGCGAGACTAGCGAGGACGGCCACAACTCGCACTCGGACCGCGATGAGAATATGAACAAGAGGAGACATTCGGCAGCCCACTTTTCTCCGTTTGATGCGAAAAAGAACACCGGAGAGAAAGAAATCTTGGCGACCGGCGGTTGCGAAAAAGCCGTGGCGGACGAGAAAAGTCCAGGTTTTTTTGTTTCTTATGTTTTTCTGGTCGGTTCAATCATAAGCGAGGGCGTTGCCCGTTTTCAACATTTTAGGAGAGTTTTTGTTTCACGCACTGTGCAGCTATAAGCCACCCCGATCAACATGTGGTCGTCCAGGAATTGTGGAAGTTTCTTTCGGCCAAATTATTCGTTCCAAATCCGCCACTAAAATCCAAAATAAACCTGCACAGCAGAGATAGAGCACGGCTCTTCTCCGTTGGAGAAAGAAGCCGCGCCGGAAGCTGCAGCAGACGAAACACCAGCAGAAAGAGAAGCTCCAGCGGAAGTAGATCTTCAGGAAGAGCCCGCACCCTCAGGGACGATTTCTTCACAGCCACCACCTGCGTCGACTTCAGCGGCTCCTCGCGACGCAGAGAAAAGATCGCGAAGCGATTCTTGCTTGTCTTCCTCTCGCTCCTCGCCAGGATCTGCCAGAAGCTCTTCTCGTAGTTCTCGCTCTTCCGATATGAATGTGCACAACTCCCCCTCCCCCTCATTTGTCATGCAAAATGCCCAATCCAGGCCGTGCCTCCTAGCACTGTTCGCATGACAAGATCTGGCAGCCCAAATAGCAATCCCGTGCAAATGTGTCATGCAAAACCTGCATTCTGGTTGGCGCTTGTATTGCCATTCATGCTACACAAATGAGGGGGAGGAGGGGTTGTGCACTGTCATATCCCAAAACCGGCACGCTTCCCGTAGGAGTTCATCTCGAGTTTGTTCTAACAAGCGCAGCTGCACGGATTCCAATTCATCTTCGCGTAACAAAAGTGCGGCGCCAGAAATACAAGGAACAAGCAGCGAGCAAGCGCCTTCCGCTGGTCCTCGGCGGACTAGTAGCGGGAAGAGCGTGCGACTACACTCTCCTTCTTGTCGCAAGAGAAGTATCCAACGGCCGCAGGAGGGAAAAAATAACAAACAGCCCCCGTTGTTCAGTCGTTCTTCTCGGCGAAGTTCTGCTCCTTCCAAGCGTCCCGCCCCGCGCCGAAGCATAGTAAAAGTCTCCCGCTGGTCCTGCGCCAATCGTGAGAGCAAAGAGGTGGCAGCAGCTGCTGCTGCAGAGTCATCTTCTCGAAAGAAGGTTTTCCATAATCCCGAACAACCAAGAAAACCGTCGAGGAAGCGGCGGGCAGTTTCTTCTGACAGGAGCGCTTCGTCTTCAAAGCAGCTGAAGAAACCGAGACTTGAAAGGCCCTCGCCACGGACAAAAACCGGCAGCTGCTACACGTCGACCGGGCCTCAGGAGCATACTAAAAATGTCACCCTCCGACGAGAACCGTCCAAAGCCAGGTACTGGAGCGACGTCCTGGCGGTACGCGACGTAAAGATGTCTGGGGCTGGAAAGATGCAAGATTGTCATGCTTGGCTACCATGACTCTCCAGTCTGTCATGCACGTTATCCAATAAACGCCCCACTTTATAATTTCTGTCATGCAGAAGCTCGCTTTGTCATATCGAAGCCGAATAGACAACACTGCAGCAGCACCTCCAAGATGAAAACTTCTCATGCTGGGCAGTCAATTCAACTGAACCGACGCATCCTTGTCTACTTTCTCAAACAGCATCACAAGTTTCCAGACCCAGACATGTTTGCATTTGATAGGCGGAGCGGCAACGGGGGAGTAACAATGCAGCTGCCGCGCCTGCACCCGCTTCCTCCTCGTGTGCCGGCCTCCTGGTGGAGGAGGGGGGCCGGTACTATCTGCCTCCGGAGAGGGCAGATAGTAGCAAGAACGTTGCCGCCCGACATTCTGAGGAAAATAACGCTTCGCGCGAACTGCAGAAAGTCCAAGCCGCTCCTCCTCCGCAGCAGGAGCAGAAAGGAAAAAACGCGCCGCAACAGGGGCAGGAGCAACCTGATCCGCGAGGGCCGCTGCTACCTGTACCCGCCATACCAAGTGCAAATATGTCCGGGTCTGGAAAGTTGGAACCTGTAATGCTGGTTTTGCATCGCTGCGGGACCTGTGTTGCATGGCCAACAAAAGTGGCAGCCTCTCCTGCCATACAAGAACGGAGTTTCTCATGCGGGGTGCGTATGAAGAGAAAGCGTTGCGCAAACTTGTCATGCTTTCCTGCGTAAGGAAGTGCTTTCATCATGCATATTTTAGCATCACAAATTACCAGACCCAGACATGTTTGCATTTGATACGCCATGCGCCAGAACAACTTGCCAGCGGTGAGGAAGATGAAGATCTCGCGTCCGCGGACAGTCAAACCCAGCAGCCCGCGCCAGTATCCGAGGCGGAGCGGCTCGGGAGATCCGGAAAGAAAATCGCGGAAAGGCAGTTTGGCTTCTTCGCGGGCCTCCAGTTCGGAGAGCGGTCCTGGCTATCTGGAGGGACTCCGGCTTGCGTTCATGATGAAGAACAAGTCCGCTGGCCCTATTACGAAGGTGGAAGGCGACCAAGGACGAGGGCAGCAGCGCGGGGCAGGAGCGGCAAACTTCTACAACTCCTGGGCTCAGCGAAGGAGCCCGGCACGGCCAGCGTTGCTGCTATGCATTGCAAAAGTATCGTACTAGTACGACTTGCATTTTTACAAATTTTTTCCGCATTAGAAATGGAGTTTGTAATGCTGATTGACCTATAGGAAAAAGATTTGTAATGCGTAACTGCAAAAATTACTACGAGTGCGATACTTTTGCAGGTCATAGCCGCGAGAGAGAAGCAAAGTACGAACTGAGCAGCACCTATGGATCTGTCAGGATTGAAATGGTCAAAGTTGAAATGATTTCTCATGCATAAAATGCAAGGCATAAAGGGCCTGTCTTGCCGGGATGGCAAGTGAGGCAGATTGTGAGCCTATTTAGGGTTTGGGATAGAGCTGCTAAAGGAGCATGATAAAAGCAGTCGTCTGTGCCCAAACAGCATGACAAATTAGATTCATTCTGGTGCTCCGAAAATTTGTCTTGCGCCGCTTGGAAATTGGGTTTCCAACTGGTATCCATTTTATGCATGACAAATCATTTCAACTTTGTCGATTTCAAACCTGAGACTCCCATAGCACCGTAGCGCAGACCAGAAAAGGCCACGTGAGAGGACCGCCGAGAAGAACAGGTCTCGGGATAAAGAAGAACTGAAGCGGAAACGGAAACGAGAGAAGAAAAGCTGGGGGAAAAGTAGGCGGCGCCGGGGCCGTAGCTGTTCGCGCTCGCCTTTACCACCGCCGCGTTATTTCCGGGGGCAGAGCAAGACCAAGAGCAAGTCCAAGATGAGATGACGGGGGTAAAAAACGAAAGTTGAAGCTTCTCGCTGTAGAAACGAAGAATAAGAAATATTAAAAACTGAAGCTCAGAAAGAAAAGCTCAAAAGTCGTCGACCCTGCTGAAGTGCTGTTATATATCCTCATGCAGCGTCACTTCTTTACCACTGGTACTCCTCAATTTAGAATGACAGCAAATATAAAAAGACTTCTAAATCTATAAACGATCTGAAGTTGTCTATGTGATATTTCGCTGCGTTATTTTTGTGATTTGTATTTCAAAGAAAGACTTCTAAATCAAAATCAGAGCCGTGCCCTGTACTAGAAGTTAAGAAATCTCGTATCTACACGAGTTTTGCTTTGTTTTTGTTTACCGGACGGAGCAAAAAAATGAAAATCAGTTTCAACCTGAAAGCCAACCAGCAAAGATTCAATCATTTTTACGCGTCGTGTCACGGTTGATGTCTTTCTTCTTGAACATTTTTCAGAACTTTGTTTTACACGGCGAGCCTGGAGGCGCGATTAATAGCGTTTGAAGAAGAGGCGGAGGGCGATAACGTAATACTTGGCTTGCTTACCTCCGAGAAAAAAAATTGGACGCGGTAGTATGTATGTAAACGTACCATCAGCCTATTGTGGTTTTTTCGACTTTGTTGCTTGTTCTGAGAAAAACACTAATATTACTTTTTCTGCAGATGCGGCCCCGTCGCGTAAATTATGATTTTTGCGAAGAAAATCGGAAAGTAGAGGTACGTAATAACAACTTTTTTTGCTCACTAACGCGGCGACATGGTACATAAATTCAACACTACATGAGAGTTGCAGGAGGACGCACTTCGTCGGCCCAAAGTCAAGTGTGCAGCGCATGACGAGAAGGTGGTGGGTTTTTTTTTGTGGCCTGCACTCGAAGATATTGATATTCATATTAGGGCAGTGGATATAAAAATTACAACATCTTCACTTGTGGATCGACTCGAATCATTTTTACCATGTAATTCAGATTCTGGTTACAGTTTTAGTTTATCTTGCGGCATTTTGGTTTTGCTTTTGCCTCACCAACAAGGTACGACCATTCACAATTACAGTGAATCTATGAAAAGACAAAGAGCAGTGGTCAACCGCCCCGAACGGAAATCGCTCTCGTGGAAGGCATGCAAATAAAACCAAGGGGTACACCGTTTCTTGCTATCGGAAAATTATTTCGTTGCAATTTTTATATCAGCCTCAGCCCCGTATGAGAAGGTTTCTTTATCTTTTCCTTTTCTTTGTCAGCATTACTCATTTCTATTTACAGCTTAGATCATGAAAGCCACAAAAGACTTTCTTGTTGTGTAGTTCCCGCCAGAAGAACTACAGTAGGCAGCATTCCATTGAAATATATTCGAAGATGAATGCCGTTGCAACTGTAAGGCTGGCAAGTGGTGTAAAGTGCGTGGCACTTCTTCCTGGGCGCAGGCAGCAGCCTGAGAACTACTTCTTAGAGCGAAGATTCTTGTCGAGGACATCGTTGCACTAGAGATCATGCAGGAATGTTGTTTTCTGTCAGGGCTACTATGCTACTTGTGCCGCTGGACTTACAACTGTGTGAAGATCAGTGTGAGAGGACGAAAAAGAAAGAAATCGGTCGGAAGCATGAAGTACAAGGGAAATGATCAAAATGATTTGAATCAAAATGATCTGTTCAAGATGAACTCGGTTGATGTGAGAACTGAACGATGGATGTTTTCGGGCCTCAAAAAATTGATGCCATGCCCAGGCATGGAAAGAAAGAAAGAAAGAACTCGGTTGACAATATTTTCTGCTGGCATAATGGATGATCCAAAAAGGATCTTCAAAATGTGGATCCAGCATACTTCTCCTCGGCCTCAAACAATGTGAATGTCTGATGTGCCCTTTGCTCATAAGCATCGCTGATGTCCTTCTATGTTGTTGCCTCTTCACTTCTACACCAGCTTTTTTCGATTTCTCGAACAGTAAAACAGTACGACTTCAGCCTCGAACAGTACAAAAACGGTCTTCTAGTGACTCTAGTACACCTTGAGCCTCACTGGACCAACCTCTGCATAGAGAAGTAGGACAACGTGATACATTAAACCCTAGTCTCTGCTCAACAAAGTCAAACTCCCCTTTGCGCTTTTGCGAATGTACTTATTACACTCACAACACTTGGAGAAAATGAAAATGAAAAACGAAACAACAGTGGAAGTTTTCAAATTGCAAGTTCATGTATAAGTATGTGAAGTAGTCCCCCTGCCTGCATAATTGTAAGAACTAAGCGTGCATCTGCATCAACTTTTTCCATCTTTACCACGACAAAATATTTTAAGCATTACATCAGACCTGATTTCAATTTATTCCCCTGGAAGTAGTTTTTGTTTAACACATTTGGTTTTACCCGATATAACTTACCAGACCTTTATTATATAAAAGATGCCCGCCGGCGCGGCCAATCCCAATTCGCACAACAATATGTTGTCCAACAACATCAACATGTACACGCCCTTGTTGAGGTGGTTGTTCTTTTCTCTCAGCACCACTTGGTTCTGGTGCAGCCTACAAACAGGTCGGGCGGCTGCTTCTGGGACACCTCCGGGGTCCTCGTCCTCGGAGCCGGTTCTACTTGCGAAGCATTCTTATACGGTGTGGCAGGACGAACGCCTCGGCTTCACGCTTGACGACGCAACAAGCGCCGATGATGCAGCTCCTGCTAGCGCAAGGTTGCAAGTGGGAGATCCGTCCGCCGAGGCCGCGGCGCGAATGTTGTGGCCAAAGCTACGAGAACAAATCGACGACGCGAATTTGCGAGAAGAAATCGAAGCCGCGTGGGGACAGGACCACCACGACGAAGTTGCACATCAACAAGAACTATCAAATGTAAAAATGTCTGGGTCTGGAAGAGTCATGCTGTTTCTGCATGACGCAGAAGGTCTGGCATGGAAGCTCTAGCATCACAGGTTTCGAGAAGCTTCCGCAATGCCGAATCCGCATGACAAATCCCCCACTTTGGTGACAGAAAGTGAGCAGCTTTTGCTGCCTATGCATCAGAGATTTTTGTGTGTTCTGAAATGCGCATCACAAGTTACATCCTTCCAGACCCAGACATTTTTGCATTTGATAAGAACATCAGCAGGAGACCAGAAGAACGTCGACTGTCGGAGGTAGGGGCCTTGTAGAAAAACTGAACTACGCGTTTAGCCGCGGGAACCTCCGCTTGCGCGCGCCGAAAGTCCGTGACGTGGTACAGGTGCAGGGGCCGACGGGTCCTGTGCACAGGTACAGACGGCCTACAGACGTGGTACAGACTTCCTACAGAGCCGTCGAGTTGGAAGTGGTGTACCATGCCTCGGAAAGGCAGCAGATAGTGCGCCGGCGGAGATCTACGTCTACTAGCAAGAGTAGAAGTCCCTCAAGAACAAGCCGACGGTCGTCCTCGTCCTCCTCGGGTAGTGGAAAAAGGAGGGCATCCTCCACCAGCAGAAGCAGGAGCAGTAGCAGAGAAAGAAAGGAAGCAGCAGAACAGAGCAAAGCAGCCGGAAGTGCTGGTGTGCCACCAACTACGGCACCAGCGCGGCGGCTGCTTGAGGACGCCCTTAGGTCAGTACGACGCCAGCCGCCGGCAAATACAAATGTACCTATTCCGCGGCCTTTTGCTGCTCCCACTCCCAGCGCGTCCGCAACGCCGGTACAACAACAGCACCGTTCTGCGGGCTTGGATGCACCACTTCCCGGAGGGGGCCAGTCTCGTGGCCAGTCTAGCTCTAGTTCCGCACCAGCGGCCCCTAACCCTATGCACTGCAAATATGTCCTCTGGGTCGTCTGGAAGGATGCAAGGTTTCTTGTCATGCTTGTCTGGCATGACTGAAGAGTTTGTTCTGCGTGTCCACGGAGAGGCCTTTTACCTTTTATTTGTCATGCAAAATCGCAGCTTGTCATGCGGAAAACGCATCGCTGAGCAGCGCAGATATAATTTCTCATGCTTGGCTGTGCATTATAATTATTCCCAACCCAGCATTTATACAAGTTATTTCCAGACCCCGACAACATATTTGCGGTTGATAGCCCCTTACCGCACTCCGTTGGCGGCACCAGCTCAGCAAGGAGCTGCACCCGATGGTCACTGGTTTGTTGGACACCACCCACCTCCGTCCTCTCCTCCACCAGGCGATAGTCCACCTCCTTCCGAGACCGAGAGCGGCAGGCTTGACGAGATGTTGTACCTAATGAAACGCGCAGATCCGTTAGTGGAGGGAGATACAAAATTTGGGAAACGGGAAATCGACAATCTGGACCGCAACCTGCAGTTCTTTGGCCTTTCCAAGTCTGACGAGCTTTTGTCGGCCTCCGAGGAGGACGCTGAAGATGTGTACGCGAAACGGGTGACCGTTATCTCCACGGACGCGTCCGTTCGTGGCATATGCAAGAAAAAAAGTAAGTATGTTTAGTACAAGTCTGTGATGCACAAATAATGAAGAAAATAATAACTGCAACATCACACGTAGCAGGACACACTTCTCATGGTCATGCCGGGGCCGCGGACCACCACGAGGTCCCCTTTTGCTCCACGTTCTAGCCATGTTCGACAGGCTTTCTTTGTCAACATCATGCGAAACCAATTTATAATGCTGTCAGCCCAAGAAGGACAAGAATGTTACAACACTGAAGCTAAACACAGTTTTTTTCTTGGATACGGGAAGAGCAACTATTATGGATATGGCGCCGTGTGGATTCAACATCAAGTGCTGCCGCCGGACGTCGCCGGCGCGGCTTCTACAGCGCCGCTGCGGCAAGGGATGGCCGGGGTTTTGCAAATTCCGAATTGGGAAGAACCGCGCTCCGCTCCTGCGAAGCGAGTTTATCTGACTGACGAGACCACGACCAGCATCGACCAGGGAAGTAGCATGGCGCAGTTTCAGCAATGGGGTGAGTCTATGCACAACATTCGCCGAAAATTCAAGTACACGAAGGACAAGGACTGGGACCGGACGAAGGGGTTGATGTTTGCTTTTTCCAACTGGTGCGAACTTTCGGCGATTTATAAGGCTCTGGAGCTGGGAAGCGATGAGAATGCGGTCCCGGGTCCGTTAGTTGTGCTCACGGACCAGAGATTTGTGTTGGATGTGCTACAGGCCTTCATCTTGCCCGAGATTCGGGACGCGATGTACGACATAATCGAGAAAGAGCTACTGGAAGCGCCGCTGCACCCCTATCATAAGGACAAGAAGACGAGGACCTTTGCGTACTTGCGGCAATTCTTTCTGCAGCATGACCACGGGTGGAAGCAACAGCTCTTGCGCCTTGACAAGTATAAAAGTACTAGCCTGAATCGTTTTTTTGACATTATCGTGGGACAGCTCCAAGAAGAGCACCTCAAGCCCGCGCCGCAGTGGCAGCAACGGGACATACAGGGAAGACCCGTCACCCCGTTCCAGGTAACCCTGCCAAAGCGCCTCTATTACATCGGCGCACTGATTGCGAAAAGGTTTGTGTTCGGCTTCGAGGCGGAATTCGCTGTAGCAGCTGATGAGGCCGACGCGCGCAACGCAGAGAAAATCGGCCTTGCGCACATGACAACCCTGATCTACCAGCAAGGCCATGACTACCGCCCGGCCCAGTCTGTAAAGAAGTCGACCATCAAAGAAGCAATCGCCGCTGCTGATTCCGTATCAAGTGCAAAAGTGTCTGGGTCTGGAAGATTCCGAGATTTGTCATGCATATTTCTCATGACCCATAATGCCTGTAGTGCATGATCTAGCATCACAGACTTTTAGAGGGCTTCCTGATGCGCCTTCCGCATGAGAAATGCCGTGTCCGCGTAGCACAAACTGGACCCCTCTTGCTGGTCATGCAATACAAATTTTCCTAGAATCCAAAAACAGCATGACAAGTTGCAATCTTCCAGGCCCAGACATTTTTGCAGTCCATATGCCGCGTCGGTAATTTTCTCGGACCTGGAGGCACTCGAGGTGCGCGCGCCCCATGGCAATAAAGCACCCGCGGCTGGAAGTAGCTTATGGGCAGCGCCGTACGAAGACGCCCGTCATTGGAACTACTTACAACTCCCCCACTCGTCCCTTGGAGCTAGTGCTGTGGAAATGCAAACGGCACCACAAAGGGAGATCCCTCTGAGGTACTACCACGGCGACGTGCCGGCTCACGACTGGGCCTTTAGGCTGGAGATGACGGCACAGGGGAGTAATGGGTCGTACCACGGCGATGTTGACGGGAGTCGCAGGGATAATATCATACCAAAATTGTTCGATGTCCTATTGATCCACAGCGAAGAAAAATCGCAAGGCACGGGAAGCTCCGCGCAAGATGAACAACAAAAAGTGTTCCAGTACCTGTACCCGCTCGGCGAAAACGTCCTGGAGAGTATGAAGTTGAATCTGAAGGTACAGTGGCAAACAAAATGGGACGACTACAAACAGCGGTTCCATTGGCTGTCCCGCGACAGCTACAAGCGGTATCATTGGCTGGCACAAAATGGCCCCGCCCTGGTCCTGCGGGACAAAGAAGAAAGCATGGTTGGAACGGATAAAGTAAACCAGGTGCTGGAGAAGATAAAGAAGCGTTGGGAGGCCTATCAAGGCCGCTATGTCGACGGGATCGCGGATGAACGGGAATCACGTATTTCCAGTAATATGGATGGAGCGCCGGCCACGGACAGTCTCAGTCAACGTTCTCATTCACATACTGAAGAAGAAGAACTTCCCACCGCTCCTCCATCGGGAGATGTAGTTCCTTATCCTACTTCGATCATTCGCTCTACTCCGCTGCCTGTTGCTGCACCATGGGCCGCTCAAGGAGCTTCTTCTTCTTCTTCGTTCTTACCACCAGCGACGCCGCAGGGGCCGGGTGTTGCTTCACTTGCTCCGCCTCATTACACCGGCACGGTCCGGCGCCATCGAGGAGGGGATGCGCCACCTGCTGTTGCTGAACGGGACCGTCAAGAGCAGCACGAGCAGCGCAAAACCAGGCAGAACAAGATTAATATCCCTACCCTGGATCCCGGAATTCTATAAACTCTTCTGTAATAAGTAGTCACTGATTTGCACTATCCCCGAACTAATCACGAACACAATTAGAAGTAGTAGGTGGTGACGTTGCTGTCCTTCCAGTGGCGACAGTAGATCGACGAAATTGGATATTAAAACAGACAGCAGAATTATAAACAGTAGTATGTACCACAAAGAAGTACTGTAGTAGACCCGCGCTCCTGGGCGAGGGTGTTGCAGGCGTCGACACTCCTCTTACCTGAACAAAACGATTTTTACACGACCCTGATAAATTCTGGCGGCTGGTGCAGAGTGGTCGTCAGTTTATCTCTTTATTCATTTTTTGAGCAGCATTATTTGGAACAAGAAGTTGTAAAAGTAAAAATGAACGTCAAGCTGCACTTTTATTCACGAGTAAGTCGTCTACTGCAAGCGCGGGACGACCCAACTCGATGAGAATGTACAAGCACACATGTTTTTTTTAACACACTGCACAGACATAGAACAAGTTGTTTACATAGTAGTAGTCCATGTGGTCATGGTCATCCAAGCCCCAACATCGAGTAATGTATGATTGACGTGTTATTTTTTGTAGTAGCCCCCCCCGCCATTTGCATTACGTATAGCAGGCTTTTCATGATCGTCAACGCAGGTGTCCTCCGGCGTGGACATTTTCAAGAGCCCAAGTGTACAGAAGTGTTTTTGAAGAAGGCCTTCATATTGTCAACGTATTTCCGGGAAGCAAGTGCGTCGAAGACAGATTGCCATGCACATCAAAGCAGATTTGCCCACTGTCATGCCCAGCATCTGTACTATTTACTAGCTTTGCGGAAGAAGAATTGACCCCTGCTGCATTTATCTGTTTTAGTTTCCCGAGAAAGTTTTTTCGGTGAACACTACTAACTTCTGCGCGCCAAAACAAGCAACAAGGTTTTAGTTTAAGTGGACGGAGGAGGTTACTTAAGAGTAGACAGTCAGAAGCTGTTGACTATGGCGAACAAGTAGATGTCCTCCTCCTTCTGCTAAATAAAAAGAGTAAAAAGTACTATGGCGTTCTTTTGTTTTCAAAAATGGCAGGATAGTAAATTGAAAGTAGTGATGAACAAGGCTTGTGGGGAACCCCAAAGCAAAAATGCTTATGCGAGAACTCCTTTCAACGAACTCCTCTCGACGTCGTGGAGTTAGAATCCACAGAGATGGTATTGTTATTCCCGTTGTACTAGTTGTACCCCAACATCATGAAGAAAAAAAGCAGTTGTACATCAAAAACCTGAATCTGCATCAGTAGAGTTGTTCGGAAAGCAAAATAATCTTTGCACGAGTAAAGATTTATTTGACAGCTGCTGCGGCTGCCCAGAGGAGGGACGTGCAAAAGCAGAAGACTATGAAGATGAATATGTGGTGTTCCGACTATCTAAGAAGGAGCTGCAGCTGTACCTTAGGTAGGGCAAAATGCTGTTTCTGGTTCTTCTGACGAGAGAATGACATTGAAGCAGGAGCTAGTTGTCCTGATATTTATAAAAACCTTACGGTAGTAGAGATTTTTTCAAGCCAGTTTTTTCATCGAAGTCCGACCGGAGGAAATCATTTTTAACAACGCAAAAGGAACTGCAGGAGAACGAGAAGGTAACATGAAAAGACTGTGAATGTCGGTTTGATTTTACATGCCAAGGTGTAGTTGTCATTTGCATAGTTTTTTTTTTGGCCACGTCCGTTTTGGTCACTCACACTACTCCATATTTCCGATGAGCCATGAGCCGGAAGGAAGAGGGATATTGGCATATCTTACCTACTCTATGCCGCGCAAAAGTAAAGAACTCTACCAAGAAACATTCTGTGTTTACTAGTCCAACTAGCTACGCACAATACACTTTGTGTCTGCTGTCCTCAACAGGGCCTGGAAAATGGTGAAAGGCGACAACAAACCCGAAGCAACCTCCCGTTTGTAAGTGAGTAGAAAATTTTCTTTAGGAAGGCAAAATGAAGTAGAGTTTAGAATTTCATGATCTCCCCCACCCCAACATACCTTGATAAAGGCGAACTCTCAGTCTGCTGTACCCTTTCTCTTTCAATACACCCGTAGAAGCTACTTGCACAGTATTGATGGGCCTTATGTTAGTATGGGCAACAAGTTGTAGCACATCTGACCCTCAGTAGTCACCAACATCACGCCACCTTGTGACCGGACGATCCCAGATAATTGATTTGTGCTGTAAAGCTGCAGCAATTGTAGCATTTTTTAGGCAGGAATAGCGTACTAGGTTGAGTCAACCGCTAGAGTCGTGAAAATTGTGTCGTCATCATCTCGACAGTAGCAGTAAGTACAGTGTTTAATACGCACGTGCAGCTCTATTGCCTTTGTCATCTTCAAGAACATTTGCAGCTCGGGCAGCAGCAGGCGGAGAACAACAACCTCTAGAGGCGGAATTCTACAACACGACGAGGACGCCCTTGATGAATATCACCAGCGCACTGTGTTGCGGCTCCCCTGAGTGAGCAGTCAGATCAGTCGTCTTCGAAGACTCGGCTTTACTTGTTTCCGCTTTTCCTCTGGACGACGAAGGAGAAAAGGGACCGAGAAAGACAAGAACGCAACTGAAAATCCAAGATCGCTTGCTCTTCGAGAACATCCTTCTCTGCTCTCGCCTAGTTGTACCTCGGCCTGCAGAGGAACTTCAAGGACGGAGACAACCTTTACTTTACCCCTGCAAGAGCGCTCCACGACCAACATGTCGTCGGGTAATAATAACCCCTCTAGCAATCCCACCCCCGCCGGCGGGGGCGCAGCAGGCTTCCCCAGTTCGACCTCCTCACCGGCCCCTCCTTTCGGCGCCCCCGCGAGGGGCCCATTACCACCTCCTCCCGGGGCCTCGCAAGGCGGTTTCTTTCCCGCGACTGGGAACAGCCCCGCAACAAGCTCCAGCATATCAAATGCAAATATGTCTGGGGCTGGAAACTTGTGATGCAAGTCCGTGCACCATAAGTGCTCTGTAGTACTGCGGCGCCAAGCATGACAAGCTTTTTCGTGCTTCTGTGCTGCGTCTTTCGCATGAGAAACTGCGCTTTTGCATGACAGGCAAGAGGACCTCTTGGTGGCCACGCACTACAGAGTGCAGAGTCATGCCAGACTAGCATGACAAACTTGCAATCAATCTTCCAGACCCAGACATATTTGCATTTGATACGGCAACAGAAACAACAACCTCTTCACAACTCAGGGTGTTGCTGGGGCGCAAACAAGGGAAGCCGGAGCGGGAGAGCAACAACACTCCGATAATTCTCAATCGTCAGAAGCACCTAACGCGAATAACAATCCCAACAACTCTCCCCTGGGGCGGTGGCTGAACGCGTTTCCGAATGCGGGGGGCGGCACCGCGGCCGCGGCCAATAACGAGATGGCCGAGCGGGCGCTGCGGCAGAATCACTACTCAATACGATTGAGGATATGCTGCGAGGTCTTGCTCTTTCTGGGCTGCATACATCTCGGAATATTCTTATCAAAGTGTGAAAGAGTTTTTTTGCTGTACTCTTGCTTTGCAACACAGATTTTTGCTTACGCGAATTCGACGTTTCTGTCATGCTGGGTGTGCTGTACTAATAGTTAGTCTATTAGTATAAAAGTTGGGGATAGGGAATTTGTGTTGCAAAGTCGGCATGTTTAGAAAAGTTGATACTCTCCGGATTGGTGGAACGGCGTGACGAACATCGGGATTGCGATATTGCTGTATAATATTATGGTTCATTCTTTGTCATGCGTGACGACACGCTTGCAAATTACTTGCGGACAACACGCATGAAGTTTGGCCCTTCCCAGAACGAAGATTCCGTTCGATAAATGAATGTCATAAAGTATCGAAACTATCTATCAAATGCAAATATGTCTGGGTCTGGAAACTTGTGATGCTGAGTTGTGAACAGTGAATCCTCTGTAATGCACAGCCAAGCATGAGAAATATTTGCGCGGCTTAGACTTAGTGTTGCGCTTTCCGGATGACGAATTGCGTTTTGCATGACACGCAGGAGGGTCTCTTCCTAGACACGCACTACAAACTCTTCAGTCATGCCAGACAACCATGACAAACTTCCAGACCCAGGCATATTTGCAATGCATACTATCTGCAGGTCTACCTCCTTATTTCGGCGCGCCTCGATCTCTATGCATTGCAAAAGTATCGTACTCGTATAAGTGCATTACAAATTTCCTCAGCGTGAGAAATAAGATTTGTCATGCGGATTTGCCTGAAGAAAAAGATTTGTAATGCATAATTGCAATACGAGTGCGATACTTTTGCAGTTCATGATCTCCACGCTGGTTTCCGTCGTGCTTCTCTCTTTTCTCAACGCCCTCGTGCAAATGATCGCGCTTTTGTCTCTGCTGAAACTGGAGCTGTTCGACAAGGAAGAAGCGCCGGACCAACAAGTGTTGTTCATAGCGTACATTCTGCTCATTTTCTGCGACACCGTCACCATGCTCGTCACCGGAAACGCCAGCGCCATGCTGCTACGAGACGTGCTGCAGATAATACGTACTATCTAAGTTATAGTTATTCTACATTTTTGATTCAATGCATGTAAGTAACCAAAATGATCATGTTTTGCAACTGCTAAAACTGATGCTATGAAAATTGAAAAAAAACAGTGCGACAAGAGCAGAGCAACGATCTGGAGAATCCGCTGTTGCAGGGTGCTATCAAATGTAAAAATGTCTGGGTCTGGGGAATTCTGACACTTGTCATGCACGTTTTGCATGAGTCATGATGTCTATGATGCATCCCCTAGCAATACAGATTTTTTGAGGGCTTCTTGATGCGTATTCCGCATGGCAAATGCCTTCTCAGCGTAGCAAAAATTGCCTTTCCTTTGGTACTCATGCAATACAAATTTTTTTGGAATCCAAATGCAGCATCACAAGTTCGGATTCTTCCAGACCCAGACATTTTTACATTTGATAGATGCCTCCCCCCTAGGCGGCGGTGGCGGCGGCGGGACCGGCGGCGGGCCACCCAGAGGTATCGCAAGAAAAAAGTGTTACAGTTACACATTGTGTTGCAGGCCAAGCAAGACAGACAAGCTCTGTCATGCCGGATATGCATCGGAGCCTCCTTTCATAGGTGTTTTCCCGTAGGATTTCTGCATTGCAAGTTTTCTCTCTCATGCAGAGAAATTTGTGTTGCTGAATTGACAACAAATGTGTAACTGTAACACTTTTTTCGTTCGATAAGAGGTCCCCAAAGTCCAGTGGATCCAGCGATGCAGCGCCCGGGCGACGCCCTGCAACCTTTCTCCTATCAAATGTAAAAATGTCTGGGTCTGGAAAGTTGGAACTTGTGATGCTAACTTTGGACTCTAAAAAAATCTGTATTGCATGACCAGCAAGAGGAGCCACATTTGTGCTACGCGAGGAGGGCATTTGTCATGCGGAAATGGCATCAGGAAGCTTTCCAAAAATCTGTGATGCTGGGTCATGCATTACAAGCATCATGGGTCATGCCAGACAAGCATGACAAACCTTCCATTCTTCCAGAGGCAGACATTTTTACACTTGATATCTCCGGGCGGGCTTTCAAACTGGACGAACCGAACGGGGCGGGCAGGAGGTTGTGAGCAACGCGTAGGCGATATTACAATGAAAAATGCCCCCACACTCGAACATGAGAGCATTTGTATTGCAAACCTTTCCAAATGAAACATTCGCCGTCTTGCATCTATCAGCATCACAGATTTCCAGTCGTGAATAGCAAAAATTTGTATTGCAAAAGACCCCAGCAAGAGCGGCGCTTGTCATGCAAGCGATGCGATACACGCCTAGACTCTGCATCAGAAAGATTCAGACTCCTTTGATGCATGACGAAAAGTTTTCATTTGGAAACTTCGCATCACAAATTGTTGTGCGGTAAGGTGCCCTTACAGGTTGTGTAGTGGTTTCGGTCGGTTCAGCATCACAAATTGTTGCAACTTTGGGGGTGGGGGCATTTTTCACTGTAATAGGCGAGGTGAGTCGTGGCAGGTCAGTTGCAGGTTTTCACAACAGATTACTTTCCTCCGCTTCTTCATCGTCAAGTACTCACTACTAGTGCCATACTTGCTTCAAGAACAACATGTCGATGTTGTTGAACAAGGTCTTCTACTCCAACCAAGCTCCCCTCGACCCTGGGTTCTTGTGTGCGCGACAACAGATACTTACTAAACCAGGCTCTGTGCGAGTGCGTAGTTTATACTAGTAAGCCACTAACAAGACGACGACCAACATCATCGCTCTGCTGAGATGAAGTAGATCATGGATTCACATAGAAGCAGTTTTTTGTCCGACTGATCTGAAGAAAAACAGATTTCTGTTTTGCTTGTCCGGTTGGAACGAAAAACTTGAGACATGAGGATCTAAACACCAACATAAAAACCATTTCTGCCAGCAAAAACCCGCATAGTTGTTATTTCGCCTAAGAGAAAATACAGAAACGCTATTCGATTTTCATCTCGAACGCGCCACACACCTCATTTTCCATCCACATATCAGAGCCGAGGAAGAATACTTAGGGATCGGCTACCTTTTGCGATAATTTCTTTCGAGTCTACATCTAAAGAAAGGAGCTGCGTTACAGATATTGGAAAATGAGAAGTTCTGTTTTATTGAACACAAGACTGGACGAGTCCGATATTAAAAATCAGGAGGACTATCGCATTCCATTGCAAAAATTTTTCAAGAAACCTGTCAACACTGAGACTGCTCTCTGCCCTGCCACTCACTCCATTCTTGTGAGCAGTATTGCTTCAAAGATGCGCTTGGGCTTCTTTGCACGTTCTTGTTCACCAGATCCAGATCTGTCGGGACAACGACAGATCCATAGTTAGGGGGTGGGACAGGAAGTAGACATTCACAGAATCTGGAGTAAAATGCCCATGATGTTTCTTTTATTGTGGTAGGAATAGGGCAGAGGTTTTTCAGGAAGACCGGTGGACACGGAAGGAAGACAAGACATGTTGAGAGACGGCACAAGTTAAGTGCTTGGTTTTTTTTTTAATATGCTAATTTTTTTTCCGTCTCTGCATCTGCTAGTGCAACACTAGCTTCCATTTTATCTTGGAGATGAGGGTTTTTGTTTGTGTTTGTCTTCGAAGAGTCCCCGCTTTTGTAACCAATGAATTTCTTAATCTTATCCTCATGGCGCGCGCGCGCTCTGGATACCTGCCACTCACTCCATTCTTGCGAGCAGTATTGCTTCAAAGATGCGCTTCTTGGGCTTCTTTGCACGTTCTTGTTCAGCAGCTCTGTCGGGACACAGAAATGTAGCAGCACCCGGCTTCAACGCTCAGCGTTTCTACTCCTAGCAAGTAGGGAGCAGCACCAATGCTCAAGATCTTCCTGACGAAAAATTTTCTTCTGTGGTCCGTTGCCATTTTCTTTTTTATAATTTTTTTACCGTCGCGAACGCTTGGCGTGACACAAATCGCGGACGCTTTTTGTGAACGAATATTGTATAATTGCATTGTATTGCCAGCGTCTTCGCGTTCATCCTTTATTTAGCTGGTAGTTGTCGTTGCTTGTGCTTTTCAGCACGATCGCAATTAAAAAGTTTTTTGTGGTAGCATCAGACATGGAACGTTAGAGTCTTCTGTAGGATCGACATGCGCGAGCTTTGGTCCAAGAAAAATGACGAGGGCGCGATACCAGGTTTGATGGAACAAGGCTGTGTAATTTGTCCACTCACAACTTCAGCGTTCTTGCTGTTGCAACTCCTGCACTCCGGGGCTTTTTGTGCGTCACACAACAAGTTGAAGTTGACGTTCATCTCATAGAGTTTTTCTCTCGGGTCGAAGAAGCACATCGTGAATATGCCCGACGCGACCACACGGGAACTCCTCCAGCTGTGCGAAAAAGCAGGTTGGAAGCCGGAACGAATCAATGGCAGCCATATTCGAGCGAACTCTTGATCGTGATGAATCACGTCAGAAGTGTATAGGCTTGTGCCGGAGCCGGGGTTTATTTGGATAGATCATGATAGATGACGATGATGATGCAGAGGTCGTGTTGGTGGAGACGCTTAGTCAAAAAGATTGCTCCTGGTCGTACAAGATATTTGCAGATTAAAAGACCAAGACATTTTTACTCCGACAACGACTTGTGCGTGCGTTCAAGATCAAGATTTTGCTGTGATAAGTCACACGATTTTCACGCGACCGAACTGTGGGAGCTTTCCGATTGCTATCCATGGCAACCGGGTCCGGCCCGACGTCTGTCGCGGAGTCCTGCGGCACCTGCTTGCGCACGCCAGCTGCCCAACCCACAGCGGCACGGGCGCCAACGGGGAAAAGCTGCACTGCCTGTGTCGGCAGCGAGCAGACGGTGATCGGAAGGCGCGAACGTCGAGAGTCGTGGAGGGACAACAGCAAGAAGCGGAACTTGGAAGCAATCATGCAGGTGAGCCCCCGTTGTTCGTGCAGAACTCCGTCGAAGAAGAAAACGCTTCTGCTGGTCGGTGGAAAACGAAGACATCAGGTTCGGCTTCGTCGCACTTTGGCACGACGAGGAAAACAACCAAGATCGATGAGGAGGCGTGGAGACGATTAGAGCAACAGGCGGAGAAAGAGTACAAGGAGTACATGGAAATGCGAGCAGAGCAAGAAGCGAATTACAGTCAGAAAAAGCAAGAGGTTCACGCCCGTTTGAGGGAGGAAATCGAGCAAACCCAGTTCCATTGTCTTGACAAGGTGGACGCAGCACTGGCCAGGAGCGGGCGCGAGCCTGCGAGCAAAGCGGCCACGGCAAAGCTGGCGGGGACGAGACGCAGGGAGATCGAACAACTACTGAAGGAAACCAAGCCAATATGGTCCGGCTGTTTAGCGGACAAGTCGTGGCAGGAGAGCGTGCTGCACTTGGAGTTTTTTGCCGTGTTTCTGATGGCACGGGAAGCCATGTGGGGGCACAAACTGCATTGCGAGGAGCAGCAAAAGCTGCTTTTCTCTGCAGCGGCTCGCGCGATGGCATGGGGCGGGGACTTTTGGCGACAGCAGAAGAAGATCGCCACAGCACGAAAGAAACTCGCGCGGTTTGTGTTCGAGGAGGCCGTGCTCCGCCCAATTGCGTTTGACTACTTCGCCTCCACGTTTTTGCGCAATTTGAAGAGTTGCTACAACTACGAAGAAATCATGATAGAGAACGCGAGGGCGCTGGAACAAAAGAGCGAGCTACTTGGCGAGGCGGCAGTCCCGAAACTACCCCAAGAAGATGCCCGCGAGGAGTGCGACAGCCACGGCGCGGAACACGAAATACCTGGGCAAGAACGTGGGCGCCCCTGCTTGTTCGAGAAAGATCCCGACGCTCCTCCGGGACCGGGTTTGCAGCCCGAGACAAGCCCCCCAGACTGCGTGCATCATACACACACATCACCCGAGGGGCGGGAGCAGGCACGGCAGCTAGCGCAGCCAGAAACTGAGAACAGGTCTGGTGCCCCACACAGGACCACGGGGGCTGCAGCCGCACATTCGAAAGCACAGAAGAAGGAGAACAAGAAGACATACAATTCCATTCTTGAGCACGCCTTCGACGACGACTTTAAGCGCATGATGGGCGCTTCGAAAACCGTGGTGCACTTGCTGTTCGAACACGTTCTTTTTCCGTGGTCGGCATGGGCGGATGGACGGCGAGAAGAGATAGAAACACAACTTCGCAAACAGCGCTTGCGGGACCAGGAACAGCAATCGGCCCCTTGCATGGGAGGCGCAGCTGTACCACCACAGGACCCGCGTGTCGCAGTCAAAGCGGATGAAACAAGCGCTGTTGTCGTGCAAAATGACGGAGCGGAACAAGTTGGAAAAAGGGCAGTGGGGCAAGATGTTGGTGATGGAGAATGTAGTTCTGGAAGAGTAAAAATCGCCATCACAAATGCGGGGTCGCAGGAGGCGGATGCGGGAGAAGTGAAACCACCTGCCGCGGAGCAGCTGCAGCTTTGCGTGCTCGAAACTTCCTCTTCAGATCGCAATGCCAGCGAAGAAGAGGTGGTCAACAACATGGACGGTGAAAACAAGATTGCTGTGACTGTTACTAGTGCAGAAGTCGAGGCCGCGTTTCAGAACGAGCGACCGCCTGGGTCGGTGTTGTGTTGCCCCCGAGACAGCTTACCACTTCTTTATCGCATTGATTTGAGTATGCGTGTGCGAGTAATATGTCGCACAACGCGGACCCATAGCGATTTGCATTCTGTATCTTATAGTTTTGCACATTTGGCGGAGGCTGCAACATGGACCAGCGCAACGATTGAAGTGCCTGGCAGGCATTGTTAAGAATGGCGAAAGTTCTGTTGGTTGCTGCTACTTTTTTTTTCCCATCAAAACGAGCACATTTCCTGTGTCATGATGAGAGAAGGATCGCTAGCTGTGCAGGTAGAATAATTTAAACCGCGCCGCATACCGCAGCTGTGCTTGCTCATAAAGCCCGTGGCTTAGGGCCAGGTAACATGGAATGGTACCAGAGGGATCTGGTCGCACAAGACGAGCGCGACGGGGCGATCGCGTTGCTGTTGGGGTGCTTAGAGCACCGGGGGCGTGACAGTGTGTTATTTTCCTGGCCGCGTGACCTCGAGGCAGAAGCACTGGCCCTGTTGACCGACATGGCCACGCGCGTGCTCCAGTGGCAGACTCAGACCAGCTCGAGCAAGGAGCCCCGCGAGCGGGTTAAGCAGTGCTACCAGCTGTGCACAAAGTTGCGGCAATTCCTCTCCGAGAAGCAGCGATATGAACACCAAGAGCAGATCTTGGCGTCCTTTTCCCCCGATGGTGATGAAACTAAGACGACAAGCGAACACGGACCAGGTGCGGACGGGGAGAACGGGAAAGAAAAGCTGAGGGACCTCCGGAGCACGCTGGATAGCAAGCAGCATGCCCCCACGGTCTGTGTGAATGATCCACAAGATGCTGACGACGAAGAGGCAGAAGGGAGCAGCGAAAACGAAAGCGAAGCTGCCTCACCGACGAACCAACTTCTGCTGGCCGCCACGGGGATGAATCTTTGTCAGGGCCGTGGTACGTCCCAGTGTCGCTGGGATCCGGAGGTGATACGAAAGGGCCGCTTCATGCGGGTCCAAGTCGAGCTTTGTGGTCGGTTGGAGCCTATCTACGACCAGATTTGGAAGCTGTTCAGACTCAAGGGCTACATGGAGGGCACGCCGTTCCGAGTCATATGCTCCAAAAATACTTTAGATTTCTCGCAGAAGTTCGCGCACGACAAAATTCAGATTTCTTGTAGCGCGCACGTTGTCCTGAAAGAAAATTCTAAACCTTGAGCTTGATTATACAAGACACGACGCGCCGCGAGCGAAATTATAGAAAAGCAAATAGACTGCCGTGCTGTCGTGCTGCAATTTATCTTCATTGATCGCTGCAAGAAGTTTTTTCGCGCGATGCTTGAAGGACAAAAACTGGGAGCCTGCGACCAAGTGTCTGGACGACATGATTTCACTGCTAGAAGAGTTTGAAAAATTCATCATCGATACATTCTGTGATGACAAAGCCTCGGAAGCTGGCACCAGCGAAAACGCGGCGCCGGCGACTTCTTCTCCCTTCTCGAGTGCCAACTCTCTTCGGTTTTTTACGCGAGCACACCAGAGCGATTTTGTGGTAGCGCGTGTGCTCTTCGATAAGCTCTTGCGGGATGCCTGCGGACTTCACGTCAGCCTCGCTATGTACGTGGACGCCATTCCTCTCTACCGGCGGGTAAACGAAGAGCTCTACTCATCTAACGCTCCATCGGGAAGTGAAACGGCTGATCTTGACGGCTTCGAAGCACGAAAACTCGCCAGGAGGCTCAACGCGACGCACGAGATGGAGCGCATGGTAGCGAAGTGCCAGTACCTGTGCGAATCGGGCCTGCGTCTGAACGAACTCTTTTACAAATTTGATTTCAATTGGATTGTGCGGCACGGTCCCTCCTTCAGCAACTGGCTTGGCAATCCAAAGTTTGGAGAGACGAGGATGATACTGCTTCTTCTCCGCTACTCACGTTTTCCTATCAAGTTGAAAATGGGAGATCTGCCTCCAAGACGGACTCGAGCGGGTTTGTACTGGGTTTGTAAATAAGGAAACAAAGGTGTACTTTGTTACAGGTGACAGACAACAACATCTAAGTACGCCTTTAGATACAAGTCTGCTTGTAGACAGCAACAGATGATTGTGATGCATCTAAATGTTTACTAAAGGTAAAGAAACAGGACGAGAACGCTTTTTGTGTGATGCAATGAGGAAGCCGAGGCCTAGAAGGTTGAGTACCACGACGTTTTCAGCTTGATACCCGCCCTCACGTTTGTGTTTGTTCCAGTTGTCACCCGAGAATATACCTGCGGAGCCGATTTTCCCGGCTGGGGGCTGGTGTACCTTCTCGCGGAGGCACTGACCGTCCTCTCCGTGCGACTGCTGGTCGAAGAGAAATTCCCCTTGCTCGAAGAGCCCTGGAGGCTGAGTACAGAAGGCTGGCTTTCGGAAAAGTGGATGCGGACGGCGGGCGATCACGTTGAAGGTTTTCCACCGCGAAATTCTGTACCGGAGCCCTTGGTGGAGAATGCGCACCGCAGATACCCGACCACGCTCTACTTCTTCACGAAACAGTATTTCAGCATCATTCCTTTCCTCGCCACCTTTTTACCTGTGACGGACGCCGTGCGGTGCTCGATGTCCTCCGCAGGGGATCATGTTGATGAACCAGCTGACGCAATAAAAGCGGCTGGTAGTGGAGTAACTACAGCTCTTGCGTCTTCTTTTCCCGACAGTGAAAGTTCGGCTCCGGTGCGGGAAGTACAAGTTGTATCATCGGCGTCCGAGACAACTACGTCGACGACCATATTAGATCCCATGGAAGTAGAACGCGACGAGCATGATAGTGGTTCCTCTACAAGCAGGGGAGCAACCGCATCTTCAGCAGCTCTCTTCACGACCACGCAATTGGTCGTGACAAAGACAACTACTGCAGCTAGCAGCAGCGAGCGCAAGGTCGGATTTCCGTCCGGGAGCAGTCTGGCCGACCTGCGCCGCGCCATCGAGCTGGCCCCCGAGGTGTACGGCGCGATGAGCGATTACCTGTTCAGCCGCACTAATCAGGGAGGAGGGACCGGTACAACGGGAACAGATCGAGTGGCGAAAATTCACCTCGGAGCGGGACGGCGTGTTCCCATGCCCGAAGCTTTTTGCCGCAAACTCTTCGTCCTGGCGGAACACGTTCGCTTCCAGTTGGAGACCCACATGCGCGGTCCACCGGGAGAACAAGGGCGACGCGCGGGTCCGCCGTCCGTTCTCGCTGTGCGAGACGCTGCTGCACACATCTGGCCGAGACTGAGACCGTACCTGGCGCAGCAGGACCACAGGGACGCCAGTAAACAAGGGAATAAATCAACGTCCTCCAAGGCGAACAAACACCGGGCGAAAAGGCAGGGCAAGTGGGTGGGAAAGACGATGAGCTTCGTCGAACTGGTGGGTACCAGCACGGAAGTGCGGCAGCTGCTCGAGAGGAAGAGAGAACTGGCAAGCGGTCTCTCACAGGTCTTGTTGGATTTCGCCAAGCGCCTGGGCCGCTGCACGCTCGATCCCGGTGAGCGTGACGACGATCTGGAACGGAAATTCATGCGGGAAGAATTTCTCGAGGAGGTGGAAGTCGTCGGGAAAGAGGTCGTGGCACCGACGTCCTTACGGAGTCGGGTCGACGGTCCTGCGGTGGAGAATAAGGATGCAGCTGACGACCTTTATAATGCCGAGTACGCACGCTTCAATGCGGAGGACAGCTTGGACGAGACGGATTTTGAGTCCTTCCTCCTGAAACCCATGACGGAGAAGAACGCGCATCTGAAGCTGATGGCCATTTGCCGGGCCTGCCGCGAGCTGCGCGAGACGGCGCGGCGGCTGGATCGCATCCTGGCGCCGACGGTTTGCACCGGCGTCGAGAGTTTCGCGTCGGAAAACCGAAAGTCGGGGACGGAGGAGGCGATTGCAACCGGGTTGCAGCAGATCCGCGAGGTCCTGCTATCCTCCCGTGTAGTTGGCGGGGGCGTCGAGGACTCAAATGCAGCGAGTGCTGATGAACAATGGTGTTTGCTACGCGATGAGGAAATTTACAAGCCACCGAGCCGGGTGGACGAAGAAAAACTGTTGCCGACCTTGATGGTCGTGCAGGATATAAAAACAGATGAAGTGCTCAGAATCTTTGAGGTTTGAGCTCAGTTTGGAATCAACATCAGATTTCCGTGTTTTCAACAAAATCATCATGTCGTGAGCTTTTGATGCTTGCGTTCTTGTTTCATATCATACATGATAGGTGGTTCTCGGGAAGAATTAGTGTTACGACAGATCATCTGCCAGCAGCAGATTGATTTGTCGCTCTTCCAACCTGGTTTCACTAGTTCCTCCATTCTGCCCACTTGGAGGAACACGTTGTTGTTCCTTGCTTCAGCCTGAACTTGACTGCAGCCGTGCGTGCTTTTCCCTTTGTTTCCAGAGCGCAGCTGAATACCAAGTTTCTCATTGGTGTGGAGACAGAGAGAAGTGATTGGAAGAGCAGGCGGATCTTGAATATTGAATTACACAATCAATATCAAAATAACTAAGTGCCGCTGCCACCCGGAGGTCAAATCTTCGTGTTGTCCAATCTTCCACAGACCTGACAGAGAGACTACTGCACTAGTGAAGGGAAATGAGATCCTTAGGAGACAAAAAAGTAAATACTTACCTGAATGAGAATCGTCCGGAACTGGAAGTCGCATAAAACGTGCATCCTCTTCCACCTAGAGGACCGATTTTGAAACGATAAAATTGAAATCACATTTGCGCTCGTCCTGTCAGTGACAAACCTGACCAATTATGGACGGCGGCTACCAGCAGTACCAGCTGCGGCAGAAGAAGGCCAAGGAGCAGGCCCAGTTGCTGAAAAAGCAGAAGGAAGAGAAGCGGGTGAAAACCCTGTCCGACTACACGGCCGAGGCAAAAACCAAGCCGTATCCCCAGATCCGGGGGTCGAAACTGCGCCAATCTTCCGCGCTGGCACCGATCTCCGAGCCGGCGGAATGGCTGGAGCAGAGTAGCAGCAATCGAGATGGCGGGGCGGGAGGTGGCATCATAGGCGGCGCGATCGGGGAGGAGGATGACGAATTTGAGTCACTCTGGGCGGAGGTGGGCATGAGTGGAGGGAGTGGTTCGTCCGGGACAGAAGATGCCAGTGCAACAACGACGTCTTTGACTTCGAAAAACAACACCGGGAGCAGCAGCAGCGCGGGACTGTCTACTCGCGGGCTGCTGGCGGGAGGGACGGCTTCTGCAGCGTCCACCCCTAGCAGCTCCTCCTCAGCGCAACAGGGGTCTTACCTTGCGGAATACGAGAAAAGAAGGAAGCTGTCGGGCGGCATTGCGTCAACTACATCTGGAGGCGCAACACCATCTTCATCGAGCAGTGCCGGTAATAATGGACTTAAACTCTCCTCAAGCTACGGTGTGGTGGGGCGCTCGAAAAATGGAAGTTCTGGTGGAATCTCTGGAGCTGCGTCGTCTTCAACATCGTCCACGCCGGCGTCGTCTACATCTACGACTGCAACTAAAACCAAGCCAAAGTTCACTCCGGAACCGCGACAAGCTGCTCAGATACCGGAGGCAGGAACTACTGCTTCTTCAACATCAGTAGGAGCACCTCCGTACTACTCCGCACGGTCAGAAGACCACGAGGCAGATGAAAAGAAGAACGCCACCATCGAGCACGCCATGCGTTTGCTGGGTGCGGACGCGGAGGACAGTGCGTCTTCGTCGTCCAGTAGCTCGGCCGCGGCTTCACCTGTGGAGGACAAGAGCCATGATGACTCTGCTGAAAATAAATCTTCCTCGTCGCTGCAGTCACAGAAGATCATCGCAAGCCAACCAAACACCTTCGTCGACGTGAAGCCGACAAAACTGATCAAAAACCATTCCGGGGAAAGCATCGACGACAGTTTGGACGAGACCACAGGAAAAGCGGTACTGGGCCCGAAGATCCACTTGGTTGCCAGTGATGAGGACGACTTGTCAGATGCGAGTCCAACGACGGGAACTACTGGACTGGGGGGAGGAGACAATTTAAATTTCAACACCACTTCCGAGTCAAACTTTCTCAAAACCTTGCACATACTGGAGGAGGACGTGAAGCCTGGTAGTAGTTCATCATTTCCAGCGGCTGATGGACTTCCAACCGACAAGAAAGTAGAAGTCAAAGTCGACACACTGTTTGAAGACGTCGAGAGTGGAAAGAGCATGCAAAAGCGAAGTACAGATACAGAAACCACTTCCCCTCCGCCAGGACCAGGGATGAAGCAAGCAGCTCATATGTAGTGAGGTCACCGAACGGTTCTAACCAGGGAGTTTTTTTGACAGCTACCCTGAAAAACGACCGGCAGTTTTCAAGCGGCCGGAAGCGTTTTTGCACATAAAAAATTTGCACTTATCAAGCGGCCGGGGCTTTGAAGTCAAACAAGCCCGGTGGAAAGCTATCGATTCGCACTTGATAAAACGACGCAGGGGAGCCGGCAAAAGGGGCGCCCTTCTGAGGCGCCCACCGCCTTGATTTCTGGCGATTTGGGGCGCCCAAAAAGGGGCGCGCAAAGAACGCGCTCAAAATCAGAACAGCGAAGCAGCATGGCACGGCCGCGATTTCGGAGCACTTTAGGCGGCCGCGAAAGCGGCCGCCTTTTCGCCGCTTTCAGAGCCTGGGAAGCTTTGCAAAAAGCGCCGGCGTGAAAAATAAAAACGCGAAAAAGAAAAAGCGCCCCAGACGCGCAAAGCCAATCCGCATGCTATGGGCCCGATTTTTCTTCGCTTTTTGGGCGCCCCCCGTAGCACCCGGATCGGCCCCATAGCATGGGGGCTGGCTTTCGGAAAGGAATTTCGGGAATTCGCCAAAATTTGTGACGTTTCTCAAGTGACCGCCATACCGTGCGGCATAACGTTCCTCACGGTGGTATGGCGAGCCCAAAAAAAGCAAAGCCGCGGCCAAGGCGGCGGTCGGCAAAAAAACGCCCACGACCTCACTACCCCCGCCCCGGCGGCTATATTTCGTAATTCCCCGACCGTCGTTGGCGCAGTTCATCCGAGCGGCACCACCTTCGAGAGATTCGACGTGAGTGACGAGGAATCTAGTTCAGATGAGGAAGACGACGGCACGTCTGCGCCTGGAATCATCGGCGAGGAACACTCCGAGGAGGGGGACTCGGTTTTGCCGCATGTGAAAGTCTATCAAATGGAAAAATGTCTGGGTCTGGAAACTTGTAATACTGCGTTGGGAATAGTGAATGCCCTGTAATGCACAGCCAAGCATGAGAAATATCTGCGCTTTTTTGTGTTCGCGTTTTTCGCATGACAAACTACGTTATTGCATGACAGGCAAAAGGGTCTCTTCTTGGACACGCATCGCAAGCTTTTTGGTCATGCCAGACAAGCATGACAAATCTCGCAATCTTGCAGACCCAGACATATTTACAATTCACAAAGTCGATTTGGACACCAGTTCGGTGAAGGAAGAAAATGAAAATGAAAATTCGTTTGAAGGCGCGGCTTCAGGGAGCAGGCAGGGGAAAGTGAAAGACAAACAAGTAGTAGATGCTCCGGCTGGAGGGGACGGCGACTCTGACACTTCCGAAGAGGACGGGGGAAATGAGGACGATTCTGACGGCGAGATTGAGAGATTCGACGTGGTACAGCCAGGAGATGACCATCAAGACGAGCAAGGTCACCGAGCAGGAACCACAACACTGCACCAACACGAAATAATATCCGCCAGAAGCCCCGGGCAGTCTCAGACCTTCGATGCTGCGAACGCGACCTCCGCTGCGCAGAGTCCGCTGCAGGACGGCCCGGTCACCGCTGAGGATGATGATGTGATTTGGCCGAGTAACGAAGAAAAAAGTGTTAACGTAGAAAACGGTTTTCACGGAAGATTCCAGTCATGCATTTACAGATTTTGCCTACCACGCATGCTATGCAATACAAATTTTGAAAGTCGTGTGCTTCTGCATCATGCGTTATTGCATCACAGATTCCGTTAACGTTCCCGCTTTTTCCTGTGATACCCAGTCACGAAGAAAAATCCTCCGTCGACGGATCGGCGACGTCGCCGACGAAAGACCTGTTGATACCCCTCCCCCGGACAAAATCCGAGCAGCAACAGGAAAGTAATGCTAAATCTGCTTCTGCTTCTTCGGGACCGCGAAGTAGAACCGGAACACTAGTAAACGGGAAGCAGAACGACAACCACAGCGGCGACCAGATGCAGCTGAGTCCGACTTTATCTGGGGAGAGAACGCCGGTGGAGATGCTGCATGAGGTTTTGGAGTTCCGAGAGCGGAATTTGCCAAAGGAAAGGGCGGATAAAAATTCTTCACCTGCTGGGAGTAGTGGCGGCAACGTCAAGCACTCGCCTACCAGCCCCGTGGTCAGCCCCGCGACGAAAGTGATTGTGGAGGATTTGGCAAGGGAAACCGCGGAAAGTATTCTGTCGAAATCCACCCGGGGGATCGGGGAGGGAGCGCCGCAAGAGGGAAGTTATGATGCCGAAGCTCCTGTGTTCTTGCAGGACCTGCAAACGAACGAGCAGAACGACGTTTCTATCGTGATTCCTTTCTCGCCGATGGAAGAGCAGGATGGTGTGCTGGTCAAGGTGGAGAATGAGTACAATATTACGTCGTCTTCACCAGCACGGCCAGGAGACAAAAGCCACAAAGCTGCAGTAGAAAAAGAACGACCAGATGAGGAAAAGGATCTCGTCCTCCAGCCGTTCAAACAGGAAATATCAAATGTAAAAATGTCTGGGTCTGGAAGAATGCAACTTGTCATGCTAAATCTGAAGCATGCAAAAATCTGTGTTGCGTGATTGCCAAAAGTCGCCCACTTTTGACCAAGTCGGGAGGCAGTTTCTCATGCAGGATAGGTATGAGAAAGATCGCGCAGAATCTGTCATGCTAGGTCCTGCATTCCAGACCTCATGGGTCATGGAAAAGCTGCATGACAAATCGCGCATTCTTCCAGACCCAGACCTTTTTACATTTGATAGGAAAGGAAGCAAGGCAATTTGAACAGCGTGTTGGCTGCGTTCCAAGCCGGAATAGACCAGATAGAAACGGGGAAAACTACGGACGATGGTCCTGATAGTAGAGTAGACGACGGAAGAGCATCTTCAAACAGAAGAGAGAACAACGAGATGAAGGGGCAGGCGGCATCAGGTTCTGCTTCTTCGGGGGCTAGAGAACAAGACGATGTTGACCATGCACACGGGGGAGAAACCTCGCCGCTTCCCGCGGGAACTAGGACAGACAAAAACGCCAATTTTATCCCACGAAAAAACTGTTTCACTGTGATGATTTTGCAAGAACCGCATGACAAGCTTGTTACACATGACACAGAAAATTTGCCATGCGCGTCCCCCAAGGGAAAACACGCTTGAAAATCCAATGTCTTGGAGGTGTAGCAAGACAAATAGTTCTGCATTCCGTTTTCTGCATCACAAGTTCACAGTGAAACAGTTTTTTTCTTGGATAAATTTCCTCGCAGAATTCGATATCGATGACGACCTGGAGGCGATCTACGCTTCGATATGAACTGCAAAAGTATCGTACTCGTAGTAATTGCTTGCAGTCATGCATTACAATTTTTTTCCCTGAAGTAAATCCGCATGACAAATTTTCTTTCTCATGCTGACGGAATTTGTAATGCATTTATACGAGTACGATACTTTTGCAATGCATATTCGAACGCTAGGAACAATAACCCACTGCAGCATCTAAATACCTTCACCAATCAGAAACAAGAAACTAATCTCGGCAAGAAGAACTCATCTTCTAGTCGAAACAAAAACGCGGACGGACTTTCCATGCAGGGCATGTTGGCGGGAAGCAACACAGCCACACAATCTAACGTTCCTGATGGGTCAACATCTTCTACCACGGGGACCACGACCGCCAAGCAGGAGTTTATTATGTCCAGCAAGCCGGCCGGGAAGTCGAAGTTCGTAGCGAGGCAAGACCCCTTCGAAGCGGCGTTGCGACAAAAGATGCAGAACAAAGAGAAGGTGAGTGGTACTTCTTCTAAGAATGCGCAGTTGAACTTGAACAACAGCAGTGTAGGGTTGAAAACAGGGGAAACGCCTCCCGAGGATCCACAAGGCGGAGGTACTAGAAAGGATTCGACGGAATTGTTCCAAGATGCCGACAGCGATTTGGGGCTCACATCTCCCGCGTCTTCAGCGAAGAAAAGCCCGACAGGAAAAAATGAAGATGAACGAGGTGAAAGAGTAGTAGAACAGGCAAGCAGTAGCAGCTCCAGTAAAATAAAGAATGACAGAAATAAGAAATCTTCTGCACAAGCGGGCTACTCAGCGCCCAACGTTTCCGAGCAGGTCAGCTCTGTTCTTTCGCAGTACCGCAGGCCGGATTTGAAGGAAAGCTTGGAGAAACTGGAAAGAGAAATCAAGGAATCCAGGGGCTTGGGGAAAAATGCGAAAAGAAGTGAGGGGGAAGCACAACAGGGGAAGTTACTCGAGGAGGGTTCGGGGAAAGAGTATTCGTTTTTATGTATGAGGAGGTGTGGTCTTTCTAGGCTTGTTAGGGGCGCAAATGATCGTAGTTCATGGAATATTAAACTTGCAAGAACTTCTAAAAATCGCACAAAAACCTAAACCAGCGACGACGACTTCCGTTTCCCGGATCATGCGGGTCCCGACTCCATCCCGGATGAGCCAACCGACCAGGCGGAAATAGACCGTTTGGAAAAACAGGAGCGGGCAATGTGGGACGAACTGGAAAAGAAACCGAAAGTGGCGAAAAAGGGCGCCATACAGCCGAAAACGCAAGAGTCCCTTATAACCCGCTCAGGTGTTACAATCTCAAACGTTGCAATAGAGTCTGAGTCTTGTCTTGCATGATGAGCATGATCTAGCCAACTCTCATAGGGTTGCGCTGACAAGTTCCGGAGCTCCAAACCCCACTACAATCGGGGGAAATTTGTATTGCAAAAGGTGGATGAACGCTGTGAGAGTCTGTCATGCCCATGATGCAACACAAATTCCAGATTCTATTGCAACGTTTGAGATTGTAACGCTTGAGTAGGTCATATCCCTGCTGAGCTACCGGGAGTTTGTCCAGGACTATCTCATGAGCTTGGGGGTAAGTATGAGTAAGCAGGAAGTAGCACAAGTACTTGTTGGAATTAGGTCCTCCACGTGTTTTACTGTGTGCACCTTGTTAAGCTTTCACTTTCTGTTATGGTGCTTCAGTAGATGGTCTTGCATGATTCAGTCTATGTGGGAAAGATGAAAATGAACGTGATACTCCTGGTGAAGATGTATTAGCACAATATCCACCAGCATCACATTCACATTATTAAATCATCTTCTATCCTATCTTCCCAGGACCAGCCCGGCGCACCATCTTCGAGCGGCGCCTTTTCCACCGCGCAGTCCCGTAGTACTGGCTCGTCAAGTAAGAGCTCCTCCTCGTCTGCCCTCTGCTGCCTCCTGCCCTCCTCCGCGGCCATCACCGACCCGGAAATGCTGCGGGAGAAGCAATATGCACTGCAAATATGCCAGGCTGGAAGGATGCAACTTGTGATGCACATTTCACACAACACAAAGATCTGTCATGCATACACGGCAAATGCGTATGCGGCCCAAAAGTTGGAACCGAAAGATAAGATTTGTCATGTGGATTAGGCAGTGAGACACGTCGTTCTCAAGACGTGTCATGCCAGGACTTGCATGCCAAACTTTCTGGGTCACGCAAAACCTGCAAGACATCAAACTTCTGCATTCGCCCAGACCCAGACATATTTGCATTTGATAAGCAAATCATCAACAAACTCGCCTTCCACACCAACTACGAGCCCAGCGGCAACGAAACGCACTTACGCGCGTTGGGGACGCTGTACAAGAAGCTCACCACCTCCCCCACGTCCCTATGAACTGCATATTAGAAAGTATCGTACTCGCACAAATGCCAGATGACTTGCAACATGACAAATTTGGCTTCTTAGTTAACTCGGCCTGACAAATTCCATTTGTCATGTTGAGAAAATTTGAAATGCGATTTATTTCCCTACTAGTACGCTATCGCTACTTCAACTTCTGCAATTCATAATCCCCCTTGCCGGTGGATTCCCGGTGGGAGGTGCTCGGCTTCCAGAACACGGACCCGAAAACCGATATGGGGTTCTCAAACGTTACATTCTCAACTGTTATATGCTTTCTCATGGAAAGTGACCATGACCCGCCAGACGATCAAGCTGCTGCGCATGACAAATTCTCGGCGGGCTAAACAGCACTATAATCCGCACCGAACCTGTAATGCAAGACGCGCAAGAATCTCCCTCTCACCTGTGCTAGTCTTGCATTACAAACTCATGTATATTAACAGTTGAGAATGTAACGTTTGAGAACGGCGCCATAACCGACCTGAACCGGTTCGGGAAGATGTGCAACGTGTGGCACTTGCTCCACTTTTACTACAAGGACGGGGCGCTGTATCACGAGAAAAAAGTATTACAGTTACACATTTGTTGGAGTTTCTGCATCACAAGTTTTCTCTGTGTGGCAAAGGAGACCTGTAAGGCGAAGATCATAAGGGAAAACAGGAAGGAAACGAGGCTCCCAAGCATTTTCTGCATGAGAAAGGTTGTCTGTGTTGCCGGTCTTGCAACACATGTAACACTTTTTTCTTGCGATACGCTGCTGGAGAAGATGTGGCTCTTGTCGCAGGACTCCGTGCAGGAATTCCCGCTCTTCTGCACGTCGATCCAGTTTATCCAATGCAAAAATGTCTGGGTCTGGAAGACTTTGAGATTTGTCATGCTTGTCTGGCATGACCAAAAAGTTTGTGATGCGTGTCCAAGAAGAGACCCTTTTGCCTGTCATGCAAAAACGCAGTTTGTCATGCGAAAAACGCGAAAAAATATTTCTCATGCTTGCCTGTGCATTACAGAGCGTTCACTATTCCCAACGCAGCATTACAAGTTGAAGTTTCCAGGCCCAGACATTTTTGCAGTTGATCCAGTTCTCGAAGCTCGTTTTGGAAATCTTTTACACGCCCACGGAGATCTATCGCAGGAAAAAACTGTTTCACTGTAAACTTGTAATGCAGAAAAAGCATCGCAGAAGTGTTTGTGTTGCTACACATGCAAGACAAATGATTTTTAGCCGTGTTTTCCCTTAGCATCCTCGCATGGCAAGCTATGTTTGTATGTCATGTGTAACGAACTTGTGATGCAAAACTTGCAAAATCCTTAGAGTGAAACACTTTTTTCGTACGATAAGATCAACCCGGAGCATGGGGGCGTCATCGAGGACCAGTACAAGTCGGCCCGGGGGAAATTGGTCAGGTTTTTGAACTCGGCCAACCTCGGCGTCATCGACGGGTTGGCCTTTGTGCAGAACGCGCTGTTGTTTGCGTTCTATGACCGGTGGCAATCGGAAGTGCTGACGATAACGGCCTTCGGCAAGGTCTACAAAGACATCGAGACGGTGTGCAGGACGAAGAACCTGATCAGTACAGGATACTTGTGGATTTATCATGCGGTTTTGTGCTATGAGAAGAGACTTTGTCATGCTAATATACAAAAACAAGGTTTCGTAAACCGGTACAACGAGTACAAAGAGCACCTTCGAAAAGCGAACGACCCAGTATCGCCGGCTCAGATAGAACAATCTCGAATCGAACAATTTGTCATGCAGAAGTGCAGAAACCAGACGAGATTCTGCTTTTGCGCTCAATGCAATACAAGTTGCGGGTACAACTTCTAGTTCTACTTTTACATTTGTTCGTGTTCAGATTGCTCCAGCTGAGCAAGGCATACCCATCACGCCTCGAGTTTACTGACCTCGGCGGATCGAGAGCGCAGCCAGCGGCGACGAAGATGTCAAGGGCTGAGCAAAAGCGGTTGAACCAATACGCGAATCAGGATTGATGTAGTTCTAGGCGTGGCCCCTCTACTTGAGCTGCAGAGGTTCGAGCTCTAGTAGGGCGCAGATAATTTTATGAAATATTTATCGTGACAAAAATATGATGACGGCAGCGATAGCAGCAGCGAACTGCAGCACTACATGATGAAAAATTTATCGACTTATCCGTGGGTGGTGAAAACAACTGATCAACAAGAACAAAGGAAGTGTAAGGAGCAAATCCAGACGAGACCATTGAAGACACACTGAATATTAAAACGCGTTCAATATAGTCGCTTGGATTTTTTGTACGAGCAGAAATGTTTCATTGAGCTGCGCCTGCCCCTGCGTGGCAATTTCGACGTATGCGCCGTCCCTGAGAATTTTGAAGTCTAACTCTTTTCGAAAGACCGGACAGTCGCGATTACCGAAATTGTTCGCAGGTGAAATTTTTGAATCACATACGGTGGAACCACCTGCGACGCCGGCGAAACAATTTCATACATTCTTCGAAAGACTCAGTACGCGTTTCGGCAGGGGCGGTGTCAGTATTGCTTGAGTGTCCGTTCTCTACAGACCCAAGAAAGAAATCGGTATGAACTACATATGTGGTTTACCCCTCCTTGTTCTCGTGCTTTGCTAAAATCCTTGCTAAAATCCGGTTAGAAACAGCGTCGAAACTACGTCAACGAAAGAGGCAAAGGTTGTCCGCGCACAGACCGTCACGCGGCGTGAGCAGTTATTTCGTTTGATGTTTTCATCGTCCAGGGTCATTGTCGTCCTTCTTCTCAGTCGTTCACCAGGTTGTCATTGTCATTTTAGTTTTTTTGTTTCTACTACTAAAATAACAGCAGGCGGTATCCGACGAAAAAAGTGTTACAGTTACACATTTGTAGTGAATTCAGCAACACAAATTTCTCTGCATGAGAGAGAAAACTTGTAATGCAGAAATCCTACGGGAAAACACCTATGAAACGAGGCTCCTATGCATATCCGGCATGACAGAGCTTGTCTGTCTTGCTTGGCCTGCAACACAATGTGTAACTGTAACACTTTTTTCTTGCGATAGGCGGAGAATTGAGTCTTTATCGCAAAAAAACAGTCATCAAACCGCCCCGTTCGTTCCAATCGTCCTTCACGCAGTCGTATGCAAAAACAATCTGAACCGGAGCAAAGCTCTAAGTCTACTCCGCCCGCACTGCCGGCCCCGACAAAGATCCCACCCGCACGGGAGAGCGGCCAAAGCTGGCTAAATTGAATTCCTCCGTCTTTTTCCTCCTCGGACGACAATAAGTATGGATAATTGTTGGTTTCGAGCATCTCCATGACCTTCTGTTTAGGCAGGGTCGTCTTTTTGAGAAGTTGGTTGCTCTTCTTCGGATGATAGATTTATTCCGATCGATGTTCGGTCGTGAAGATGTTTGGCGTTTTTGTGTTTCCACGCCAGGACTTGACATGGTGTTTTAGTTGAAGAGAGGATCGACTCAAGGATTTAGTTTGAATATTACGCATCTCAACGAATTACTTTACACAGAAATGCCGCCATCGACAATGCCGCAACCGACGATCGTCTTGTGACGGTGTCCTTCACTACGGTGTCAGAAATGCCGCAATCGACAATGCCGCAACCGACTACGTACTCTTCACTACCTGTTTCCGTCCCGGTTCCGCCACCAGCGCAAAAAGGTTTAGAGGGTTTTCGGGGTTTAGGGTTCTTAATTTGATTTTACTATCTGCGGCTAGCGCAAGGGACGAGCCGAAGGTGGGAACAGCTAAAAATGGATGCGCGCCGTAGCCTGTTATTTCAGGGTTTTACTTCGGGGAGGGGGTAGAAGTACTGCTTGTACAGTTTTCTTTGCTTGCTTCCGACAAAAAAAAAGTCTTTACTGATTTTGTCATTTCCGTCACCTTTTCGTTCATTTCCTTTTCCATGTTAAAGTAATTATATTATCATTCCCCCGCTGGTTCAACAGTTAAGAGAATGCTTTCAGACTGATTTTTTTAGTTTTTTTGCGTCCACTACTAAAAAAGGCGGAGCGAGTGAGTATCTATTTATGGCAAAAAAAAAATCGTATGGAAGATCCCACCCGCACGGGAGAGCGGCCACGATGCCCACGACCCCGTCCCAGCGGTGGAAACCCCCCTGCCGGACGCCCACGCTGCGTAAGCATATTACTTATTTATGTAACGACGTGCAGGATCAAGAACAAAGGGAGGCTATTTGAATTATAGGATCCTGCGCTGTTTTTTCCTGTGGATATCAAGGACGCAGATTAAATACTTACGATGTTATCAAAAATCGCTGAGGTTCCTACACCTCTGGGGTTTGTGATAATGGGCTCCGGTTTTCTGGAGAAGGGCTCTTGAACAACAGGGAGCCGTGTTCTACTTCACGGATTTTGAAAAGTCAAGACGTTTGCTGGTTTCAGTTTCTGTCGGGGACTGAGGTAGTAGTTATCGTCCTCTCGTCGTAAAGGAGAAAAAGAAATCCAAAAAACGCGCGGACTTTTCGACTACATCCCGTTCTTCAACTCCTTCCCGTTTATCGCGAAAGCGAGGACGAAGTGTGTTTTCGTATATATCTTTTCGGATTCAGACTTAGACTTACAAACAGCGTCGAAACTACGTCAACGAAAGTGGCTAAGGTTGCCCGTGCATGAACCGTCACGCGGCGCGAGCAGTTATTTCGTTTGATTTTCGTTGTTTGCGTAAACAGGTGTGAAGGGTCCTCCTCCTCCTCCTCTTATTTCGTTTGATTTTTTCATCGTCCTGGGTCATTGTCGTCCTTCTTCTCAGTCGTTCACCAGGTTGTCATTGTCATTTTAGTTTTTTTGTTTCTACTACTAAAATAACAGCAGGCGGTATCCGACGAAAAAAGTGTTACAGTTACACATTTGTAGTGAATTCAGCAACACAAATTTCTCTGCATGAGAGAGAAAACTTGTAATGCAGAAATCCTACGGGAAAACACCTATGAAACGAGGCTCCTATGCATATCCGGCATGACAGAGCTTGTCTGTCTTGCTTGGCCTGCAACACAATGTGTAACTGTAACACTTTTTTCTTGCGATAGGCGGAGAATTGAGTCTTTATCGCAAAAAAACAGTCATCAAACCGCCCCGTTCGTTCCAATCGTCCTTCACGCCGTTCGTTCCAATGCACGCGGTTTGTGATGCTGTGGGGCCTACAGGTACAGAGTACACGGCTGCCATGCTAGGGGCTTACGTCAGAGCCGTTCTACTCAGGCTCGGTATGGGCTTGCAGTCCTCTACTGCAAGACAGACCTGATTTGTGTACGCAAATCCAGCATCAGAAACTTCCTTTTGATAGGGGGAGGGGGGAGTTTTCCTTTTGATACGCAACGCTGTGCAGAGCCGGGGAAGCTAGGGCACAAGGAATCGGGAGCAATCCAAAATTGGTGCATAAATTTATAGTTCTTTAGTATCACATAATTCATTGATGTCCTCATGAGGGTGCATTCTTAAAAATGCACATGTCATCTAACAGGACTTTAAGATCAAGTTCATAGGCACAGTGACATCTTCGACCTGTGGGGCACTACTTAGTACAATTCGGAAATATTAACCCGCGAGGCTTCTAGAAGAACCTTGCTCTCGAACTTGAACTCAAACTCAACAAATGTCAGGATCATGAATCCGGACGACGATGGGTGGAAGTATGGCAATCCTCCGGGGCAGTTGACTTGGGCCGGGTGGGGCAGGCCGAAGGAGGAGCGCACCGCGTTTTTCATATCAAATGCAAAAATGTCTGGGTCTGGAAGGTGGTAACTTGTGATGCTGAATCTGCATCATGCTAAAATCTGTGTTGCATGAGTGCCAACAGCTGTCCACTTTGGACCAAGTTGGGAGGTTTTTTCTCATGCAGGATAGGCATGTTAGAGATCTCTCAGATTTTGTCATGCTAGGTCCGGCATTCCAGACCTCATGGGTCATGGAAAATCTGCATGACAAGTTGCAACCTTCCAGACCCAGACATTTTTGCACTTGATATTCTTTATCGCAAAAAAACAGTCATCAAACCGCCCCGTTCGTTCCAATCGTCCTTCACGCAGTCGTATGCAAAAACAATCTGAACCGGAACAAAGCTCTACGTCTACTCCGCCCGCACTGCCGGCCCCGACAAAGATCCCACCCGCACGGGAGAGCGGCCACGATGCCCACGACCCCGTCCCAGCGGTGGAAACCCCCCTGCCGGACGCCCACGCTGCGTAAGCATATTACTTTGTTTTATGTAACGACGTGCAGGATCAAGAACAAAGGGATGTTATTTGAATTATAGGATCCTGCGCTGTTTTTTCCTGTGGATATCAAGGACGCAGATTAAATACTTACGATGTTATCAAAAATCGCTGAGGTTCCTACACCTCTGGGGTTTGTGATAATGGGCTCCGGTTTTCTGGAGAAGGGCTCTTGAACAACAGGGACGTGTTCTACTTCACGGATTTTGAAAAATCAAGACGTTTGCTGGTTTCAGTTTCTGTCGGGGACTGAGGTAGTAGTTATCGTCCTCTCGTCGTAAAGGAGAAAAAGAAATCCAAAAAACGCGCGGACTTTTCGACTACATCCCGTTCTTCAACTCCTTCCCGTTTATCGCGAAAGCGAAGACGAAGTGTGTTTTCGTATATATCTTTTCGGATTCAGACTTAGACTTACAAACAGCGTCGAACAAACGTCAACGAAAGTGGCTAAGGTTGCCCGTGCATGAACCGTCACGCGGCGCGAGCAGTTATTTCGTTTGATTTTCGTTGTTTGCGTAAACAGGTGTGAAGGGTCCTCCTCCTCCTCCTCTTATTTCGTTTGATTTTTTCATCGTCCTGGGTCATTGTCGTCCTTCTTCTCAGTCGTTCACCAGGTTGTCATTGTCATTTTAGTTTTTTTGTTTCTACTACTAAAATAACAGCAGGCGGTATCCGACGAAAAAAGTGTTACAGTTACACATTTGTAGTGAATTCAGCAACACAAATTTCTCTGCATGAGAGAGAAAACTTGTAATGCAGAAATCCTACGGGAAAACACCTATGAAACGAGGCTCCTATGCATATCCGGCATGACAGAGCTTGTCTGTCTTGCTTGGCCTGCAACACAATGTGTAACTGTAACACTTTTTTCTTGCGATAGGCGGAGAATTGAGTCTTGATCGCAAAAAAACAGTCATCAAACCGCCCCGTTCGTTCCAATCGTCCTTCACGCAGTCGTACCAAATGTAAAAATGTCTGGGTCTGGAAGAATGCAACTTGTAATGCGTATTTCAGAACACAGAAAAGTCTCTCATGCATACGCAGCAAAAGCTCCCACTTTTTGCCAGCAAAATAGGGGACCTGTCATGCGGATTCGGCATTGCGGAAGGTTCTCGAAACCTGTGATGCTAGAGCTTCCATGCCAGACCTTCTGTGTCATGCAAAAACAGCATGACTCTTCCAGACCCAGACATTTTTACATTTGATAAGTCGTATGCAGTCCTAATCATCTTGCTTCTGTTACTGTTTTCACCTTTGATATGCCAGTTGCTGAGCAACTACAACACATAGACAATCGCGAACGGCTTTGCCGTTCGCGATACGTGTCTTTGCCGTTCGCGATACGTGTGGATAGATGCTCATCCATCGCAAACGCAGCGCGAAGGCTTTGCCGTTACCATATGGGAGGAACTCGGGGGTATGCAACCACTGGCAAAGTCGGGCATTATCAAGTGTGTTTTGCCTTCAGAAAGCGGATCGGGCAGAATTTGTGGGAATTTTCCCGAAAGCAACCAAAACAGCAATTACCAAGTGGGAAAAGGGTAAAAAATAGCAGTTTTGCAGCTCCGCCCGGTCTGAATCTGAAAAAAGATTGTGGCATTTTCGGCAAGGGCCGGTGGTGTGATGCGTTTTATAGCGGAAAATGCGTCACCTCCGGGCAGCTCCAGCCGCTTGAAAATTGAAAAAAAACGTTGAAAAAATGCAATTTTTCGCAGCATACAAGCGGCCGACAAAATTTACCAAATTCGTGCATGTCGCGGAAACCGCTTGAAAATTGAAAAAAACTACGGAAAAAGTTACTTTTTTCGCAGCGTGGAAGCGGCCGGGAGAAAGCGCGGATTTTCTGCATGGCGCACTGGCCGCTTGGTAATTCAAAATGACATTTTTTTGTGAAAAAGCAGAAGCCGCTTGAAAATTGCCGCTCAAAAGGGGTTCGCAAATTTGTCCGGAGGCCCGTGGCACCGGGATTGGACGAAGAGAAACCAATTATCAAGCCTGTGGAGGTGTGTCACACGGGCACGGTTTTCGGCCTCTCTGAGGTCGCAAACTGGAACCCTTCCCCCGCTTGGAAAAGCCCGATCTGGGTGGCCCAAAATGCCAGCCGATACTGAACAGAAGTGCGCCACTTTTTGGAATTCATGCATTTTGCCTTCCTGGCCAGGAGGCCAGTTTGGTATGCAGGGGGCTAGAAAGGATGCCCCGCTGCGAAATAGCAGACCGGATTTCGCCTGCAATGCTTATCGCAGGAGCCTGCGGGCCGCCGCGGGCTCCACCACTTCCCCGCGATAAGCTTTGAATGCGAATCCGGGAGCCCCCGACGACCCGCGATAGTGGGAATCTAGAAATTAAGAATAAATGGGGCTTCTTCTCGTTTGCGGCGGCGGCCGCGCGGGCCGCGTCGATGTTAGAAGAAGGTTGGTGGGCCTTCGCGCTGCTTAGATTTTCGCGCACGCATTTGGTTACCAATATCGCCCTCCGGGCGCGACCTTAATATTTCACGGAGCCAGTTGCTGAGCAACTACAACACATAGACAATTGTGTACTTCTTACAACCTCAGGAGCAGATGCGCGAGGAAAAATCCCTTGTTTTCAAATTCGCTTCAGTAAAAATTTTATAGTACTTCTTCCTCTAGTTGTACCGATGCAAGAACTTTTATTCCAATTTTGCGCCGCGTGATTTTTGGACCCGTTATCTTTCGTGGTGGAGGAGCGAACCCTCCGACACTAGTGGAACAAGCAGAGAAAGAAGTTTAATACCGGAACGGACGGTATTACCGTCCGTTGTTGACCCCAGCATCAACCGCAATGTCGTCGTCGCGAAAAATGAAGATTTTTTCTGTTTTTCTCCTCGTCCTCCAACTCCAAGCGGCCTCCAGTGCGGTCGTACTCAAAAAGTCGGTGGACGTGGAGACGAAAGATCGCCTTTTGTCAATACAAGGGTGAAAAACGTATTCGCTTTCAAAATTCAAATTTTTTTGAAGCCCCCTTGCAGCATCCGGCCCGACTGTCCTCATCCGCGTCACCCGGCTCAGTGGCCCCACAACAAGATCACAGCAAACAAACAAATCCGGCCCCCCAAATCCTCATCCACAGCATGACAAACAAGGTTGGAGGTCGGCCCACCGTCACAAGTCCCATCACGCAACAGCTAGCAATGAAATATCTGAGAACTCCATAGCACAACCAGGAGCGTGGGATGTCTTGGGCTGCGATTTCGAAGGAGCCGGCGGGCTGGGCAGATCAGGCAAGCTGGCGCGTCACCCGAGGGGGCACTGCGATTACGACCTGGGACGGCGCCACCATCCGCAAGCACTTCCAACACAACAGAAGCCGGGACTGGTATTTTTTCAGAGCGATAGGCTGTGGCAGGTTTTCCGTTCCTAGGTTTCTTTCATGCGCTGACGATCGAGAGGCGGCTCTACTACATGCTCATCACGCAGTCAAATCTCATAAATTATCTCCAAAGGTATATCATCCTCCGCAAGCGCACGGGCGAGGGGGCGGACATGGACGTAGACGAGGAGTACGGCGTCTTCCTGCAGCAGCCAGCCCCGCAGGAGCGAGCACCGCAGCAGCCAGCACCGCAGCAGGCCGCGGCACCCCCAGGGCGAAGCAGGAAGCGACCCTCCGTTCATTTTGAAGAAGAAGAGCCTACCGCAGCAGCTGCAGCACAGAGCGGGGCGATATCTAGTGCAAATGTGTCTGGGTCTGGAAGAGTGGGATTTGTTATGTGTGTCTTGCATTCCTGAAAAAGAGTCTCTGTTGCATGACCAGCAAAACAGGCTCAGCTGTCTTTGTCATGCAAAAACGCAATTTGTAGTGTGCGTGTGTGTGTGTGTGTGTGGCACGGCACGGAAGCAACTCAGTCATCCTCATCCGCTATGCAACATAACAAGCTTCCAGACCCAGACGCATTTGCAATGCATATGCGAACAACACTAACAACTTGGGGCCGTTCCGGTTCTCGCGCGACATTGACATGCTCGACGTACTCAAAAAGTCGGTGGACGTGGAGACGAAAGATCGCCTTTTGTCAAAACTGCAGCGCCACCGGCGGAACAACTCCGTCGATACCGCGGGCAGAAACGAGAAGACGAGCAGTTATGTTGAAGCACTTCATCCGAGTATCAACTTCAACCGGCGAGGACCACCAAGACCAAGTTCCACAACAACGGGGGGAAAAATGCAAATGAAATTATCCGACTTTTTGTCCTCGTCTCCGGGCGCCGGGGAACTGCAGGATGGGAATGAAGAAACTAGTGGTGCAATGAAGCAGCAAAAACTACCAGCCTCACTTTTGCAAAGGAAGATCAAGAAGGCAGGCCACGTGCCGAAAATGTTGCTCAGGGACTATAAAAATTTGTCGGGAGCAGCATCTTCGCGAACGTCTTCGGAGGAAAACTGGAAGGTTTCTAGAAAACCAGAAGCGCAACAAGAAAACTTGATGCACAACAAGAAGTTGCGCCGGACTACGACGAGGCGCCTGACCACTGCCGGGCGGAAAAAGGAAGAGGAAACTGAGAATGGAACTGCAGCATCAGCACAGCTCCAGGAAAAAGAGCAAGAGCAGGAACAAAAGCGTGCTGAGCAGCCGGAGTGGGGGGTTGGGGCTCGAGCCGCAGCTGCATTTCCTACAACTGGGTCGTCACCCACTGGTGTTAGAAGTACTTCTACTTTCACCCGCGGCCAACAGCAACGATCTGGGCAAAACACTGCGTTCACAGGCACGACGGAGGACGACGTTTCGTCGTGTGGGGGCTCGGGGACTGGCTCACAGGATCCAGGTACTGATTTAAATTTGGGTTATTCTACTAATTTATTCTTGTACTCCTTTGTTCTTGTCACCACAGAACGCCTTTGCCGAAGATAGATGAAAGCAAAGTCCGCCCAGGATGATTTACTAGTGGACGCAGTCACAGTAACACTAGGACTGGGAGCTGAAAGTAGAGCGAGGACTACGAGAAACACCAACACCAACACAAACGACATACTAGTACCACGACCCCTTGTCTAGTGTTTTCTTTTTAAGGCTTCTACACCTACTGAACTGCGAGGCCACAAGCGCGTCTCCATACCTCAACATGCATGCTTTGAACAGGTACTGGTACACCAGTCACCCCCACTTATGGAGGGCTAGGAACTTCTTCCGACACTCCGGGACCCGGATTTCCTACTACCACCGCTGCGCCCGGGCTAGCTACTAGCTCTTCGGGTAGTAGTACGACGACGGGGGATCCGCGGCCCACTCTGGACCATCTCCCGTGGGAGGACGGAACCCTGACCGCGTACTGGGACTGTGCCACCATGGTATCCATTGCAAATATCCCTGGATGTCTGGAAGAGTGTAAACTTGTCATGCAGGTTTTCCATGACTCGTGAGGCCTGGAATGTGGGATTTAGCATGACAGACGTTCTGTGAGATCCCTATCATGCCTATCCTGCATGAGAAACTCCGTCCAAACTTGGTCGAAAGTGGACAGCTTTTGGCACTCATGCAACACAGATTTCTGCATAATTCGGATTTGGCATGACAACTTTCAATCTTCCAGACATCCAGGGATTTTTGCAATCCATACATGGGCTGGGAGTGCAACAACCAGGACGCGTCGACGCGCAGCATGCCCTACGTCCCGACGGACGCCGAGAGAACCAGCGAGTACAAGGAGGATCTGTGGGTCACCGGGGCTGCTTCCGACGTGATGCGCGACCGCGGGCCCGGCAAGAAGTGCTACCTCATCCGGGGCGTGGAATCGAATCCCGACTTTCGCGTCATCTATGAGAGTGCACAGGAACTCTCCCTCGCCCTCATTCGTATTCGGATGAGCAGCAACAGAAACACAAGCGCACTACATTGAGCCTGCGCATGACAAGTTCATCTTGCGCGTCGTGTATTACTGTGATAGGCTTCCAGAATCTGTCATGCAAACGGTGCCACAACAAGGCAGCGCGTGGATTTTGGCTCTTGTACGACAAATGAGGGAGAGGGGGAGTTGTGCACTGTCATATCATCGCGATGCTCACCAACTCGTGCCCGGGGCAGTTCAACGCGGCGTGCCAGTATCGTCAGAAACAAATGCCTCGGTCTCAAACTGTAATTATGCGCAACTTCCTGTTCCTCGAGACAGATAGTTTTTTTATTTGTCATCATGCTGCTCGACGTGCAAGAAAGTCGTCTTTCGTATGTGTTTTCCCATGTGTCTGACGCAAAATCACGACAGGTTTATTTCCGTGTCAACGTGATTCTGAGCAAATTTATATGTATTGCTGTGCCTGCAAAAGCAAAGCAGGGTTGAGTAGACTGATACACTTTTTTTCTTGCGATAGCCAGCGCCCGAAAACGCACATCGACGTCGCCGCGCCGGGATGGGACAACCACAAGTTCTCCGCTGCGCAGCGCTGTGCAGAGCCGGGGAAGCTCGGGCACAAGGAATCGGGAGCAATCAACAATTGGTGCATATTTTAGTACTTTAGTATCACATAATTATAATTATAATAATAGTGAAACGGGTTTTGCCTCCCCCTTTGCTATAATCTATAGGAGGCACTTAGAAAAATAATTCTAAACGAATGTGCTTAGAAGGTCTCGTCTAGAAGCTTCGTGTAACAGATTGAGCGCGTTCCCATTATCTGTGCCCCGTACCGTCGTGCAAAGTGTTATCCTGCACGCCCTGACGAGCATGTGAAAGAATGCCAACACCTTAAACAAAGCAAAGCCACGGATCCCGTGGCAGTATGGGGGCCATCACTTTCCGGCCCGCCGGGCAAGAGCGAGGGCCAGGAGCCCCCTGGCCATCGCTTTCCGGCCGAGCAGACGTTGTTTCCTGTCTCTCCGGGCAAAAATGACGGCCAGGAGCTCCTTGGCCATCCATGGCCTTCCGCCCGGGCAAGCAAGGTGATGGCCACCCAGCAGCAGCGCCTCGGCCACTACTTTTGGTGGCCATCGCTTTGCTTCCGGTGGGTCGGGCAAAAGAGATGGCCAAGAGCTCGTCGGCCACCACTTTCCGCTGGCTCGGACATGATAAGTCATGGCCGAGGGCCCCTTGGCCATGCCTTTCCGGTCGGGCAAAAATGATGGCTAAGGGCTCCCGCCTGGCCATCAATTTTGGCCATCACTTCCCGGCCCGCCGGGCAAAAGTGATGGCCAAGGGCAGGAGTTCCTGGGCCATGCATCATTTTCCGGTCGGGCCCTTGGTCACTATTTTGACTTTCCGGCCGGGCAAAAATGGTGGGCAAGAGCTCCTCTGGTGCCATCATTTTCCGGCCGGGTAAAGTGGTGGCCAGGGGCCCCTGAGCCTTCACTTCCCGGCCGGGCAAAAGTGATGGCCGAGAGCTCCCTGGCCATCGCCTTCCGTTCGGGCAAAAGTCCTCGCCAAGAGCCCGCTGGCCACCGCTTTCCGGGGGGTCGCTCGGGCTGAAGTAATGGCCAAGAGCTCCCTGGCTATCACTTTGGGCGGGCAAATTGTGAAAACCGGCCTCAAGTCCGAATCCCCCTGCTGCCGTCGGGATGCTGTCGCGAAAGCCTTCGTGACAGCATCCGGACGACAACAGGGGGGCTCGGGCCTGAAAGCGGTTTCCACAACTTGCAGCCCAAGCGCGAGAACCATTCTCAACCTCGAGCCCCCCCTGTTGTCGTCAGGATACTGTCGCGAAAGGCTTCGCGACAGTATCCTGACGACAACAGGGGGACTCGGACTCGACAGTGGTTCTCACAACTTGCCGCCCAAATGCGAGCACCACTCTCACCCCCGAGCCCTTCGCGACAGTATCCTGACGACAGCAGGGGGACTCGGACTGGAAAAATGGGAAGGCCATTTTTTCGAGTCCGAATCCCCCTGCTATCGTCAGGATACTGTCGCGAAACATATCCTGACGACAGCGCGGGGCCTCGAGCTTGAAGCAGGTTTTTTTCGAGAAGCGAAGCCCTTTATTTTCAAGCGCTGGCAAAACCAAAAGGAAAAGTGATGGCGAAGAGCTCCCTGGGCGTCGCCTTTCGGCCGGGCGCAAGTGATGGCCAAGAGCTCCCTGGCCGTCAAAGTGGCCATCGCTTCGCGGCCGGGCAAAGGTGATGGCCAAGAGCTCCGCGGCCATCGCTTTTCGTTCGGGCAAAAGCGAGTTTGGCCATCGCTTTCCGGTCGGACGGGCAAGAGCGATGGCCAAGAACTCCGCGGCCATCACTTTTTGCCATCGCTTTCTGGTCGGGCAAAAGTGATGGCCAGAAGCTCCCTGGCCATCACTTTTCGGCCGGGCAAAGAAAAACGATCGCGACCGCTCCTTGGCCATCACTTTTGCCCGTCACTTTTGCCCATCACTTTCCGGGCGGGCAAAAGTGGTGGCCAAGGGCTCCGTCCTTGGCAATTATTGCCCAGCGCTTTCCTGTCGGGCAAAAGTGATGGCCAGTAGTTCCGTTGCCGCCGCTTTTCGCCCGGGCATGCAAAAGTCCTCGGCCATCACTTCTGGCCATCGCTTTCCGGTCGGGCAAAAGTGATGGCCGAGAGCTCCCTGCTCATCCATTTCCGGTCGGGCAAAAATGATGGCCAAGAGCTCCGTGGCCAAGCAACCGTCGACCTTCACTCTTTGGCCATCATTTTCATTCCGGGCGGGCAAAAGTGGTGGCCAAGAGCTCCTTGCCCGGGCCATCACTTTTGGCCATCGCCTTCCGGTCGGGCAAAAGTGATGGCCAAGAGCTCCCTGTCTGGCCGTCATTTTCGGCCATCAGCCAATTTCTTCCCGTGCGGGCAAAAGTGTTGGCCAAGACCTCCGCGGCCACCACTTTCGGGGGCGCGCAAAAGTGTTGCCCGGCCGGAACGAAAGAGGTGGCAACAAGTGACTGCCGGGAAGCTCTTGGCCATCACTTTTGCCCATCGCTTTCCGGTCGGGCAGCCGGGCAAGAGTGATGGGCAAGAGCTTCCAGGCAATCACTTTTTGCCACCTCTTTTGTTCCGGCCGGGCACGCTTTTGCTTTCCGGCTTCCTTCACTTTTCTCGCGCACGCTTTTGCCTCTCGGCTTCTGGTGCATGGTATGGGCGGGGGGGCGCGAGGCAAAACCGCGCGAACAAGCCCCCGGAGGTGTGAGGCTCATCCCCATCAAGGGGCGGGGGTTTTGTTTGCGCCTACCGCCGAAGCCGCCCCAGAATAAGCTTCGCAACCGGCCCCCTTCGCTTTGCTTGCCGCGTGCGGCTAAAGGGCTGATGGCGGGCCGGCGTCCTGGACGCCGGACCGCAAAAGGCGTCAAAGCGGCGATGCCGCTAGGGCAAGCGCAGGCGCGGCAACGCGGCTAAAGGGCTGACGGCGGGCCGGCGTCCGGGACGCCGGACCCGGACCGCAAAAGACGTTAAAGCGGCGAGGCCGCTAGGGCAAGCGCAGGCGCGGCAACGACCTTCCTCGGGGCAGACAGCGTTATGCTTTTCAACCTTCTAGCCGCCTTCTACTCGACTCCAAGCCAAACCTTCTAAACGGAGTGCGTCGCACTCCCGTCTTTAGAATTATTTTTAAATCTACTAGCCCAGCGGGCGTCCGGGACGCCCGCGTCAAGAGGCTAGTAATAATAGCGAAATGAGTTTTGCCTCCCCCTTTGCTATAATCTATAGGAGGCGCTTAATTCTAAACAAATGCGCTTAGACGGCTCCTTCTAGAGGCAATGTGTAACAGATTGGGCCTTTCCATTTTTCCTGTTCGCCATACCATCGCGCAGAATATTACTCCGCATGGTATGGCGCACAGAGATGGCACGCATTTCATGGCATCGTGGGGACCAAAAACCCTGCCGCGAACTCCTGGGCCATCACTTTCCGGTCGGGCCGGGCAAAAGTGATGGCCAAGAGCTCGCTGGCCATCACTTTCCGGCCCGTCGGGCCAAAGTGATGGCCAAGAGCTTCTCCTGACCCGTCTATCACTTTCCAGTCGGACAAACAACGAAATAATGGCCCAGTGTTCCTTGGCCATCCCCATCTCTTCGACTTCCCGGCCGGGCAAAAGTGATGGCCGAGAGCTTCTGGGCCATCGCTTTTGGCCATCATTTTTCCGGCTGCCCGAACAAGAGTGATGGCCGTGAGCTCCTCCTGGGCCATCACTTATTTCCGGTCGGGCAAAAGTTCCTCGGCCATCACTTTGCGATCGGTTCGGGCAAAAGTGGTAGCCGCGAGCTCCTTGGCCATCACTTTTGGCCATCGCCTCTCGTTCGGGCAAAACATCACTGTCCGGCCGAGGCACGCAAAATCGATGGGTGGCCAGGAACTCCTCGGCCATCGTTTTCCGGCCGGGCGAAAGTGGTGGCCAAGAGCTCCGGGGCCATCGCTTTGTTTCGCTAGCTCGCTCGGGCAAAAGTAATGGCCGAGAACTCCCCGGCCATCAGTTTTCGCTCGCCTCGGGCAAAAGTGACGCACGGTCAACAGCTCGCTGGCCACCGTTTTAATTTCGGCCCGTCGGGCAAAAGTGATGGTCACGAGCTTCGTGGGCACCCCTTTTGGCTCGGGAAATAGTGATGGCCCGAAACTCCTTAGCCATCACTTTTGGCCACCACTTTCCGGGCGGGCAAAAGTGATGGTCAGCGGGCCGCCAAAGCCGCCCCAAAATGGGCTTGGCGGCTGGCCCCCCTTTGCTTCGCTTTGCTTGCCGGGCGCGCAAAAGGGGCTGACGCCGGGCCGGCGTCCTGGACGCCGGACCGCAAAAGCGCTAAAGCGGCGAGGCCGCTAGGGCAAGCGCAGGCAGGCCAAGGCGCACCAACCTCCCTCGAGGCAGCCCATGCATAAAGCAAAACCGCACCAGTCCGAGTCCCGCGGGCGGGTTGGACGGTCGTGCCTGGCTCCGTGTACTCCTCGTTGTGCTTTTGCCTCCTCTTCCTCTTGTGGTGCCTCCTCCCCCTTTTTCTGAGGCGAATTCTGGGGCCTTTTGTGCCTGTTTCTGTCTGTGCCAGCCATGCCTTCATCTTCTAACCAGCCAAAATAGCGCGAGCGATGCGCGCTCCATGTGTAGCATTATTTTTCAAGCTACTAGCCCAGCGGGCGTCCGGGACGCCCGCGTCAAGAGGCTAGTAATAATATTAATTCATGTCGTTAGGGTGCATTCTTAATAAAAATGCACATGTCATCTGAGAGGACTTCCAGATGCAGATCAAGCTCCTGGACTACACAGCGACATCTTCGAGCTCCTGTGGAGCACTGCAATTGTGAAATATTAACCCACGAGGCTACTAGAAGAACCTTGCTCTCAAACTTAAACTCAAACTCAACAAATGTCAGGATCATGAATCCGGACGACGACGGGTGGAAGTATGGAAATCCTCCGGGGCAGTTGACTTGGGCCGGGTGGGGCAGGCCGAAGGAGGAGCGCACCACCTTTTTCATATCAAATGCAAAAATGTCTGGGTCTGGAAGGTGGTAACTTGTGATGCTGAATCTGCATCATGCTAAAATCTGTGTTGCATGAGTGCCAACAGCTGTCCACTTTGGACCAAGTTGGGAGGTTTTTTCTCATGCAGGATAGGCATGTTAGAGATCTCTCAGATTTTGTCATGCTAGGTCCGGCATTCCAGACCTCATGGGTCATGGAAAATCTGCATGACAAGTTGCAACCTTCCAGACCCAGACATTTTTGCACTTGATATTTCAGAGACCGTTGCAAAGAGCTGAAGAACGGGTACGACCTATCAAAAGGAAAAATTCCCCCTCCCCATATCGAAAAGGCATCCTTTTGAAAATTTGTGTTGCTGATTTGTGGTCACAAATCAGGTTTGTCTTGCAAGAGAGCAAAGCCAGAGCTTTCGCCGCTTCGCGCAGGCGATTTGTAATGCTACTGCACCAACAGGGCAGACGTCTGCCATGCTGGGCGCCCACCTCTAGCCAGCTCCTTCCAGGCTTTTTATCTGCCTGCACTCCTATATTGCAAGACAAATCTGATTTGTGTACTCCAATCCCGCAACACAGGTTGCCACTTTGATATGGGGAGGGGGGATTTTTCCTTACGATACGACCAAGGGTGTCTGAACTTCCTCAAGTGGGTATCGCAAGGCAAAATCCCCCCTCCCCATATTGAAGAGGTAGGTTTTCGAAAATTTGTGTTGCTGATTTGAGGTCACAAATCACGTTTGTGTTGCATAGAGGAGAAGTGCAGAACCTTCCGCCCCATTATAGAACGCGGTTTGTCATGCTGTTGAGCCAACATCACGGACGCTTTTCATGCTAAGCGCCTAAGTCAAAGCCTCTCTACTCAGGCTTGGCATGGGTCTGCAGTCCTCTCCAGCAAGACAAATGCGACTTGTGTACTCAAATACTGCATCACAAATTTCGTTTTCGATATGGGGAGGGGGGATTTTTCTTTTTGATAGTGGGTATCCTGTGTGAAAACGTCCCCACAACCACATCATAGTCAAGACGCAGAATCTACTTCTGCTACACAAATCTACAAGTCTATCTTTATTTGACTGCCGCGCATGAGAACCCCGGGATCGTAGTGTGGTCGTGTTTATATAGTTAGTACAATTATCGCATCACAATCACAAATCGACTACCTCATCCTGATTCGAGCATGACAAATTGCAAAACAGCTGCTTCAGAAACTGCTTCTGGTGGGGCTTCGCATGAGAAACATTTTTAAGCATGCAGGTTTGCGTGACAAGACCTCTGGGCTGCTGGGGACGTTTCTGCTCAGCATAGTGGGACTGGAACGCCGGGGACCCGAAAGCGAAGTTCGCAAACATCCCGTGTCCGCAAGCATGGGTACAGAAAACTGGCTGTCCTGATCGATAGATAGAAGTGGAACTCATTCCAGAAGTAGATGAAAGAGCTGCGCGAGCACTATGTTCACTATACGATTCGTTTTCGTACTTTTGCTCCTATTCCTTCTCATTTATTCCGAAGGCGAACAGCACGAAGTGTCTTTTCGTTTTTATCATCTTCGGATTCACAGCCCAGCAAAAACTTACAAACATCCGAAGGAAATACCTTCACAAAGAAGCAGCTTAGAGGCTACGTCGACGAAAGTAGTGGCATCAAAGGTTGGCCGCGTACAGACCATCACGCGCGAGCAGTTCTTTCGACGTCCTGTGCAAGGTTTTCGTATTGATGAATCCTTGGCGTCCTCCTCGTCCGTCGTTCATGTCGTCCTCTGTCGTTCCTCACTCATCTTCAAAGCGACCAGTTCATTCTTGTCGTTTTTATTTCTGTGCAACTCAAATTCTAGTCGTCCATCGTGTGTTTTCACCTAATTTCGACCTTCAACTTTGCACAAAACCTTCAACTAACCCCACGTTCATTGTTTACCGCAGGAGCTGATCAGCGAAGAAAACTCGTCCCGGGTTTGCATCAAATTTCCTTCAATAGATTTTTCTGGTGCCATAATTCCTATTTGCTTTTGCAACCAAACAAGTTTCCTTTCGCGCTGGAAGATTTTTTGTTTCGTTAACGTTATCCGTTGTGGTGGAGGAGCCAGCCCTCCGACACTTGTGAAAGTAGAAAAAAATTACCGTACGGTAAAATTCCAGCAACTTCCTCCACAATGTTTCCGTCGTCAATGAAGATCACGATCAGTTTTCTTTCCCTCGTCCTCCAAACGACCTCCAGTCGTGCGGTCGTACTTATCCCCTCGGTGGACGTGGTGGAAACCTCGAAAGGCCGCTTTTTGTCATCTTCAAAACTGCAGCTGCGCCACCGGAAGAGCAACAAAGTCGTGTCCTCCGACCTCAAGGGCAGGAGAGAGAAGATGAAGACGAGCAATGAAGCAGGAGGGCGTGGTGGACGTGGACCTCCAAGTACTAGTAGTGCGACAACGGGAAAAATGCCAATGAACTCCGACTCTATTTTGCCTTCATCTACAACTCCGGGGAATTATAACGACTTGCAGGGTCGCGGCGGAAAACAGGATGAAAGCAGTGCTTCAATGTTGCAGCAGCAAAAACCAGCCTCGCTTTTGCAAAGGAAAATCAAGAAGGCAGCTCACGTGCAGCCGAAGATGTTGTCCAGGGGGTATGATTTGTCGGAAACAGCATCCTCGAAAACGTCGGACGAAAATAAAAACTGGAAGGTTCCTTCTAAAGAACCAGAAATGCAACAAGAAGACTTGATGCACAAGAAAGTGCGCCGGAAGACGAGGCGCCTGACCGCTACCGGGCGGAAAAAGGAAGAGGAAAATGAGAATGGAAGTGCAGCATTAGCACAATTGCAGCTGCAAAAAGAGCAAGAGCAGGCAAAGCGTGTTGAGCAGCCGGAGTTGGGGGTTGGCGCGCGAGCAGCCACAGCTGCCTTTCCGGTTCCTTCCATTGGGTCGTCACCCACAGAGGTTACCTTTAGTACCGTCGGCCAACAACTACAGGTAGGATCTGGGCAAAACACGGCGGCCCAGATGATGAACTACGGGGCGCAAAACCAAATCCAGAACCAGCAACAAGCCTGGCAAAATTATAACGGGCAAATCAACCAAATCAACCAAGGCGTTGTGCCGCTGCTACAATCTTCTCGAGCTGGGCGCAGTGAAGATGGGAGCGCTTGTTGCGGCGGCAACACGGGTGCCAACCGGGTACCGCCAGTTCCCGTTGGAGGAATTACTACCCCCGTGGTGCTCGGAACTTCGGCGGAAGGCACGATGGTGCTCGGCGGTGCCCCATCTGTGGTCCCGACTTCCACCGGCTCTAGCACGACGACGACGACGACGATGGAGCCAAAGCTGCAGGCCCGAAGGAACGGGTTGCGAGTGTGCGTGCCGCCCGAGGGCCAAGACTCCGACGACGACTGGCGACGGTGTAACGCCAAGCAGGGGGACTTAGCCGCGGACTGCGGCACAGACTGCATGGCCGTAGACGGGCCGCCTTTCGGGTTTCTGAACGCGCTCGGGACAAACGGGTGCGCGTTCAACACCTGTGGCTTCGACGGAAAGTCCGTGGCGCTCCGCGGCATGAGCTGGTTCTGGTCTAACTGGAGCAAATACGCATGGCGGGAAGACGTGGTGGAGCAGCTGCGCAACAATTGGTGCGCCACCATCGCCCGGTTTGCCATGGGGGCGGGGGACAAGTGGGAGGGAGACAGCCCCAACCTGATGAAGATGATGACCAAGAAGGCCCTGCGGCTGAGTATGTACGCCCTGCTTGATTGGCACATCGAGGGGGCGGCGGGGGACGCGAACCAAGCCGAGCAATTTTGGGACGAGATGGGGCAACTGTTCGGGAAGTACCCGAACACGCTGTTTGAGCCCTGGAACGAGCCGCGGAACGAGAACCCCTGGGGCGAGCTATCCTGAGCGAAAATGTCCCCACCCCATAGTCAAGATGGGAAGTCTGCTGGACAAATCAACCACACTTGGCTGTTGCGCATGACGCGTTTGGTCTCGTAGTGTAATGCTGTCGAGCTAGTTGTACTTCAGCAGCATCACAGATCTAGCGCACCGTGCTGATTGTAGCATCACAAATCCCAAAAGACGACTAGAAATTGCTTCTCATGTTGGGGATCCGCATGAAAAACATTTCAAGCATGCAGATTTGCATGACAACTAGGGCGGAGACGTTTTTTACAAGGATATGAGCAGTGTTTTCCCTGGCACGACCGCATGATCAAGAAGATCCGGCAGTACTCAGACAACATCATCGTGCTGGGTAACCCCGTATCCACTGCAACTACTACGTCATCTGGGTCCTCTGGAAGACTGCATGGATTTGTCATGCCTGTCTGACATGATTCTGTTGATCTCTGTGATGCATTATCAGGAAAATAATATCCTCGTCTGGCCTGTCATCGTCATGTAAAGCCATGCGGAATACCTAACGCACTGTCTGTCTGCCATGCGGAATACCTAACACATTTTAGCAGCGGAGAAACTTGTCATGCTTGGCTTCGTGTTCTTGCAGAAACCGCCCATTCCTCGCCTTGTAGCATCACAAGCTTCCAGTTTCGCATCCAGACATATTTTTGCCTGTGATACGCGGAGTGGTCCCACAAACCCCACGAAGCGGTTCCCGATGTGACGGCGCAAGCGTGGAAGGACGTGCCAAACTATCAAATGCAAAAATGTCTGGGTCTGGAAGAATGCAACTTGTCATGCTAAATCTGAAGCATGCAAAAAGCTGTGTTGCATGATTGCCAAAAGTCGTCCAGATCTGACCAAGTCGGGAGGGAGTTTCTCATGCAGGATAGGCATGAGAGAGATCGCACAGAATCTGTCGTGCTAGGTTCTGCATTCCAGACCTCATGGGTCATGGAAAAGCTGCATGACAAGTCGCGCATTCTTCCAGACCCAGACATTTTTGCAATCCATACAAACCTCCAGATCACCATTCACCAGTACGCCGCCAGCTCCCAGCCGGTGGGTCTATCAACTGCAAAAATGTCTGGGTCTGGAAACTTGTAATGCTGCGTTGGGAGTAGTGAATGCTCTGTAATGCACAGGCAAGCATGAGAAATATCTGCGCTTTTATGTGCTGCGTTTTTCGCATGACAAACTGCGTTTTTGCATGACAGGCAAAAGGGTCTCTTCTTGGACACGCATCACAAACTTTTTGGTCATGCCAGACAAGCATGACAAATCTCGCAATCTTCCAGACCCAGACACTTTTGCATTCGATAGGGTCATGGCTACGACAGCACCTTGCAATCGCTGAAGGATGCCGGGCGGGGCGGGCTCTTCATGACGGAGTGCGGCGTGTGCGAAAACAACGGCGATGGGCGGCTCGACAAGAATTCGTTCTCCGGCTGGGCGGACTGGGCGGGCAGCGAGGGCATCGCGGTCTGCATGTTATGCATTGCAAATATGTCTGGGTCTGGAAGGTTGGGACTTGTGTTGCTAACTTTGGATTCTAAAAAAATCTGTATTGCGTGACCAGCGAGAGGACCCCAGTTTGTGCTACGCGGGGAGGGCATTTGTCATGCGGGATAGGCATCAGGAAAGCCTCTAAAAATATGCGATGCTAGATCATGCATTACAGACATCCTGAGTCATGCAAAACATGCATTACATAACGTCTTCGTTGGAGGATGTGGCAGTGGACTCCTTTGACGCAGAATGCTTTGGCCTGATCGAGCAGTTAAAAGAAATACATGAGCATTTAGAAAAAAGACCACTACTACGCAAAACACTACGCAGCTTTTGGTTTTTTCTAGACAGTAACAGCATAGTGCAGGCCTTGGAGTGCTACGATGACTCCTCCAACCCCATGATCCACCAAATAATGAAAATCATGGAAATGATAAAGGAACTCTGTGTGGGAATCAACCCAAACGGGGAGGAGGAGGTCTGGTTCCACTTCAGGTGGACGCCAGGCCATGCGAAAATGGCTCTTAACGACTGCGCCGATTTTTTGACCAACGCTTTTCATAGGGCGTGGGTTGATGGCCACCCACCATCGGGTGCGCAAACGCAGCGCAAATGGATGACAGCGCCAATTTTGAGGCGCCTCCTGGTTAAGCGGGTTCTTGATGACAAATTCAAAAAATGCAACACCCTCCCAGAGTACATGAAAAAAAGGGCGGAAGAGTTGGGAAGGTTCCGCCCACCGGTGGGAACCTTCCCGAACAAAGAAGCGGAAATGCTGTATTTTTGGATATGGCTCGGCTACGCTCCGTCGCCACACCTCGGTGGTGGTGATGTAGTGTATGAAAATGGCTCCTGCCTGCAAAAGTGTAAGTTTTGTGACCGCAAGTGCCCCTGTGCTGTTGATCATGCACTTTTCGAGTGCGAAAAGCTTGAGGTGCCGCGCCTCAAGCACTTTGGCTTCGCCAGCAGGCCTCCGTCCCTCGCGCAGGGCATGCTCAAATCACCTCAAAAAATCCTCCGCTTCGTAATCGATGAAGACACAAAGCTGACGCATGACTTCTACAGGAACAAGGTGGGGGAGGTCATAGACAACATTTCCACAAGCATTGATAAGAAGCAAAAAAACCACATGAGGCACAGCAACATTTTCCAAGAGCAAAAAACAGCTGCAAGCATGAAAGTAATGACGAAGATTCTTGATGAAAAATACCTGCGCTAACCATGACAAACATGCAAAGAAATATATAAAAAACAAAAACAGGAAAAAACTTTTTGACTATAACATGACAAATGAATCAAGAGAGGACAGCCACAGCAGCATCAACATCTTCAAGATAAACACCTCCGCCCGAGCTAGCGCCGGATCAGGTACATGTTTTGATTAGTCAATGCATCGTTTATCACAGTACACACCACTGCAGACGACATGGAAAACCTGTATAGAGAGCTCTTGTTTTTGCTTTTGACACATATGGAAATAAAATCAAAAATTACTAAAAATATACAAATCGCAGGTCCCGGCCAGTTGGGGAGAATTCTGTGAACATCAATCGAAGGAAGCACAGCAGACATTTATACAAAAAGGCAAAAAGGCGTCATATACACCCTAGCTTGTAAATCCTCTCGGTGCTATTAGAGACGCTGAAGGCGGGTCGGTTAAGTGACATGCGCTCACTAGATTAACATTGTACCTCGGCGCTCCCTAGTAATATAGAATATGCGCACTTTTCCGATCTGCTTATAGCCCCCCTCTGAAGCAACGTGATCCCTTATCTAGTAGCAAACAGCGACGCCCTCAACGTAAAGATCCGGAAATTGTCACTGCGTGCTCCTTCTCAATCAAAAAATCAAAAAAAACGAACAGGGAACAGGAATGGGAAGTGTTGTAGTGGTATTGTTGTTCGCGTCCAGTCTCGAAAGAAAGAGTAAGATTTTATAGGTTAGTATGCGAGTAGTTGACTCAAAACAGTGAAAACAGAGCATGAGTAGATGTTGTCGAGGACATCTATTGCCTACTGTATATAGCATTACTCCTGAGTCGATTTTGTTGCTTACTGATAGTTATTTGCTGATGTAGTACCTCCTACGCAACCACTTCTAGAATTCTACCTACCTGTCTCCACAGTGTGTATCTCAGAATATGTGTGCGTCCGTGTATTTTTGTGTATCTCAAAATGCCTACATATCTTATGAGTATCTCAAAATGCCTATACATTTTTATGTATCTCAAAACGAAAACGAACACTAGAAAGTTTGGCAAAACAAGATAGTAAAAAATGATGGTCCTCACTGACGCCTCGTGGCGAAGTTCTATATTTCTCTCAATGCCTCTGCAGCGTGTAGGGCATGAATTTGCTATAAGAACAAAGGTAAGACATATTGATAGATGGTGATCATATGAAAAGTGCATACAAAATCACTCTAGAAGCCAAATTAGACATCCACATGATAGGATGCTGCGGATGCAAGGATAACTTTAAAAGTAAAAAGTGACAATGGATGTGCTCGCGCAGTCACGTCAATATGTAATGCGAAAAAGTATAAAAAAAAAAAAAAGGATGAGCTGAAATATGTCATGCGAAACAGCATCAATTGCCAAAAAGGAAAGCGAAAAAATGAATGCATGCACAAAGGTGATAAATGTCAAAAAATGGCTTCTAGAGTGATAAGTATATCAATATCCCCATGATGAGTACGCCTAAGGCCAGGAAAAGCTGTGTGTAATCTATTGATGTGCTGCATGATGCTTGTTTGTCCCTTATGGAAATGCCCTATTACTTGGGGGCCACAATAGCATGCGCTTGTAAATAACTAGCAAAGCGGGCAAAGACACCTCCAAGTAATAGGCAAGGCGATATTATATAGATTGCAACCAGCCCAGTACAAGAAGGTCTTCGGCGCCATTTGTCCAGCAGCATACAGCCCAAGAGACGACAGGGCGAGAGCCCTGCAAGACCGGGCGTCGATAGTAAGAACAAAAACAAAAATCAAAATGCACGCATACACGCGCACTGCTTAACTGTGTGAAAGGTGTCGGCCCTGATCGACCTGCTGCGGCAGGCAGGTGAATTCGTAGAACTGATTCACATGTTAAGTAACGCACACCGGCCTCCTAGATTAGTGATGAATTTATATGCGAAAAGCAGCCCTCCCTCTATGTGATCTGACCTCCCTCTACCTCCCCTGGTGGACGTCTCCCGCGGCTTACGGCTCTGGACGTTAACTAGGATCGAGTGCGTTGTGCGGGTTTAGGGTTTTGAATATTTAATTTTGTATCTCCCACTGCTGCATGCACCCTGCTGCAGAACTTGTGATGCAAAACAACCTCCGGGTTGTTCCCGCGCTTCAGGAGTAGTTCTGTTGCGTGCGGGCAGCAGAAGATGAGTAATGCTGTTGGTTTAGGGGGTTGAAAATGTTTGTGCATGTGTAATGCAAAAGATGAAAAAGATTCGCGCGTGGGAGCGCATTTTTAAGCACAACGGGCGGGTGCCGTTCCCGCCGTCACACAATCACATACAATACAATACAGCAGAGTGGGGCCCAATTAAAAAAAAATAAAAAATATGCATGACAAACTTGGTAACCTTTCAGACCCAGACATTTTTGCATTTGATACATGTGGTCGATTGGCAACAAGCCCGAGTCGTGCTCCGCCATGCAGCCGGGGCGGACAAACATCAACGGGGATGACTTGATATGAACTGCAAAAGCATCGTACTCGTATAAATGCACTACAAATTATTTTCTCAGCATGAGAGATAAAATTTAAATTTGTAATGCGGATTTACCTTAAGATAAAGTAATGCATGACTGCAATACGAATACGATACTTTTGCACAGGATACTTGACGGACGCGGGCCGGTTCTACATGAAAGACATCATCAAGGACCGCAACTTGCGCGATTTATCGCAAGAAAAAACTGTTTCACTGTGAACTTGTGATGCATAGAATGGAACACAGAACTATTTGTCTTGCTACATCTGCAAGACCTTGACTCTTTAAGGGTGTTTTCATTCCGCCCCTTGGGAAGCGCGCATGGCAAATTTTCTGTGCCATGTGTATAACAGAGAAACTTGTGATGCAGATCTTGTATAAAGCATCACAGTAAAACAGTTTTTTCGTGGGATACGATTACGCTGCGGACTACAATCTGCACTGCCCGGACGACCCGAGCTGAAGCTGCTCAAAGGGTTTGGTACTTATTCTATTCTTTCAGTTCTGGTTCTTTTGACGCATTCGCTTCAACATTCCACTTCACTTACAATTACAACAGCAGCATTTCGATTTCTTTTTCTATACTTTTATTTTCCGCGTAAAAACTATGAGTTAGTTGTAGTTCTTCAACCACCTTTTTTTTTTTACCTGAATCACAGTCCCCACTTCCAACGGCGACAGTCGAGCACGCTTGCGTGCACAATTTTACCAAAAAGGACGGCCGGTATTGTATACGTCTCTTATTCTTTTTCTTTTATTCATATTTTCCCCAGAAGCAAGCATTTTGCAGCCCATATTTATTTTGCAGCACGTTTTCAAGCAACCATGTGCATGTCCCCCTCGATTTCCCCCCTCTAGGAAGAAATCATGCAGCACTGCCCCCGTTTTCAGGACCGATGCTTGTGAAACAGAATTATGGTACCCGTAAAAAGAAAAGTAAAAGCCAGGACCTATCGCTTGTTGCAATCATCGAGGATTGTTCTTATTTGTTCGCTCTTTCGCGGTCTCGTGCACAACCCAGCTCGGAGGTCCTGTCGTGTGGTCGACGTCGTATTATACTGAGAGTAGTTCTTCTTGGCGATATTGTAATTCTCCCATCGTAGTGAAGATAGCCGGTCGCAGACGCAGTCGTGAGTGCTGGTGTCTGTCGTGCTGCACGCTGCTGCAAAAGCGAAACTTCGTTCGGAGGACTGGTACGATCGGCAGTGTGAAAACCTTCTCCACGAGGGAAATTCCACCAAGGAGTCGCGGGAGAAGCGTCGAGCTCTTTCCGACAGGAAGCGCACTGGTGTAAAGTAGTAAAGATTGCCACAACGTGACTTGTTCCATTTGTATACAAGATTTTTGTTCTAAGTACTTCCTCCCGTAGGAGTACGTACAACCTTTGGCGGATCAGCAATTTGTTCTCCTCTTCGGCCGGTAAGAATATTATAAGCGAGCACAAAGAAGAACCACAACAAATCATGCCTTCCGCCCGTGGCACAGGCGATCCCGCTGTGGTGCGGCAGATGCCTCCACCGCAGTCAAGTCGCAGCTCGCGCACCCCGATGCCAGAGTCTGCCAGATCGAGCAGGGCAACACCGCGCGTCACGGAGACCGGACCCATGCCAAACGAGTACCATGAGGAGGGAATGCACCTCCACGCGGCTCCACCACTGCAAAGGTCCTACTCTTCGGGGGCCATGACGCGCTGCGACCGGCTGCCGACGCACACGATTAAAGGCATTCCCGGGTACCGAGGCTATCTACCAGGGGTCAAAGCAGAGACGATAGGAGGTAAGTACTACTGTGGTTTCGGGATAATTTTTTCGACGTCTGTGAATAGAGTTGCTGTTGGTGAAAAAAACGTGTGCAGTTTTACGGTTTCTTTCAATCATGCAAAGAGCAATACGCACAAGAATAACTTACAACAGAGGGCCTTTTCAGCAATGTGCTATACGAGTCCCAACACGCTACGAAGAGAAAAGGGCACGCGCAGCAGCACTACCTGCTCGATCGGGACACAGATCGTGCGGTCAGAAACCTGGACTACGAGTTATGGAATGTGGACCTGTGACAAAAAAGTCACTTTTAAATAAAAGTTGTGACAAGGGAATGCGTGTTTCGTTTGATGCATGTCATTCTCGATCATTTTTTGTCATGCAAATGGACTGTGTGACTATGTATGAGTTAGCATTTACTGCTGAACACATGATCGAACTATCTACAACTGCTGCTCCAAAAGTAAAAACTGCTGCATCCAGCAGTCTGAGTGGCTACTCTCTTCATGCTTGAGTGACTTTTTGGCACAGCTGACCGCCCCTGCATACGATCCGATGCCCGAAAGATATCCGACCAAAGAAGAGGTAAAGAGAGTTTTTTTATGTGATGAGTGATGTGGTATTGCTATTGGTAGTTCTCTTCTGGTGGTGGATGCAGGTGCTCGCTATTGGTAGTTCTCTTCTGGTGGTGGATGCAGGTGCTCGCGATGAGATTCACATCAAACAACTATCATGATCAGATATTGAAGAAGCTCGATAATAAGCGGGGTGACGATGACATGGCAACCGGATGGGTGTTATCAACGAGAAATGTTCTAGCGTACAACCACACTTGTGTATGCGAAAATATAAATTGAATTTGTACTTGCTGTGCCTCTGTTACGTTAGAAGAAGGTTCTGCATTGAATTGTCGCACCCGTAACAGCACACAACCGACGCGTTGGTGACAGGCTTTTTTGAGAACATTTGCATAACATTATAGTGTTTTGCATGAACGCAAACGCTAGGATCTCTCTGCGTGATACTTCCCAACGGCGGGCGACTACCGGGAGAGCCGGGTTTTGGATAGTCACGAATGCTACTATGAGGAGCCGCCAATGGACAATGTGCTGAAGGCCAAAACAAACATCGTCGGGTATAGTTTCGTTTTTCTTAAGCCAACGATCATGCAGATACGAAGGATTTTTAGCGGTAGTTTTTACGCAAAAGGGGGTGACTTGCGTTGTAGGCACGATGATGATAAACCATGACAACGAAGATGGAGTGGAGCGACGGAACCCATCAAAAGAAAATAATCTCATTTTCAGGTACACCGGTCACATTCCTGGGCGAGCTATCCTTGCAAACTCTCTTTGGACTAGGTCAAGTAAAAACGATTAGATGGTTTGTCATGTTGTCCTTCAAATGTCCAGCGCAGCGGAGCGTCGAACTGCTACGGTTGTGCTACATTCTCTTCCCCAGGTGTCAGTCTGTAGTTGATGCAAACTGCTGTGCTGTTTGTGATGCAGGGACCACATCAGAAGCGTCTTCCAATCAAATTTGTTCTCTTGACTGGACCCAAAGCGATTTCGCTGCCACAGCCGAATCAGAAAACGTCTTTGCGAACACGTGGTCCAGAACAAACATGAATGCGATATCCTGAGTAAAAACGTCCTCATACATACCAGAGTCAAGATGGGAAATGTGCTAGACAAATCAGCCACATTTTGTTGTTCTCGCATGACAAGTTTGTCCTCGTTGTGTACTATCCTGCTTAGCTAGTTCAGCAGCATCGCAGATCTGGCACGTCATGCTACTAGCTCGGGGGAAGGAATCTCCAGGAAAAGCAGTGCGGTCGCAGGGGCGGGAGGGGAAGAGAAGAACTAGGCGAGGACGGGAAGGAGGGGCGACGGCGCGCGGGGTAGGGCGCGAGGTCGCTCATCGCGGAATCTAAAGCTTGAGCGCGGTACTCCCTTTACTTGGGCGGTTGGACCTCACTCGCAGAACCCTTCTCGCCACACTTGGCGACTGTGTTGCGAAGGCGCCCCGAGTGCAGTGCTGTCGGGCGCTGGCGAGGGGCCGGCCTTGTTGCCAATGCCGCTCGCAAGCCGGGCGGCGGGTAGGGCGCGAGGTCGCTCGTCGCGGAATCTCGGGCGCGATGCTCCCTCTACTGGGGCGGACGGACCTCACTCGCAAAAGAACGCTCGCTGGGGCGGATGGACCACAGGCGCAAAACACTCACTGGGGCGGATGGACCACACGCGCAAAACATTGGGGCGGATGGACCACACGCGTGCAACACGGGGGCGGGATCTTGTTTGCTTTGGACTTTCTTGCGGAGGAGCTTGAGGGCGATGCTCCCTTTACTGAGGCGGATGGACCA